GAATATCAATAAAGGTAAGCAAGTAAGTAATGAGCCTCGTAGCAAATAAGGTCGAGATCACAACAGCCGTCAGAAAATTATATTCGCTGACACAGTCCAAACATGAAATTATGCACAATCTTTATGAAATATCTCCACAAAACCTCCTAAAACTCCTCACTGTTAAAACCAAAAAAATTAATACATTATATTATTGCCATGAAGTTGACTTCCAAGTGTCCATTCATTAATTTTGCCAAATTTTGCAATAAATTCGGATTTCTGTTTGAGACGAAAAATAATAAAAAAAAAGAAAAGCAGCACATTCTCTCAGTGACGTCACATCCAATAAGAAGAAAAAAAATCTCTGGGTTTAAAATATCTTTTTTTAATTCGCTTTTCACGTGCCGCAGTGTAAGTTTATCTTTAATGACAAAAAAAATTGTCAAATTTGCTGTATTGAGTTGAAATAATGGAATTTGGGGTGTTTATGTTTTGGTGGATGAGTGGCTTCTTTTTACTTGTTCTTCTGCCATATTGTATTGATAAACAATGTGAAGAGGAAGATCGTAAGAACTGAATATTCTTGTAGCTTATTTATTATTTTTTAATGGTTTAGTTAAGGATGAAAACTCTGGAAGAGAGGGTAGTGAAAATGTCTGAACTGTTTGGATGGGAAAATAAGACTGACTAACTTTATTTGTCATTTCTTTTACAAGTTAATGTTTTGTTGTTTATGTTTAAGTTAATGTTTATTGTTTTTATACTTATTGTTTATTGTAACTTTGTAACTGCATAGCCTTGTAACTGCATAACTCTGTAACTGCATAACTCCTCCCTTCTAAAATTTTTCATGTCCTCATGAAAGTCCTTTTGTTTTTTTTTTTTTTTTTTTTTTTTTTTTTTTTATGCTTCTGGTTGATTTTGATTCACAGTTTTGATTATCTTCTTCTTAAGGTTTCGCCTATAACTCGTGAAACTGTAGATGATTATTTCCATGATTCTTAATATCATGATTACAATTAATATTATTAAAATTTCGCTGGAGTAGATAGCGATTGGATCTTTATTGCTTATGAAATTGTTGTTTGTTAGATGGCTTTCGTTTTGAGTTGTGTCATCTTTGTTTGAGAACCCTAGTTGAACCATCTTACTTAGTCTTTGATGTGAGACTTCAATTTGTTCTGATAAGTCAGGTTTTCTCATGTAATTTTAATGACTCTTGATTTTTAACTGAGTTAATGTGCATTTTTGATTAGCCTTTTATATGCTTGTTGAGAGTGTGTTATGCTTCCTCATTTAAGTATTGTTGGTAACTATTATTGTTTGTTGTCAACTTATTTAGCAGAGTTTTTTTCAAAGTTAGTTTTTCTTTTTTTCTTGTATTTGTAAATATCTTAAAAATAACATTTGGTAAGGCAAATAATTGTTTGTAAAAAATTTTTCCTTTTAAGCGAAAATTTTGTGTTTCTGGATATATAAAACTAAGAATTTTATGTATTTAAATTCTATGATTACTTCCTAAGAAAAAATATCAAAATTCAAAAAATAAAAATAGGAAAAAAAAATTTATGATTATTTACGGCGGATGTTTGCTTTATGTATTTTTCTGCCGTCATCTACTGTTACAGTTTTATTATTGTTTTCTTTTACTGTCATTGGTTCAAATTTATTTTTTGTTTTATTCTTTATTCCTTTTCTGTCAACATAGATAATCTCGTCCTTTTGAAACTTTGGGTCATTTTCTGTGTTTTTGTTATGTAATTTTGTATCTGATTTTTGTTTATTTATTAAATTGATTATTACTTGATCGTATAGTTTATCTTTCTTTTCCATTATTTCTTTTATGTCTATTGGTAGATTTTTTTCAACATTTGACCCGAAAATTATTTCATTTGGTGTAAATTTAGTTGCTGAATGTATTGTATTGTTGTAAAGTGAGACACATATTTTTAATAGACTTTTGGTAACTAATTTTGGATGTTTTGGTTTCATACATCTATAAATTTCAGCAATTGTTGAATGAAATCTTTCAACTATTCCATTCATTTCTGATCGGTTTGAAGGTGTGTAATAAGTGTCGATTTTTAATGATTCTAAAAATCCTCGAATTTCTATTGATTTTAAGGCACTTTCGTTGTCACTTACGAGTAATTGTGGTTGAGGATATGAAGTAAATATTTTTATCAGCGCTTTTTTTATGTCTGGAGTTGATCGTGATTTTAAAGGTATTAAAATCCCGTAACGTGAAAATTTATCGATGCATGATAAAAATATTTGCTTTGCTGCAAAATATACATCTATGTGTAGTATTTGAAATGGTCGTGTTGGAATTGGTGTTTTTTCTATAGCCAGGTTATAGGGTTTCCTATCATACTTTGCTTGTTTACATATTTTGCACATGGAAATAAATGTTTTTATCTTATTTTTTTGGTTTGGGAAAAAGTATTTTTGAGAAATTACTTTGAAATTTTCTTCTATGCCTCTATGTGCTCTTAAATGTGTATCCTCTATGATTTTTGTTTGTTCTAAGTCTGAATTAACGTCGGTGACTAATTTGTGAGAGATTTGAAGTTTTAAATTTTTATTTTGTGCAAAGTATTTTTTATAAGTCTCTTGTACCGTTTGAATTAAATCTGTAGGGCAATATAATGCATTTGTTTTCTTGTAGTCTAACGTTTTTCGAAAAATTTCTGAAATATCTTTGTCCGTGAATTTTGGTTTCTGAATAGTATGTCCAATCATTTTTTGAAATATTTGGTCTGTTTTAAAGTCTTGTGGTCCGATTTTAAGAATTATTTGATTTGAGAAATTATTTATAGGAAGCTCTGTACTAGGTATGTAATAATCATCGCTAGTATCGGCTGAGTGGACCGTATCTATCTCAGAGGGTGCATTATTTTCTAAAGACATATTTTCATTAATTTCTGCATGATTGATACGTGATAAGCTATCTGCAACTACGTTTTGTATCCCTTTTTTGTATTCTATATCGTATTCAAAGTCGTTTAGTGAAAGTCGCCATCGTATTAATTTTGCATTTTGTGGGTTTGTGTTGAGATAAATTAATGGTTGATGGTCTGTTATGAGAAGGAATCTTCGACCGTATAAATATGGTCTGAAATATTTTGTTGCCCAAATAATTGCTAGCATTTCTTTTTCGGTGGTACTATAGTTTATTTCGCTTTTTTGCAATGTTCTGCTTGCAAAGGCAATTGGACGTTCGACATTTTTTATTTTTTGAGATAAAACTGCACCAAGACAATAATTTGATGCATCTGTGGTTAATATAAAATTATGTGAAAAGTCAGGATAGGCAAGAATGTCGGAACTTGAGAGAATATTTTTGCATTTATTTACTGTATCGATGAATTCAGGTGTATGAGTTATTTGTTGATCTTTTTGTAGCTGTATGGTCAAGGGTTTAACTATTTTCGCGAAGTCCTTAATGAAGCGTCTGTAATACCCCATTATTCCAAGGAATCCGCGTAGTTCCTTTTGATTTTTCGGAATTGGCCAATCTTTTATTGCTTTAATTTTGTTGGGATTTGGTTTTATGCCATCTCTTGTTACTACATGGCCTAGAAATTCAACTTCTTTTTGTAAAAATGCACATTTATCAATTTGTACTTTGAGATTATATTCTGAAAGTTTTTGTAGTACTTTATCTAAATTTTGTAAACTTTCTTGAAGTGAAGTGCCAAAACATATGATGTCGTCCATGAAAATGAGACAACTTTTCCCAATAAGATCCCTTAATATGTCGTCGAGCACTCTTTGAAATGTTGCTGGTGCATTTTTTAAACCAAATGGCATACGTTTCCATTCGTATTTCCCATTTTCTACTGCAAATGCAGTTTTGGGAATATCTTCTTCCCTAATCTTTATTTGGTGGAACCCTTGTGCTAAATCTAGCACTGAAAAGTATTGACATTTCCCTAATTTATCGAGAATGTCTGTTATATCTGGGATTGGATACTTATCGGAAACTGTTTTATCGTTTAATTTGCGATAATCGCAAACAATTCGTATCTTATTTATCCCCGAGTTATCTTTTTTTTTGGGAACAACCCAAATGGGTGAGCTCCAAGCACTTGAGGAGTGCTGAATTATTCCTTGTTCAAGCAATTTTGAAATTTGTCGTTTTACTTCATCTTTATAAACATATGGATATTTATATGATTTCTGAAAGACTGGAACTTGGTCCACAGTGTGAATGGCATGGGTTACTGCACTTGTGCATGTTAATTTCTCGGAATCATTGTGAAAGCATTTTTTATGTTTTATTATTATTTTGTACAGTTCCGTGCGTTCTTGAATGTTAAGGTTTTGTATGTTTACCCTTGAAAAAATCTGTTTATTTACTTCTTGTATGTCAGCATAAAATTTATTTTGGTCTATTGTGTCAAAATTGTTTATGTCAGCATTTTTCAACATGCTGTTGTTTGTTGACATTACAAATGAACACGTGTTTGTAGAATTGTTGGAGAAAGATAGGAATGCCTGGTTTCCTGTTGCATTGTAAATTCCTTTGTTTATGCAAATAGTTGGTGTTATGTAAATATCTTTGGGCAATAGAAAGTCGCCGTTATTCGAGACTCTTATTTTTATGAGTTTTTGCTCTGTTGGTTTCAAATGAATTCTTATGCTGTCTGGAAATTTTCTTTTTAAGTTATAGGAAATATCTGGGAGGTCTAACTTCATTTTATTGCAGTCTATTACTGCTTTGATTTTTTGTAAGAATTGGAGACCTATGACGCCGTCAAAAAAACTGTTGGCATCGAAAATGAGAAATTTTTCTTTGTATGAGAATTTTGATTCTGGAAATGGATTGAATGATGCGCATTTGTCAACGATAAATTTTCCTCTAACATTAGTGATTGAGACTTTATTAATGGATTCGCAATTTTGCAAATTCACTCTAGAAGGGCTGAGAAATGATTTATTACTTCCTGTGTCTATCAGAAAATATAAAATTTCGCCATTTGACGATATTAATTCAACGTATGGAATACAATTCTCTAAGTTTTTATGTTCAATTGAGTGGACAAATGAAAATTTAATTCTTCATCTTCCAATTCCTCAACCTCATTTTCGTATTCTTCTTCACCAACATCCTCGGTTTCATTATTATTAATCGCATTGGAACGGTAAGAAATTCCTGACATAGGCACAAAAGAACGTTTTGAACGCATGGAAAAATCGGGTTCCAGCGCGCGTGAATGGTTTTGCTGATTATTTGGGATTTTTTGAACTTGATTTTGATTTTGGTTTTGATTTTGGTATTGATTTTGGTATGAAACCGGTTGATACGAATAATTTTGAGTCTTTTGTGGTTGATTATAGGGCAATTGTTGAACATTTTGGGTATTATTATTATTATTATTTTGTTGGAATTTCTTTTGCTTAAATTGACCTTGTTTGAAGTTATTTGTATATTTTTTTTCATAATATTTTTCGCGTTGTAGTGCATTTTGATATTCGTCAGCAATGCTTTTTGCTTCAGCTAAAGAATTTGGACTTTTAGCCATAACAAAAGCTTTTATGTCTTGGTTTAATCCGTCGATGAAGGCCGAAAGAACCAGACGATTAGCAAAGTGCATTATTTGCTGAGTATGGCCTGCATATGCTGCTTCAAGAGCTACATTTTGACCGATATCTGCACTAAGTTTAGTGGCTTCAAGATAATATTCACTGAGCTGTTTATTGCCCATTGTGATTTTCATGCCTGCCATTACTGTTTGGAGCCAGTTAAGGATGAAAACTCTGGAAGAGAGGGTAGTGAAAATGTCTGAACTGTTTGGATGGGAAAATAAGACTGACTAACTTTATTTGTCATTTCTTTTACAAGTTAATGTTTTGTTGTTTATGTTTAAGTTAATGTTTATTGTTTTTATACTTATTGTTTATTGTAACTTTGTAACTGCATAGCCTTGTAACTGCATAACTCTGTAACTGCATAACTGTTTTTATGCTGTAAATTAGAATATGAATCAATCTTCATTGCACCAAAAAGATCACCTGATCCAAAAAGCGTAGAAACTCAAGTAAACTCAGTTAATGAACAATTGCCTGGGTCAACTCTTGATAGACGTACTTGTATGCCTATGGCAGATTGAACTGGATGGTCTTCTTCAAACTCGAATGCTCAACCGTAAGTCAAAGTTATTTTTGTCATTTTCTACAATTTATTAATTCCAAATCATTTGCAGGTATCCACAAATTAATTTATGTTATCCCTATCCACCTCAAGCACCATATCCAACACAAATGCTAATGCCATATCCACCTCAGATGCCTTATCCATCATTACCAATAAGATATTCTCCAAGTTTATCATATCCACTTAATATTTCATCAGAAACACTCAGTGCGCCTTATCCACTTCAACCAACAGCTCCCAGTTCATCAGATATTACATCAGAGATACCAATTTCATTGTTGGATATGAATAAATCTCGTCCAACTGCACCATATCCAACTTTAAATGAATAGTAAAAATGCACGCGAAATTCTCTCAATGATGTCAGGACCTAAAGAAAATCAGTGTGTTGGGTAGAAACCCAATACGGATATATTTACATCGCACCATCCAAAATCTTGTGTATAAACCAAGCTTTGTTCGACATGTGTTTGAAGGTTAATAGCTAGATGAGTAAACTGAGCAAAACCAATACATTCAAACGTGAATATGATGTAAATATAATAAAATTCTTTGTGTGAAAAAACATAAGTTTAATAAAAAAATCAATATTCAGAGAAAGATCTTAAAATTCCCACAATTTGATCTAAAATCTCTAAAAGCTGATTATTGGCTCCAATATTAAGTTCTTCAAGTTGTCCACAATCAGCAAAAGCTGTTGGATTTATTGACTGCAAAAGTGCACCCCACAAGTCAATTCTTCTTAAATTTGGAAACTTCCTTAAAGCTTCTCCATTAAATTGATTAATCATAGATCTTATATGAAGTACTCCATGGACATCAGCGTCTGTATGATTAATCATGTGAGTACCGGTAAGGTCTAAGACATCGTTGGGGCTTGTTGTTTGGACGTTGAATAAGTAACAATTATAACGACCTTGTGGATCATAGCTGAACATGCAGTGAGCTTCAATCATGTTCGAATTTGTGACTATTTCTTGTTGATGTGTATTTTGAGGTAATGTTGTAAGAAGCATGACCATAAAAGTCAAATGCTTTACAATTGAGGCACTTTTCTGACTTTTTGACTTCATTTTTGATTAAACTGTGTCTTTATAGATAGTTAAGTCTCTAACAAGCTTGTCTCACAAGGTACGCGACTATTTCACAACAATCTATTTCAGATGAAACCAAAAAATTAAATAAACATAAAACTTACGACATTTTTAAGAATCTTTAATTCATTCGCAAAATTCGCAACATTTGCTTTGAAAAAAAAAAAATTAAACCGATTACACATTTTTTAATTATTCATTTTTAATGACAAAGATTCATCAAAATTTTCAAAAAACTAAAAAAAATAACAAAAAGAACATCAAACTGCTTAAAAACACAAGCAGCGCCACCCGGAGTTGTTGTCGTTATTCCTTCAAAGTTATTGAAACAATTCAAAAGCCATCTATTTTCATCAAGATTTGTCTCATTAGAGAAGATGTATCTTGTGCACTCATTTCCTGAAAAGTCAACTAAAGCTGGCCGTGGATTGAACCTGCTGAATAAGCCTCGTTGGATTGCATAAATTTGATTATTGTTAAAGTAAATGTAATTTAAGTGAGGATGTTGACCAAAAGAATTAACTGAAAGCCGACGGAGATTGTTTCCAAGCATAAACAGGCCGTGGACAGTCTCATTGAATCCAAGATTGACCAGTGGTGCAAAGACTCCTTCAGGAAGTTCCTCAATCTAATTATAACTTAATTGAAGTGCTCGTAGCTTGCCTTGGCTTGCAAATGTCTGTGGATGAAAGGTTGTCAACTGTGTGTACATCATATCAAGTCTTTCAAGGTTTATCAGTGGGCTGAAGGTGCCAGATTGTATCGTAGTAATGCCATATCCAGTTATATCCAAAAAGGTTAAGTTAGGAACTCCAACAAATGCATTTTCAGGGATTTCTTCAAAAATTGCATAGACTCTGAGCGTTCGCAAGGAACTATGGAGGAACTGCCATTCAACTCCAGTCATCCATGTGCTGCCACCAAATCCTAGTTCCTCTAGGATCCTGAACTGTGTGAAAAAACTTAAACTAAACATTGTGAAAGGATTGTGACTCAATATGATTCTTCTCAATCCAAAATGTCCATTAAGAAGGTTCATGACTGCTTGAGTGTCATTTAATCTGTTCCCAAAAAGATCAATCTCTTCCAGATTCAAAGCATTCATAAAGTTATTTGAACTTAGCTGACTAATTTGACAATTTCTGACAGAAAATCTCCTCAAGTTCTGCATATTTCTCAATAAGTCATCAGGGAATGAAGTTAGTCTACCATTAAAAAAGGTAAATGTTTCAAGACTTCCTGTTTCTCCAAATAAATTGCCTGGAATTGTAGCAAATCTACTAAAAGGAGCTAAAAAGTTCCTCAAGTTTCCACAATTTGCTAACATTCTAGGAGGAAGTTCCGTAAGTGCACTATTTGATCCAATATTAAGTTCTTCGAGATGTCCACAAACATCAAAAGCTGATGAATTTATTGACTGTAAAAATGTCCCAAACAAGTCAATCGTCCTTAAATTCACGAACTTTCTTAAAACTTCACCATTAAATTGAGTGATTATTGAGCTGGTGTGAAACACTCCATTTACATCAGAGTCTGTATGGTTCACCATGTGGTTACCAACAATGTTTAGGACATCATTTGGGCTTGTTGTCCGAACAGCAGATAAATAGCAGTTGTAATGGTTTTGCAAGTCATATCTAAACACGCAATTAGCTTCGATAATGTTGAATTCATTGATCAAGTCTTGTTGATATGAGTTTTCAGGTAAAGATGTAAGAAAGATAAACAGAACGATTGAAATCTTCACAATTAAGAAGTCTTTTAAGAAATTTGTGCAAACTTTTGGTTCCATCTTACTTAAATGACTCCAAATACACAACTAAAGCAAATAAAAGTAACTTTAAGCTTCTTTCAATGAAATGAAAAAAATTACAAATGTCCTCGTTTTATTGATCGAGCGACTTTAGCGCATTTTTGACGCAGCGAACAAGTTTTTCAGTCAGTTGAAAGTGGTTTCCAGTCAATGTGCAGTTCCAGTCAATTAAAAGTGACTTGCTTTCATGGACTTGTTATTTACAGAGCATTTTAGATGATTAGGCTTTAAATTTTGAGCATTCAAAACAACGATCTGAATGATTAAGTATGGTCTTACTGGAACTGCTGAAAAATATTTTATTGGATTTCTGGAGGTTGCATGCATTTTGAAAGATGGCACTAGGTCTCCGGAATCAACCCATATGTCGCTGCAAACAAGTGCGCGTTAAACAAAATTCCAAAAATACTACGAATCTGTGTGCGGTGTGCGGTTTCTGTCATGGCTTCCCTAAAAAGAATGCCGTGACTTGGCTTTGTCAAAAAAAAGTTTGCCTGCCATAATGAATATATTATACCTAAACAAGTTTTCAAAAATGCGGTTAAACATCTGATTAGCTGATAAGAAGTCGTTCAAAAACGATATCCGATTTGATAAGAAGAAGGCCAGAAATGCATTTTGATAGTTATAAGAATTGAACTAATGACTCATTATTTCAAAGTATATGATATTTCAACATCAAGCATCATCAACACAAATAAATGAATCATCAAAAAAATTCAAGACATAAAAACTCGTGGGAAATTAAACTTAAGTTATGTAAAAAGAAGAAAGCAAACTTTTATACATACAAAATGAATCATTGCTTAAAAAAGACTTACTAATGACGTAAGTCATGACCAAAATTTGATAAGAAACTTCCCAATTTATATTTATATTTTTTTTTATCAGAAACTCAAATGACGAGAATCCACGGATTTTCATTATCAGCTTTATCAGCTTCTTTCCAAGTTTCGTATCAGAATTTAAGTATTCTGACATGTCTATTTGCTTTAGTTTCGATTTTGGTTTCATCTGAAATAGATTGTTGTGAAATAGTCGCGTACCTTGTGAGACAAACTTGTTAGAGACTTAACTATCTATAAAGACACAGTTTAATCAAAAATGGATTCAAAAAGTCAGAAAAGTGCCTCAATTGTAAAGCATTTGACTTTTGTGGCCATGCTTCTTGCAGCCTTACCTCAAAATACACATCAACAACAAATAGTCACAAATTTGAACATGATTGAAGCTCACTGCATGTTCAGCTATGATCCACAAGGCCGTTATAATTGTTATTTATTCAACATCCGTACAACAAGCCCCAACGATGTCTTAGACCTTACTGGTACTCACATGATTAATCATACAGACGCTGATGTCCATGGAGTACTTCATATAAGATCTATGATTAACCAATTTAATGGAGAAGCTTTAATGAAGTTTCCAAATTTAAGAAGAATTGACTTGTGGGGTGCACTTTTGCAGTCAATAAATCCAATAGCTTTTGCTGATTGTGGACAGCTTGAAGAACTTAATATTGGAGCCAATAATCAGCTTTTAGAGCTCCCATCAGGAATGCTATCAAATTGTGGGAATTTTAAGATCTTTTCTGCAACTTCCAGCAGATTTACGTCAATTCCGGATGATTTATTTGGCAACACAAGAAGCCTAGAAGTCTTTAACATTGCCATTGGTAGACTGACTACATTTCCTGACAATTTATTAAGGAACATGCCGAATTTGAGGAGATTTATTGTCAGAAACAATCAATTGAGCAGCATAAGTCCAACAAACTTCTTCAGTGCTACAAATTTAGAAGAGATTGACTTATTTTTCAATCATATTAATGACACTCAGGCAGTCATGGGCCTGCTAAATGGACATTTTGGACTAAGAAGGATTATTTTAAACCACAATCCATTCAATATGTTTAATTTGAATTTTTTTACACAATTCAGGAACCTAGAGGAACTAGGGATTGGTGGGAGGACTAATTTGACTGGAATAAATTGGCAATTCCTTCCCAGTACCTTGCAAACCCTCAGAATCTACTCAATTAGTGAAGAAATCCCTGAAAATGCGTTAGTTGGACTTACAAATTTAACATACCTTGACATAAGTGGATATGGCATCACAACCCTCCAACCTGGCACCTTCAGCCCACTCACAAACCTTGACAGACTTGACATAATGGAAACACAGCTGACAACCTTTCACCCACAGACATTTACAAGCCAAGGCAAGCTACGAGCACTTCATTTAAGTTATAATCAGATTGAGGAACTTCCTGAAGGAGTCTTTGCACCACTGGTCAATCTTGGATTCAATGAGACTGTCCACGGCCTGTTTATGCTCGGAAACAATCTCCGTCGGCTTTCAGCTAATTCATTTGGTCAACATCCTCACTTAAATTACATTTACTTCGGCTATAATCATATTTATGCAATCCAACGAGGCTTATTCAGCAGGTTTAATCCACAACCTTTATTAGTTGATTTTGTAGGAAACGAATGCATTAGCCGAAGCTTCTTTTCACAAGAAAATCTTGATGAACATCAATGGCTGGAGTATTGCTTCAATAACTATGAAGGCATAACGACAACAACACCTAATGCAGCTGTAAATATTTTTAGTAAATTTCAAATTTTTGTAGTCATTTTTGTTGGGTTTTTTTGTATTTATTTGTGAATAATTTGTTGTGAAAAAAATAAAATTTAAACTAATATTGGTCGTCATTTATGACTGACGCCAAAAAAAGATTACCCAACACTGTCTTGTAAGGTTGTTTTAAAGGTTAAATTTAAGTGCCACCCATCAGCCGAGAATCAAGAAACAAGAACCAACAACCGAAAACCCCAAAGTTCCACAAACAATCACTTTTTTGCTGCATTCTTTCTTTTGTAGGGTCCACGAACCCTCTTAAAATCCAACTTGCGAAACCTGCTCAAATGATCTTTGAAACCGTTCTTCATCTTGACTTTCCTACCACAAAGGTCGCACTTGTACTCAAAAGCTGGATGAAAATCCTTCACGTGTGCGGTCAAAGCCGTGAGACTTTTACAAAGCGTTGGACATTTTTCACATTTTACTGGATTTTTGATTGCTGCAATATTTTTCTCTCTGCGGTCGTGAGCCTTTAAATTTATATTCAAGAGCTTTTTAACGTCAAATGAGTATTTTGACATTTATGACATTTGAAATGATTCGGTCTGTTCTTGTCAAGAGTTATGATATGTCTGTTGTATGAGAATTTTATTTTAAATGACTTTGAGCACTTTTTACATTTGTATGTCTCAACGTCCTCATCAATGTAATTCAGCGTGGACTTTTTAGTCAATTTGGCAATTGGAAAGTATTTATGCGAAACTATTTAATGGCAATTTTTGCGTTAATCAGACATTTTCACAGATAATGATCATCTGGCATTTCAAGGTTGTTTTTATAATTTTCAAGGAATTAGTCTTGGTAAATTCGAGGGTTTGGGATTAATTCATAACTTAAATCATTGTCTTTAAAAAAGGTTAGCATCTGATAATCTGATTTCGTGATAAAATTCAAGTGATAATGTTGGTGCAAATATGCTGCAATGGCAAAGTTTGAAAGATAATGTCTGTAATTTTATCTAGGTCTTACTGAGCATTAAGCTATCATTTAATCTTAAAATTGATAATTTTGATTATATTTTCGTCAGTCTAATTTTGCTGTTTTGATTTGAAAGGTTTTACTTTTAAGAAGTGCTAATTTTTTTTCAATTTTTTAATCTTTTGAACTGTCTTTTTTAGGATTCGGAACCTTAAAAGTATTAAACGACCAATCAGTTTCATTCTTCTCATAATGAAGCTTAAATTGATAAAACTGAATCAAAAATTGACCAACATAACCTCAAAATCATTACAAATCCTACAAATTTTAACAATATTGGTACTTCTTCCACATCAATCAACTCAACTAGCACCAGCAATTCAAACACAGACCACAATAGCCACCTGCATCTACAGATATGACGCTCAGAACCTCTACACATGCGACCTACACAATGCAACTGATCCATATCCAGATGGTGTGTTAGAAATAATTGGAAATCACCTTCCAGGACGTACAGATGTTGATGTTAAGGCACTCATTCATGTCAATTCTCAGTTTCGACAATTCAATGGAGAAGTTTTGAGGAAATTTAAGAATCTTGAAGTTCTAAGTTTAAGTGAATTGGCGTTGTGGTCCGTGAATCAAAATGCTTTTGAAATTTGTGGACAATTAGAAGTTCTGTACATGAGATTGAACTTCCAACTGCGAAGTCTGCCTGCAAAAATGTTACAAAATTGCAGGAAATTGAGGTTCATTGACTTTGATTTTTGTAGAATTCAGACAATTCCTAAAGATTTATTTGGAAATTCAACAGCAATTGAGCATTTTTCAGTAAGATCCAACCAGATGACGTCATTTCCTGACAATGTGCTGCAAAATATGACAAATTTGAGGATTTTTGATGTTCAAAGCAATCAAATTACGACCTTAAACAGGAACAACTTTGTGAACGCGATTAATTTAGAGGAATTTAATGTTGGATGGAACAAAATTGGCGATGGACAGGAAGTATTGAACTTACTAAACGGCCATTTAGGACTCAAAATTATAAGACTCGATAACAATCGATTCCGAATTTTTAATTTCAACTTTTTCTCACAATTTCAACGACTTGAGGTCCTGGCTGTTGGCGGGAATCAAAATTTGACAGAAATTGCATGGCAGGCACTTCCTCCATCACTTATATACTTACGTGTCCGTGAGATTGCTGAAGAAATTCCTGAAAATGCTTTTAATCATTTGACAAACTTGACTGAGTTGTATCTTACTGGATTTGGGATTACAAACCTCCAACAAGACACATTTAAGGAACTGATCAACCTAAGAGTGCTGCACGTTACTGAAACATCAATATCAACTCTTAATCCACAATTATTCCAAAGCCTGATCAACCTGCATACATTAAGCATGCAAATGAACCAAATTGAGGACTTACCTGATGGAATCTTTACACCTTTAAAGTCTCTAGGTTTAGGCTCATTCCAACGTGTCCTTACAATGTCCAATAATAGAATTACTAGACTTCCAATTGATATTTTTGGACAGCATCCTCATTTATTCCACATTGACTTTTCATTCAATCAAATAACTGGAAATCAGCGTGGAATCTTCAGCAGGTTTAATCCATTCATGGCTCAAGCTGAATTTATAGCTAATAAATGCACAAGTGCATCATTATGGAATGAGACGAATTTAGATCAAAATAAGGAGTTGGAATGGTGCTTTAATAGTTTTGAGGGGATAACGACAACGACACAAAATGGAGTACAAAAAGGGTTTAGAGGATTTGAGGTTATTTTGATGATATTGGTTGGAATTGGAAATGCGTTGATGTATTTTTAAAAATATTTTTATTTACTTAATTAAGTTAAAATCAAGGGTGTGGTACTGATGAAATGATCAAAAATGATCAAAAATGTAATTCTTCAGTTCCACACCCTTGGTTAATATCGATATAAAAAATGGAAAAATAATAATTTTTTTAAATGTTAACATTTTTTTCAAATTGCGTAATTTTTCTTGGAATTTCTATTATTTTTGGTTATGACAATTTATAAAATCAATTGTGAACAAATTTTGAAATTATTTCCATGAATTTTTGTATTTATTGTAAATTTCTGGTAAATGGCTTAAATCTGGACCAAAAATAAGAATACTATCCCTTGTATATGGATTATTTTTCGGAGAAAATTAAAGTTTTGTAGTAAAATTTCGCACTTTAATTTCATCATTTTCATACAAAATTCCCTTATCAAAAGCTGCTCTCGAGGAAAGACTAAACTCAAGCGGTCAAATAAAATTCAAAAAGAAAGTAGTTTCACGTCCTGTTCAATTTTACATCTGTATTAGTGTCAATTGTTGTTTATAAACTCAAAAAATATTTAAAATCATTAAAAACTTACCGCAACTAAATAAATAGAGGTCAATATTAGACAAAACAACAATGAATGCATCAGATCAGTATGAAATGACTGATAGCTATGTTCAAGATGAGTCAGAATCAGAACAAGGATTTTTGAGAGAACAAGATAGATTCCTTCCGATTGCTAATATTGCAAAAATAATGAAGAAGGCTATACCAAATAACAGTCAAGGAAAGATAGCAAAAGATGCCAGAGAATGTGTCCAAGAGTGCGTATCTGAATTCATATCCTTTATTACGTCAGAAGCATCTGAGCGATGTTCTAATGAGAAGAGGAAAACCATGAATGGCGAAGACATTTTATGGGCAATGCAGAATCTGGGATTTGATAATTATATAGATCCATTAAAGATGTTCCTTCAGAAATATCGAGATGCATCGAAAAGTGACAGTACAGGAGAGGATGGACAGAATGAGGATGCAACTACATTTAATAAATTTCATTTATTTTAAATTTTCAGTATTTTTTTATAAATAAAATTAAGAAATAAAATCTAGATTGTTTAAATCCGAGTCTAACTATGTTGTTCTGCATAACAGTCAAAATATATTCAAGTCCATATTTTGGATGATCTTCTTATTATTCATTCATAAAGATTATTCGCGCCAAGTCAATTTGATTTTTACTCTTTTATCAAAAAATAAACTAAAATCTGATTGAAAATTAAAAATTATTTTACTTGCTTTTTGTGACGTTTTTGGTGTGCTTTTAAATACCGCAGAAAAGCTTTAAGAATTTCAATAATTTGTGAAATAAACAAAATTTGTCATTTAATTCAAATGGATGAGTCATGTTCCTTAGCAGAAGCTTTAACAACTTTATCATCACCAAATTATGGACCATATTCAATTACAAAAGATAAAACAATTAAAATAAATTTTGTGATCAACGAGAAGCTTTCAGATGAGCTTAATGCAACATCATTTACTCATTATTTTCCAAAGGATCATTCAGTTCGGTTGACATTTCGATCAACAGTTGAAGGAAGTGAAAATAAAATATTTTGGAAGTTGCGATGCAAAGAACAACAAAAACAACAACAAAAGTTTTGTTTACTTCACATTGATGACGACTCAGATGGAGCTGTTACTGACTATTGTCAAAATCATATTGATGATGGATTAGTGGATGATTTTTATGGTGAGTAATTGTTTTTGTTGGGATAATTAAGGAACAGAATATTTAAAACTTTATTGGGAAACTTGAATTTTGCTGATTAATGGCTGATTAAAAAATAAAATAAACTTTAGCTGTTCAAGCTTTAAGCTCTATAGCTGCGCATTACAAGGTTAATGAGAATTTCAGTAGTCAAGAGTCGCTAGAACACAATGCTCAAACCTAGACCCACAGTTTGTAGTGGATTCGGACCACTCCTTTTATGAGATGCCTGACTAAAGTCTACAAAAGTAGGCTTTAAGTCTCATTTTCAGTTCAAATGCTTTAAAAAAAATAAAAGAAAAATTTCCCATGCCGAGTCTCAAACTATGTAGCTCATCTTTAACTAGTTGAGATAGACGCATTTTTTGTCACAAATACACATGATCATCCTAGCATAAATCCGTTCCTTTTTCATATTGATTGCAATAAATAGTTTTTCAGGGTCCGTTAACTTTTGGTAGATAATCCTTGTTTGAATTTTGAAAAATATTCGAAGAGTCCAAAATGCTAAACAGGGGTCGGTTTCTAGGCCTCGGGTAATTAGGTCCCCCTTGAATGCTCTCCACCTAGGTTTCCCTAGGCAGTGTGGAGTTGGATAGAGTAGGTTCCCCTTGGGTACTTATGAGAGGTAAGATAGGGTATCCTATGGTGATCTAACTATCCTGAATAGAGAAGGGGTGTGCTATATGTCATCTAGTACATCCTAGGTTACCCTAGTTCACCTCAGGATAGCCCTAGAATACTCTTATTAAACCCCATTCCAGAAAGTCTAAGTTAACTATCCTTGGATTATTCTGAGGTTTTTCTATGGTAATCTAGGTGGAGAATAAGGTAGGGCATACTAGGGTGACGTACATACTCGGGGCAGGGTACGAAGGGGGTGCCCTGGGTAGCCCCGAAAAATCAATCTCAAGTCTTAAATTAATAATGAAAATTTAAAGACATTTCACAAAATTATTTCATTTTAAAGGAATTCCCAGCATCTATAAAAACAAGAAGAACTTAAATGTAAAAGACCTAAAAGATAAAAATGATTTAAATCTTCTCATCCTTGCCGTTATGAGAAACCAAATTGATATTGTTGACAAACTCCTGAAATATGACTTTGACTTAGATTATGAAGTTACAATTAACCCTGAAACAGAAGTAAACTTTACTGCCATCGATAAAGCTTGGGATATATTTTCTAAATCTATAATTGAAGAAGATAAATTCAACAGCAGTCAAATCATTATAAGCCTCCTTAATGCCAACTCACGGCTACCAAAAGTATTTAACTATGACACAGCATCAGATGGAATTAAAAAGTTTTTGGATCAATGTGAAGCACTGCATCAGTTGATAAGAAATGACAACTTTGAAGTTTTTAAGGAGGAACTTAGTAAATATCCAAATTTATGGCACATTTATAACAAGAATAACGTTTCATTAATGACTGTAGCATTGCAAGAAAGTAAAAATAAATGTAAATTTGTTGATTTCCTGTTTAAGTCAAGAATATACCCAGGACAGCATGAAGCTGAAAATGTATCTAAATTATTGGAAAACTTTCAAATCACACAAAAACGATTGTGGAGAAAAAAGCGTCAAATTAATGCAGAAGAACTTTTTAAAGCACATGTTTTTACATTAATTTCCAAAACAAAAGTCAGCAATTACGACAGAAGACATCAAGAGCGATACAGACTAATTTTGGAAGCTTTCGAAACCATCGATCAACATGAAGGATGTCGAAAAGTTCTCAAAATTGCTGCAGCTTGTAAGAAAGTTCAAATCTTCTTCGACTTTAAGCATGACTCAACTTACTACTTTGATACACTCACATCACTTAGAACTAGTGGAACAACTTATGGATCTGGTGTCATTGAAATTGGTGCGAAAGGTTTGCTGGATGAGAACAAGAAGTTTGAAGTCATCGGAGTTCTGATTCATGAGCTTTGTCATCTGGCAGTTCTAATGACATACATGAACAATTTTGATCCATTTCAAATGGGTGAGTCTGAAGATAAGAGAAGATTTGTTGAAGAAGTTAGGCAAGAATGTGAAGGAAATCAAGATTTTGAACATCTTATTGGATCAGTTTTTGTTTGTTATCCAAAGGAACATTTTGATTCAGAGTTAATTGTTAGGGCTTATCACATAAAGTTGCATTATCAAGAATATTCTCAAAGAATTGCTGATTGTGAGGCAGAATATCCACAATTATTCAATTATGTTAATGAGGTTGTTGAGCCAGAATTTGACAAAGCTTTGCCAGTTTTAAAAAAGTTACAAAATGATGAGGAAATAGTAAAATTTAGTGACCTTACAGACCCAATGAAGGCAAAGGTTTTGCATACTGAAATTTATTTCCAAGGGATGGAAACTTCACTTTTTAATATAATTGGAAATGACACAGAAATTCTTCAACTTTTGACTTCAGAACAGATTAAAGACATTTTATTGAATCGAAAAGATTTGAAATTTGGGGACATTTGTGAGTTAAAACTTGATTATAGCTATACTGAGAGAAAGTTCTTACAAATTGGCATGGAACACGATTTAGATTCAAAGAATTTTGAAGATGTTAAAAATTTAGTTGAAAATTCAAGGGTTTTTGTCTTGTCTGGAAAGGCTGGCGAGGGTAAAACCACAACATTTAGAGATTTAACAAAAAAGTTGAAAGAAAATTTCCAAAATTTTTGGGTGTCATTTGTAAAATTGAGAAAATTTAAGGATATTTTTGACAATTTAGACTTTTTAAAAGACTTGAATATTGATGAACTTTGTCAAATTTTCTGTGCAATCTTAATTCCTAGTTCAAAAGATCTAAAATTCAATATTGAGACAAATTTTGAGGTTAGAATTTTCAAAAAATTATTTTTAACCGGCAAAGTAATTTTACTACTCGACGGAGTTGATGAAATCTGCCCAAAATTCAACGATTTTATCATAAAAATATCAAAACTCATCAAATTTGAAACAAAAAATCAACTTTGGGTTTCAACACGTCCACAACATGCTCAACAACTTGAGAAAGCTTTAGATACTGAAATTTATAATTTAATTGAATATTACAACATTGAAAGAACTGCATTAATTAAGGAAATTTTGGAAGTAAATTCTAAATTAATTGATGACGTGACACTTGAAAAATTTGAGAATTTATTCATTAATTTTGATGACTTTAATAATCCTCTGTTGATTACAATCATTGCTGAGCTATACGCAAAAGAAAAAATTGATTTAGAATTTGATTCACTTAATCGTTTTGGGATTTATAAAGCTCTTGTGGATGAGCAAATGCGAAAAACTGAAGAGAAAATTGATTTTGATGATCGAAAAAATTCTTTGAATTTTCCAAAAATGTTGCAAGTTTTGGCACTCAAATTTATGCTTGAACCAGAATTAATTGAAAATTTGTCAGTTATTAAAAATTGGAAAAATGAGAAGAAAAATTGGACAGCCGAGAAAATTCAAAGATTTGGTTTTGTGATTGTCGATTTGGACTTTTTAGAAACTGACAATAAAAATTCAATTGATTTTATTCATAACACGGTTGCTGAGTATTTATTGATTCAATTTATTCTTGATTACATTTTTAATGAAGAAATGAGCGATAAAATAATGGAAAAAATTTTCAATATTTTAAAATCACTCGAAACAAAATGGAGAGATGAAAATTTTTTGTCAAGTTCTTTAAAAATCAAATTTTCTGAAAATTGTAAACTTCATGAAAAATTAAAAGATTTAATTGTTAAAAATATTGAGGATGAAGTTGAAGAAAATGATAATTATCTTTTAACAAAGATAAACTTTTGGTGTCAATTTTTACAAAATGATGTTAAATTATTGAGAAAATTGTGGAAAATTGACAGCAAAACACCTTTAATTAGTCAATTATTACCAAAAGAATTCAGCAATTGTGTCAATGATTTTGGGGATTTATTAAAGAACATTAACAACTGCCTTGGAGATAATTGGCATAAAATTTTAAACAAAAATGTTAAAAACGTTGAAGATTGTTCAGATTTTGAAGACTTAAGTGTCATCAAAATCTTCGAAGATAAAGTAAAAGTCGAGCATTTTAAAAACTTCCTCAAACTTTTAAATTTGATCGATGAAACATTTGATTTTTATGATAAAGAAAAGTTCAGAAAAAGTTTATATTCGCTATTTACAATTGTTGGATCGATTCATCGAATATTTGAATCCAGCACCGAATTATTCGGATCTAATTTCAAAAAATGTTTCAGTAAAATCTTAAAAATATTTCCAAACGATGAAAACATGTTTTTTCTTATTTTAAATCAAATTATTCAACTTCTCGTTGAAAGTGAAAAGTTTTCATGTTTTGAGGAAATTTTGATTGAGTTTTGTGAAAATGATTTTGCAAAAATTCAAAATTATTTATTTACCGGTGAAATTTTATCCAGTATTGCAGAACGGATTGAATTTGATCCGAGTAGGAATGATGAAATTAAGATTTCTGCAAGGGAAAATTTTTGTCACAAGTTTACATTTTTTATGGATTTATTTTTAAAATATAAAACTTCAATTGAACAAATTCAAAATCATATAAAATTATTTTTTAATATTTACACATTGCTTCGAGTTATGCCTGATGACTTTCTGCCAACTTTTACAAACTACATGAAAATAATTTTTGAGTCCAATTCTGAAAAGCTTTTTGAATTTGTTGGCAAAAGTCAAGATTACTTTGACAGTCGAGTTTTTGACAAACTTGAAGAATTTTTGTTCAATTTCTTTGATGGAAATGATGAAAAAGTTAGAACTGGAATGAGAATATCTTTATTTAGAGAATCACGTCCTGAATATGATAATCCAGATTTCAACGAGAATTCTGCTAAAAATCTAGAAGAAATCATCAAAATATGCAAAAAATATCAAAACCCTTCCGAAGAACTTCCAAAATTCTTAAAAAGCTGGAATTTTTTGGCTAGAGTTTTTCATTCAATGTCAATTGATTCCTACTCACTCTTTAGAGAAGCTGTAAATGAGCTTTTCAATGCAGATCGAACTCAATTAATCAATTGCATATCCGAATGTCATGTTTCCACATGGATCATCAGCTCTAAGCCAAAATTTACAGAATTTCATAACTTTTTAACAGAGTTTTTCAAAAATGACGAAGAAAATGTCAAAAAATGTATCAAAAAGATGATGCTAAGTGATCCTAGTTATTGTAAAATTTTAACAGACTCTATTAATGATGAGACTGAATATGAAAGAATTGAAAATATTTTTACTGAATTTTTAACGATTGAGGAACTTCAACAAGGGTTTATGCATAAAAATGCACTATTTGACGCATTTAATGGACGTGATGTTCAAAATATTCAAAAATTTGCTCAATTTATTAAAAGAATTGTTCAAAATAATCCACAAATTTTTGACATAATTTTTGACTCAAATTCAAATATTTCAATAACTTACAATGATGAATTTTTGCCTCGATTTGAGGAATTTTTAATAGAATACTTTGATAATGAAGAATATTTGGTAAGGTTATTTATGAGAAAGTTATTATTTAGCTACAATTATGACCAAAATCCATTTTTAAGTGCTATTCATTATAAATTTGATCTTAGAAAATTTCAAAATATGAAAAAATTCTTCATAAAATATAAAAATTCGTTTAATGAGCTTCAAAAGTTTTTCAATACTTATTCAGATTTATTAAAAATGTTGGAAATGGAACTTTTTGGCGAAATGGAAGAATTTTTAATCGAAATTTTTGCATCTAATGAATCTTCAATTTTGCGTTGTATCAATTACAATCATGGACATTTATTGATAAAAAAACCACAAAACCTTAAAAAACTTGAAGTCTTTTTGAACAAAATATTAGAAAACGACGAAGAAAAAGTAAAAAATTGCATTAAAAAAATTATATTTAAAAATTATGGTGATAATTTCAATAACTTTACAGCACTAGCATGCTCAAGTGATGCAAATGACATGCAAATTTTAATAAATTATTACAAAGAGTTGAAAAGTTCATCGGAAGAATTGCAAAATTTATTTACTTCAAAAGCATTTAAATCTTCAGTTTTTCAACACATGACAGATGAAGCGTATCCAATATTCAGACAATTTGTAGTTGATGTATTTCAATCTAATTTGACTGAATTAGGGAATGTGTATGAAAATAACTTTAATCAATGCATTGGTAACAAAAGATTCAGTAGATTTAAGCAAGATTTTGAAAATCTCATTTTTGCAGAACAACCTTAGTCGCTAATATTAAGTTTTAATAACTGACAATTTATTTATGTCTTGAAATGTCATTTTACAATGAAAAAGTTAATAAAAAATTTATCAAAAAAATTACAGAAGTCCTCGTGTTATTGATCGAAGGAATTAAGCGCATTTTTGTTTTAGCGATCAGTATTTGATTATGTAATTATTTTGCGTTCATTTACAGATCATTAGAAGATTAGAAGATCATTAATTTTAGTGTAATTAACAAATAATTACAATGTATGCTTATATAGAAAAGCTTTATTATTTAACGGTTAAAAAATAATTTGAAATTTTGCCGTTAAAAGTTGCACTACGAAAACATTAATTATAGTATAATTAAATAACTTATTGCAATAAATTTCCATACAGAAAGAGTTTATCATTTAACGGTTTTTCGAAATTCAAATTTTAACGACTTTTAAAAATTTGAATTTATAGAGGTAGTCGAAAAAAATTTGAACAGGTTACACTGTTGAAATTAAAGAAATTATTAATTAAAGTACAAAGCCATTGTTTTAAGCTTTCTTACTAATCGATACCGGAATAACACGATAAAAATGAGCTAATAAAACAAACCCGAGCTCTCTACGATGTCTTGTTGATGAGATCTCGGTTAGCAGCCGAACAAAGTGAGTTATTAAGCTACCTTTTTGTATACAAGTATACAAAAATGCGCTAAAAAATCTAAATCTTAATCAAGAATTGATGTCACAAAGAACTGATCAATCACAAGTGCCTTCAACTTTGATCCTTTGCCAAGAACACCATTTGTGAATTCAGATGCCGATGGAAGTTGCAACAAGACATCAGCATGAATAAGACTTGCAACTCTGCTGCTTATTTGATTCGATGTAATTTGTGCATAATAAAATTTAGTCTTATTACTGTACGAGATCGTAGCTCTGACAAATTCGGGTCGTTGATCTAATTCATACTTTGGATCTTGTAGGATGACTGAAATTGTTGGAAGAACTGACTTAGTCTTTGTAAATCCACTCATGAATCTCAAAGCAGGCATCACAAAAATATGGAAGCATACAAAAGCTGAAACTGGATTTCCGGGCAATGCAAAGAATGAAGTTCCGGTTCCATTAGATGCGAATGTCATTGGCTTGCCTGGCTTCACATTAACACGTCCGAAATGAATCTCAAAGTCTAGTTCCTTCAAAAGTGGCTTAACAAAGTCTTTATCGCCCATCGAGACACCACCACTGCTTATTATGACTTGACAGTCTTTTATGGCTGCTTGAACTACAATCTTTAAGGATTCATAGTCATCCTTAGCTATTCTAGTGAACTTGACATCAAATCCATACTTTTGACATAGCAGCTTCAACATTGTCGTATTTGAGTCGTAAATTTTGCCATCTTGCAGGTCACCAGACGTCGGTTCCACAAGTTCATCACCTGTTGAAATAATCGCAATCTTTGGCATCTTTTGAGTATGATTCAGTCCAACAGATGCAAGCAGTGTCTTCTCAGCAACATCCAAAATTCCACTTGTTGTAAATAAAATATCATTTTTCTTTAAATCAGTTCCAACGTCACGGATGTCCAGGTTCTTATGTGGAAATTGTTTTATTTCGATCTCATTTTCAGTTCCATCAGAATGCCTAGACGCTAATTTTGTATCCTCAACCTGAATGACACAGTCAGCATAATCAGGAACTGGAGCACCTGTATTAATCTTGTAGCACTCCTCATCTGCAAAATTAGATTTAATGATTCCATCGCCAGCATTAACGAATCCAATGACTCGTCTGAATGGCGAGTTTGAGGACGACTTCATAGCATATCCATCCTTAATACTTGCACGGAATGGAGGGCAATTTAAAGGACTTTTGTAGGTCATTGGCTTGGAAATTTGACCAACTTTATCAAAAATTATGTCCAGAGCCTTAGCTACGTCAATCATTGGATACGGTGAGTTCCGGTCAGATTTATCGGATAGATTGGCTGTCTTATGAGGACAGACGTGTTTTGGTGGAGTTGCTGGAACTGGTTCTGGTTGATTTTCAATCAAACTAGCTTTGCTTGTACTTCCTTGTGCTAAAGACATTGGACTAACGGGAGCAGCAACAGTAATTGATGATGAAAGCTGGCTGAAAATGCTGCTTGAGTCAGAAATCTTGTCAAGGACACCACCGAGTATTGCATCATCTAAGCTTGACGATGATTGTTGCAAGAACTCGCTAAAGTCACTGTATTTGGATTGACTTGATGTTTTGGATGTAAATGCTTTGTAGAGGTCGACTTTGTGATCGGTCGATGAATCAGGTAAGGATTTTGATGTTGTTGATGATGCTTGAATGATAAAAAAAATTGTTGTTAGATTAATTCGAGAAAAGAGAACATTTTTTAACTTGATGGAGCACGGTTGTACCCAAAAATGCCCAATTAAATTATAAACAACCATAATTGTCTATAGTCAGTTTTGTCAACTTAAAGCTTCAACAGTCCATAAAGAGTGCTAACTGTCCAGCAGAAAGCCTCTATAACCCATGAGGATACACACTAATCCTTAAAGATGTTCAATTATTCCCAATACTGCTCATTCATTTTTACTAAATCACTACTGATCCCACTTGACCTAACGCGTAGTTCATTTTATTCATTCACTTACCTTCATCATCTCCAGGCTTTCCAGCAACTTCCCTCTCTTTCTCTTCAGTCCTAGCAACTTCATAATAAGCCGGTGGTCCATCAACTGCTTTAAAATCCTGAATCATCTTATGCATCTCTTGCGTTTTGTTCTTCATATCACAAATCAGTTCCATTGCGTGTGGCAACAGCTCACGAACAGCATCAAAGCACTCAGTGCATGCCTTAACACTGCCAGGGAAATTAAGGATCAAAGTTTGTCCACGAATTCCACAAATTCCTCTCGTCAGTGCTGCAAATCGAGTGATTCTAAGTCCTTCCATTAACATGAGGAAAGCAAGTTGTGGAAATTCACGTTCAATGACCTTCTTTGTTGCTTCTGGAGTCACATCACGAGGAGCACATCCAGTTCCACCTGTTGTAATAATGCAATTGAGCTTAAGATCGTCCGAGTAGTACAGCAAAATCTTCTCAATTTCAACAATCTCATCTGGAACTGTCGATTGGGTGACTTTAAAGGCATTGAAGTAGTTTTGGAGGAGCATTTTGATCTTTGGGCCACTTTTGTCGATTGCCTCATTTCGATGGCATGTGTCAGAGACTTAAATTGAGGATTATTATAGAGTTGCCATTTTTAATGTATTTTGTGATTTTGTTTAATGATTTGGCAATATAGTCACTTACCAGTAATGACTCCATACGAAAAATCTACCATTTTGAAGGAATTTCTAATTTGATATCAAAAAATAAATTTAAATTTGATTAAATCAGCAAAATTTTGTGTTTAAAATTCACCGATCACTAAAATTATGTTTTTTTTTTTTTTTTATCAAAACATTGCACTGATGTTGAGTGCCCTTTATTGTGTCAAGTGGATGGAAACATTGAATGTTTTTTTATGAACAACAACAGGTTGTTGGATTTGAATGTTTTGAAGCTGTTAAAATTAAAAATTTAATAAAATCGATTATGAAATTTGATTGATTTAATTGAAGAAAGGTTTGATTTTTTAAGGATGTTGAAATTTAAAAAAAAAAGGAAACTTTACTATTAAAACTTATACAAAAGATGCGGAACTGATAAATTGCATTTTGATCAATTTTGATCATTTTTTGATCAATTTTGCTAATTGTTGATATTTTTTGATAATTTTTGATCATTTTTGATCATTTCATCTGTTCCAAACCCTCAGTTTAGACCTTAAAATCCATAAAAATTTGAATCTAAAAGAGTTTGAATAGTTGACGTAAGCTAAAAGCACAGCTATTAAAGCTGCTGTTACACAAACCATAAGTTGACAATCTATAACTTCAGATCAGGCGCGTAGCCAGGAGGATCTTGTCCCCCCTTAAACGTTTTGAGCCGCAGCGAGAACACGGCCTAAAACGTTGAAGAGGGGGACAAGACTCTACTGGCTACGCGCCTGCTTCTGATTCTGAATTCAAGATGCCTTCAGATAGTTGATTGTGATTAATGACATTCCTGTCTCCAGCCTGCATAAGAAACTACAAACTTCATTTCTAGCTCATAATATTCCTTGTACTCTTCTAAGAAGTGTTGTGGTGTTGATTTCTACATTAAATTATGATTAACTTGACTAAAACCAAGTTTTTTTCTACTTTACAAAACTTCAATCTACTTGATTCAACCTTACTTGACTCACATTTGCAAGCTTTGATTTGACCTTAATCAACACATCTGCTAGATTTAGAGTAACTAGATTAAAATTCACTGTTCACAAGGTTCTACAAAACATCTCATTCTAAAATAATCGACAAAATTTCCCAAACCACACGACAGTTTCAAAAAATAAACAAATTATTTCTGCATCACAACAAAGCAGACAAAAAATTACAATCTAATGTCAATGTTAAGCTATTTATTGTAGTTTTTGCCACTCAATTATCTTTTTATGCTCACACAGCTTAATTTGTTTGTGGACGAATGGGTTCAATTTCATAATTTTCATCTTTTTCATTCTAAATTGCTGCAATTTTTTGAGTGAATTCTCAACACATGGAAAGTCTTTGGTAAAATCAAATTCTTTGGTCAGTTTTAGTCGTCAATTTGACGAGTTGAGAGGAAAAATATTTAAAAATGTTTGTTAATAAATTTGCAATTTTGGTGATTTTAGTGAAGTTTTCGGAATCTCAATTTTATTTTGGAACAACGCCAAGTCCTAGTTATAATCCATATCAATATACTGCGTACAATCCATACACAACTTATAATCCATATAATCAATATCCGTACAATAATCAATACAATCCATATTATAACTACTCATTCCCATCTGGAATCGTCACAGGAAGTAAGAAATAAATCTGATCTAAATTACTTAGTGCTTAGTCTTCAATATTAATTAATAAAATACATCCAAAATAAAACAAAGGTCAGTGCATATGTGTGACATCTGGTTCCTGTAATCGAGCAAATGGAAGCTTCTTTGTCACAACTGATGGATCGGGTTTGATTGATATTCGTCTTCTTAATGTAAGACTTGACATTTTTAGTCTGGTTCCTAGTGCTACCTGGTGATTCCTAAATTCTTAGATCATTCTTTGGTCCTCTGAATAGCGCTAGATATCAGTCCCTGATTATATATTGTCAAATTTATATTAAAAATCTTCAATTTACAGTCCGGAGGTTATTATTCATCCTCATCAACATCTGTTTATACAACACCTGCTTCAACAGGAATAACATTAAGTATGCAGCTTGCATCTAGTTGTACCCAAAACTTTGAATTTTAATTCATTCAAATTAGGTGTGTCATCTCAGTCATCATGTCAGTCTGGTCTAGATTTATGCTGCGTATCATCATCTTATACATGCGGAGTTCGATTTCCTCCTGTTGTAGGTGCAGCAACTACTGTCACTGGTCAAGGTATAACTTTAGTATAAGAAGGGAGTCATGCTTTAAGCTTCACTTGCAAAAAAAGCAAAAATCAAAATTAGCCTTATGAACCCAAAGCCTTCCTACTTTGTTACTAATGATTATGAATATTAAAGTTTCATTTATTCTTCAGCTCCATATGGAAGTTTTCCTTGGTTTGCTTTGATTCTTCAACAAAGTACAAGCACGTACGTTGCATCTGGTGTGCTAATCGATCAAAGACATGTCCTGACAGTTGCTCATAAGATTTCTACTTATGCGTAAGTTTATTGATGGTTGTATCTAGAAAATGTGTTCGATTACCAAAAATATTGATGCTTAATCTCTTCAATTTGAATTCTAGATCAACACCATACTCCCTTAAAGTGAGACTAGGCGAATGGACGATCGGGGGATCAAAACCAATAAATTTCATGGAATTTAATGTTATTCGAGCATTTACACATTACGCATTCAATCCTAATTCATTAGTAAATAGTATGGCGATTCTAAGAGTCAGCCCAGATGTTCCATTAGGTTTGACTCCCACCATCGCAACGGCTTGTCTATCTAGTAAGATTTTTAATATTTAATCATTTTTTTCCAATCATTAAGTAACTGGAATTTTGAAAATATTCAGCAACTTTAATCAGATCCGCTCGATGTTGGGTTGCTGGCTACGGGCAAGGAGCGTTTGGAAGTACATCAACTCAAAGTATTTTACAGCAAGTTGAGGTTCCATTGGTTGACCAAACAACATGTCAGAATCAGCTGAGAACTACGAGACTTGGCACTGGATTTATATTGGATCCCACGAGGTAACTTTAACGCTTTGAAATGTTGATCTAAAAAACCTTAGAGCTAAACCCTTAAACGTTTGTTTTCAGCTTCTTATGTGCCGGTGGGATTAGTGGACGTGATGCATGCACAGGTAAGTGAAAGTAACTTCGATTTTACAAAAAAATATTAAAAAATTCATAAATTTCAGGTGACGGAGGTTCGGGTCTAATGTGTCACAACAATGGTCAGTGGTATGTTGTTGGACTTGTTGCTTGGGGTAAGTTGACTTGCAAAATTAAAGTTTTAAATGTTTTATGATAAATTTCTATCCACAGGTATCGGATGTGGTGCTCAAAGTATACCCGGTGTCTATATGAATGTGACAAATTACATCAGCTGGATTCAGTCAACGACAGTTCAAGCTTAAGGGATTTATACTAATTTATTTTGCTCACAGGAATTATAATTGATTTTTTTAGAGTTTTATTAAAAATAAAGTTTGTAAAATTAATGAAAATTTTTGTGGTTTTGTGTTTTTTATCGACCGAAATTTATTTTTTATTTTGAACTATTGACATGCAGATATCCACTCTTTATCTCATCTTGACTGATTTATTTATTTAAATCTGAGAATATTGTGAGGAAATCTTAAACAGCCTTTTTTAATACCGCTGACCTCAAGTATACCAAAAGTATTGATAAATTTTATTACAAGTGCAATTCAGATAAACTCAAATAATAAGTGGCAGTGATCAACAATGAAGTATGAGACTCCACATCAGTGTTTCTCAAACTTTTTTGGCTGCGGAGCACTAAAGGAGAAGTAGATCATCTGTTCATGTTTTCTTGCTACACTGGCAACTACTATAGACACATCTAGAATTTTCTTTTGAAACAGTAAAGCTACCTGGAGCATAGTTTGAGAAACACTGCTCTATATGGTTAGCTCAGTGGATAGGATTTGGTCCAAGACTATCATATGCTTTCTAAGATTAATTCGAAACTTAACAATTCTTGAATAATTGACAGAAAAGTGACCATAAACCTTAATTATTTCAGAAATCTCTTTCTACGCTGCATCCTAAGATAAATCCTCAACTTTATCATTTTAGCTATGCTGCTATGGCTTGAAGAGTATATCTGTAGTAGATAGGCCTGAGCATAGGGCTCACAGTGAAACTGGTTATATGTGTATGACGGATAGTCGAATTGAGATTAGCTCCTCGGTGGAAGAGGGGCAGAGATCTCTGATTGAGTGGTCACAGGTCGCCTCTTTTGAGGTCGTGGCTTTGATTCCCATCGAACCCGACTTGTTTTACATTAGTATGCACATAAATCATTTATAGGGAGATCTACAAGCTACAATGTTCATTTTTAACTGACCACAATATCCAATAAATCAAACCTCAAGCCCCCCAAAAAAGAATGTCAAACATCCAAGTAAACACCAAAAGCTACAAGAAATTTGTCAATAATTGAACAAGTTTACTCATCCGCCACCAACGTCAATGCAACAAATTTACAAAAAATAATTTAATCAATTTTAAACAAATTTTCGAGCGAGTCGCACTTGAAAAATTAGAAAAGTTTCCCCAAAAAAATTAATTATTTTATTTATTTAATCAAGTCAAATAATAAATAAATGTTAAGGTTGATTCAGTGTGAAATAAATTGAGCTCAATTTAAAGTAAATTAAACTCTAATCAAAGATAATCGACGGATGATTGTAGTATAAAATTCACTATCATCGCTTCTGTTGATTCCATTATCCCACAGACAAAGTTTGCAAAATGTATCGTGTGAAATTTTTGATAATTTTAACAATTTTTAAGTACGGAAATCCACAGACAGTTCCAAATGTGTGTTTTTGTGTGACTGCTGGGAGTTGTGCAACTCTTGGGTCGGGAGGTCCTGTGGTGCCTACACTCCCTCCTAATTCTGGTAGTAATGATGGAACAGGTAGTTTGTAGTCGCTGTAGACACTATAGATGATTTGATGTTTGCTTTTTGGTTGAGGGTGCAAGTTGGTGCTATAATTTTTTTTAATTAAAAAAGTGTCAATTTTTGGTTATAATTTTTTTATGTTTTTTTTTAAATTTTCAAGGTAACATTGATATTCGAATTCAAACAGTAAGTATCACATGTCCTTAGCTTTTAAATTAATCTGGGTGCTCAAGTTGCATAGCAAAAATATAAGTTGAAGAGTTGATTGCCTTTTTCAAAACCACTCCATTTGTAATCAATTATTTAAAAATATATTTCATTAAATTATTTTACAAAAGAGTGGAACAGGTCCATCTGGTGGCACCGGAACGACACAATTGTTGACGTCTGTTGCTGGGTCAGGATTAACTCCTGGTAAGATGATTGTTATCCAAAACTAATCACATTTTTCCATTAATTTTTAAAAACTATCTAAACCTAGTTATAAACTCACCAGCAACATGTCAAGCAGGTCTAGAAAGATGCTGTCCATCAACAGGTATACGCAATTATTTTTGCAATTTTTGGTTGTGAAACTTTTACAAATATTAATTCATAAAAATTGCAAAACAACAAAAAACTTGTTTTAAAAAATAAAACACGGAAAAAATTGCTTTGCAGGCTATCAATGTGGATACAGATTTCCTCCCATTGCTGGAGCTCGTGCACCAATTGCAGGCTCAGGACAGTCAAACTATATGTCGTATCCATGGCAAGGTAAGCTACTTGATTTAATTTAAAAGATGGCCTCGTTATTCAAAAGTTTCCAGACATCCTTGAGTTCTTATTTGATTGGAGGTCTTAAAAAGATTAGGCTTGCCAACTGTTCATGCATCTCTGACCTCTGGACGATTCTCAGAGTCGCTAAATTTTTCTTTATCCTAGAATTTATAAACAATGGACAGAACCTTGTGAAGCTTTAGAAAAAAAGTCATTTTATTTGGTTTTTAATTCTAAAATTTTCCGTCCTAAAACTGAAAACCTTGCTGTGACTATTTGAAAATTTAACTATTTCATAATCTGTCCGATACTGTCTTTATCTCAGCGTAGCTAAATCATTTAAAATCCTTATTTATTTTCAGCTGTACTACTGGCTTCTGATAACTCTTTCCAAGGTTCTGGTGTTCTGATTGATCATTTGCATGTTCTTACTGCTGCTCATAAGCTTAATGAATCAACGTAAGTTTGCAGAACATTAACCTAAACGAAATATGGCATGGGCAGATGAACAATAGTGGATTTAAGGTGGAAAGAGCCTAAATTCATGCTTTCCTAGTCAATACCGACTTGATGACACTATCTTCCTTTATTCAATGCCCAAAGCTATTCTTTCAACCCCAAAAAGAAACAAATTCAATATCAATTGTGTAATTTCCAGAGTATTTGGACGACTTCTAAAAGTTCGTCTCGGCGAGTGGGATGCATCAAGTTTGAATCAAGTAATTACACCACAAGAGTACCAAGTAGCGAGGATCTTCATTCATCCTCAATTTACAGCATCAAATTTGAGAAACAGTATTGCAATTTTGAGGCTTTCAACGCCTGTTACTTTGGGAACTACGCCTAGTATTACTCCGGTAAGTGATGATTATGAAGTAATGGGAATTTGGTGTGTGAAATTTGTTTGTGCGGACGGAATAAGTATGGAGGGTTTGGCCCTAAAACCCTTCTGGTTACGCCCCTGCTAGGGGAATGCAATATGATAGGGAATTCAAAGTTTTAATGGGGAATTCCTACTGATTTCCCATCATTTTGTCTTCTGACCGCAACTTCAAAAATACCTGCTTGATTTCACTACTTTCTTTAATCTTTAGGGTTGCTTACCAACAAGTTTAGTCAATGGCGTTAGATGCTTTGTGTCTGGGTAAGATCTTAGCTTTAAAATTCTGAAAGATATCCATAACATTTGAATTTTTCAGTTGGGGTCGTCAGGATTTCACTCCAAATTCTCAATATTCACCAATTCAAAAGGAAGTTGATCTGCCAATTATTGATCAGAATACGTGTCAGAGTGAGTATTTGAGATGGCAATGATTGTTTTAAAGCTAATGTCAATATGAATTTGAATTACAGATCAACTGAGAGCTACAAGACTTGGATCAGGATTTGCACTTGACTTTCAGAGCTGTAAGTAATTTTAATTCTACACAAACGTGTTCAGTTTTGGGGTTTGAGGTAGTAAGGACTGCATAAGACAGTGGTTCTCAAACTATGTGACGCGAAAAAAATTTCTAGATTTGCGGCGAAAAATTTGATTACTAAAATTGACCCTTTATTTTTATGTTTTATGATTTTATCTATTTTTCTGTAAAAAATGTACCGTGGACCAAAAAAGTTTGAGAAACACTGACCTTGAACCTCATTCAACTTCATTATGTTAAGCATCATATTAAACTCAGCATTTTAAATAATTTAACATTATTTTCTACTTGATTTCAGTCATGTGTGCAGGAGGTGAAGCTGGAAAAGGTAAGATAAACATTAATTTTTGACTGCTGAGCACTTTTTTATAAACAAGGATTTTTTTCTATCTTTTTCAGATGCTTGGTAAGTATTCTAACATGTTAATAACATTAAATGATTATTTTCATTATTTTCTTGTCAAAACAACAGCATAGGTGATGGTGGATCTCCTCTTTCGTGTCAGGTACGAATTACAATTTTTAAGGAAACCATTTGAATTTAAAACTGACTTTTTCGTTTACAGATAGGAGCTAACTGGTTTGCTGTGGGTCTTGTTGCATGGGGAATAGGTAAGAAAAATGCACAGTAGTTGCTTAAGCAGATCAGTCTTGACTAAGGTAACAACAACTGCAATGAGTGGTTTTCTTCTTAAACTAGACCTGTGTTGATCAAAATGTGTGCAGCAGCACATGCTGTTTGCGGTTTTGGTCGTTGACTACGATCAATGTCCTGAAAAGCACAAATCGTTTAATCGAATAGAAATCTGGGTCAGATTTCTGGTAGATCAAAGAAATTGTCCTTTTCGGGGGTGTACCTTGGCTCATTTGATATTCTTAAGAACATATAGATTTTGGATCATAAGGAGTTGTCAAGTGACTGTTTGTCTAAAGCAGTGGTTTCCAACCTTTTTTGTGCCACGGCATATCTTGGTGGTAAGCCATGACTAATCCACACACGACATTCAATTCGTGGAATTTTGTGAATTTATTTTGTGGTACACTAGCGTGCCGCGGCACATAGGTTTGCCATTACTGGAAGTTTTAAAAATAACGCTTGCCAAGCTGGTCCTAGCTGCTTTTAAACTTCACTTCTATATTAATTACAGGTTGCGGTACAACAGGCGTCCCTGGTGTGTACATTAACGTAGCCAATTATATATCTTGGATTCAGCAGACAACGAGGTCTTAAGCAATTAACATTGTGATGGCGTTGTAGACATTTTGTTCAAATTTTATTTTATGAAAAAAAACCAAAAATTTCTTTATTTATAAATTTTATTTTTTATTAAATTTAAAAACTTAAACATTTCCAAAAAAATACAACAAATTTTTTTATCTCATAAGTCTCAATCTCTTCGATCTTCTTCTGCCTAAGTCATCGAACCTATCATCAACATCCTCATTTCTCTCCTCCTGATCAACTCTTAAATTCCTGTCATCATCATCGTCACCACCAAATAATAAATTGTCAGCTTCCTCATCATCTGACGACTCGAATCCATCATTATTAATTCCATAGTTCAAAAAGTCATTAAAGTCAATGTAGTCTGCTTCCTGCGGACCTTCATCAACAAAGTCATAGTCCTCATCATCTGAACATTTAGCTTCATCTTCGTTTTTCCTTTTTGGGTACCATTGAAGTGCTGTGCATCGGATCTTTGTGTCTAGCAGCTTCTCAGCATTCTTTTGGATCATTTCGACATCGTAAGTCTCAATTATTAAGTTTTTAAGGTTAGATTCTGTTTCCAGTAAGCCTTCAACGAAGGAATTTGGAAGCTTGAATAGTCCGCCGATGAAAATTTCTTCTAGTTCCGTGCATGTCGTTAAGATCTTCCTTAGTCTGTCTTTGCTTAAAAATGCAAGTCGGTCACCACCCCAAAGTTCAATTTTTAGCTTTTTAAGCTTTGGTGCAGCTAAGATGAGGTTCACTAGTGGCTTGATGTCTGCCTGACTTGTGATTCTTTCAACATAAAGAATTTCTAGAGCCTTAAGCTGTGGGATGTGATTAAAAGACCTCCCTTTAGTGCTGAATATCGACAAATCTTTTAAATTTGGCAGCGACCAAGCAGCTTCTTGGATCAATGGACTGACATCATGTGTGATGGAATTAAGGCTTAATTTTTGTAGTCCTGGACATGCTCTGATAATTTTTCTTGTCTTTCCGACATTCGAGTCACAATGATGAGCCAAAGTCAGTGCCATGTCAGTTATTGACCGATTTTTCGGGATATTTTCCTCAATTCTGTTGAATGTTGGACATACGAGGAACAAGTACTGCAACTTTTTAGCCTTTGGCAGCATGAACTCCAAAAGTCCATCAACAGCTCCATAATTTCCGAGCAGAAACAGCTCCAAAGTCTCAAAATTAGCTTCGATTAATTTTTTAAGTGTATCAAGTTGGCGACGACAAAAGAATTTTTGCCGTTCCTCAATATTCGAGACTGTCAAGTGCGTCAACTTAAATGGCATCTTTGCAGTTTCGATAATTGGGAAGTGATGCTCAAAAAGTAGAGTTTTCAGTTCTGGACAAGTCATTAAGAATGTATTAATCTTATCGTCTGCTGTGTCATAGTCATCATAGTCGTGAATAATCTTTAAGTGCTCAATTTTGTGGACTTTAATCATCTTCAACATTCCACTAGCTTGATGAGTTTCAAGGCTCTTTAAATTTGGTAAATTTAAGCCTGTAAAGTCATCAATGTACTCCTTATAGCTCTGCGAGATCGTCAAGTTTGTGATTTTATCACCAGACAAAGCATTAACAGTCTGAAGGATTGTGCTGCATGATGCTAAGAAGAACTCAATTTTCTCAACATGCTGTTTATGCTTCTTCAATGCTTTCAGTGACCTTTGGAGAAGCTTGTTGTCTTGATAGAATTTAGGACGAAAGACGACTGACTTGTATGGAATATTGTCAAGTTCCTTGATTGATTCCGTTAATTTCTTTGAGTTCTTCATGTTAAATATTGTGTCGAGACGATTGATGAGCGCTGATGAGGAACTGATGATGTGTTGCCATCTAAAATGAAAGAAAATTGAGGGATGAATATTTGGAAAAAGGGGTGTTAAACTATGAAAATTCTTACAGGGGTGTTAAGAGATTAGATCTTTACAAATAAGACTTGCAAAGACATAGCATTAATTCCCAAAACTCCAGATCTAATCCAAGATCATAAACTAAGCTACAGTACATAAAACAAAACTATTCAATTTCTTACCTTCTACAAACTTTTGACGCCGATTTGATTGAGTTTTTGTCAAGTATCTTGAATACTTTGATCATTATATGTTCTGGAATGCTGTCCATGATTTATAGATGTTATTATTAGATGACTTTTAAGGCTTTATTGTGTGATTAGAGGTATTTCTGTTCTCTGATTATCTGAGCTGGTTCTAATGTTGATTTAATTTGATAATTTATTGATATTTTAAGTTCTAAGTTCAATCCAAGCTTCACTTTGTTGATGATTCACCCCAAAACTAGTAAATTGTCAAAGTTTTAGTTTTCAATTCTCACTTTCTTCACAAATTTTCTTTCCAAATTTAATTCTTTTATTTGCTTTTAAATTTCTAATTTCTTAATTCTTCCTTCTTATCACCGTGTATGTCTCAACCTTGCTTGTTCTTCACTAATAATCTCTTGCACAATTCCACAACATTATAAACAATTTTTCCACAGCAAAAAATAATTTTTTAAAAAATCTCCAAAAAACAAAATTCTCACATTTTTTTCATAAACTTTTCAAATTGTTTTGTTTACATGCGATTCGGCACTCTCAAAAACTTTATCAGCTGATGGGTATCCAAATGGAGAGTATTAGTGACATGCAGCATAAATTACATTGATTTGTGTCCAATTGGTAAATTGTTTATGAAAAGTGGATAAATTGTCGGTAATTATGTGATTTTATTAAGAAAATGATGATTGAGGAGGATGTTGAACTTCCAGGTGGTGAAAGTAAGGAAATTTTTGATGTTTGGGGTGAGAATTTGGGTTATTCAGGTTGATTTTGTAGATATGAGTGGATCTAGGTAGTTTTATTAGAAGATATACCTGATAATAGGTCATAACTGATTGTATATTTGTGAATTTTGATTAAAGTTTCTGAAAGCAGTTTAAAGTTCTGAAATTGCAATTAAAGTTGACATAAAAGCTTAAATTTAATACAAAATAGTTTTGCAGTTTATATTGGAAATTCTTTTTATTTTTAAGGATCTGATCTTACCATTAATGGTGAATCTATACAAAGTTTTGAAAATCGGTGGATTCTTGTGTATTTCAAAGTAATTATCTCTTGCAAAAGCACCTAAGAGATCTCCTCAACCCCTTTTAGAAATGCTTTTGGTTGACCTAGACAAATGGTTGAAAATCTTTTATTATGGGCCACAGAACACCTTGATGGTGAGCCATCACACGATTCGTGTGATTTCACAAATTTTTGTTTTCACGGCACATGGGTTTGCCATCCCTGATCTATTTCAGTGTTGTTCAAACTTTTTTGAGCCACTGCACACTTGAAAGGTAAGCCATGCCCGAAGTCGCACACAGTTTGTGGCTCGTGTCAGTTTCAAAAAGTTTTTTACAGTACACCAGTGTGCCGCAGCACACAGTTTGGACAACACTGATCTAGACCTTTTAAAAATCTTACTTAATCTAATGCATTTTAAAACTTCCTATCAAGTACCACCAATCATATTTAATCCTTTAACAATGTTGTATTGCCAAAAGCAACAAGTTTCGTCAACGGAATCTTAAAGCTTGACTCCACATTTTCAACTTTATGACAATTCTTCTTCACAACATTGCAAGCAATTCCATCATATGCAATTCCAATAGACCTCAGGAGCTTCAATTTTGTTGAATCTTTTTGTAGAATTTTAATTAGAAAGTCTGCGCAGTTGTTGACATACTCGAGGATTAATTTATCAATATTCAGTGTCTCCACATCAAATGGTATTAAAGATTTCTTAAAATTAATGTTAATAAGCCTTAATTTCTTGACATTTTGGATGGTAATGTTTGAGAAACTTGACACAAATCTTGAATTTTCTGGCTTAAAAATTGTTAAATTTTCAAAATTTGTGATGTCATTTAGGATCGTCCAATTTGAGAACTTGCTGTCTCTGATGTATAGATTTTTGATTTTTGATGATCTAAAGAGTTTAAGGACTGTTAAGTCTGACGAGATGATTATAAAGTTTTTGATGTCGAATGTTGGAAGTTGAAGATTTTCTTCTGAAGTTTCAAAGTCCAAAAGCTCAAACTTTGAGAACGAAATTTGCTTTAAATTATCACAAAAACTCAAAATTTTCACCAATAAATCTTCATCAACTTTCATCTGATCAAATTGAATGACTTGCATCGAATTCTTGAACTTTTCAAAAATATTTTCCAGCATCTTATTGTCAATTGGACCGTTGAGTTTAAATCTTGAGTACTTTCGGTCTCCAAGGTTAGTCAGTTTGTTGATTGATTGGCTGTCGATGCAAATTTCATAATGTTTGAGAAGTTTCATGCTGTTGCTGATGATTCTGTTGAAATAATTGCAGGTTAGAGTTAGTGACTGAATGTCCATTGGTGAGATGTGTGAGAAAATCTTGATGTAAATCTCTTCAGGTAATGAATTGTAGTCCATTCTTGACAATTCAGAATTTATGATTTTTGAAATAAATTTTTAAAATTTTCTAAAGTGTGCTGCAAGCTATATAGCTTCAGTTTAATACAAATTCATGTATTATGTTTCTCAATTTTTAAGTCTCTCAGTTCAAAATTAATATTTTCAGTGACAAATCACTGTGTAATGCTAATGCACAACTATTCTGATCGACAATTGAATCTAAACTGATTTCACAATTGCTGCATTCTTAAAATAATTCAATCCTCAATCCTTTGTTGATCAGACATCAAAATTCATTTATTTATTTACTTTGCCTACAAAAATTATCTTTATTCAGTTTATTTGTTTCATTTTCCACTAGATTTTGAGTTTCATATCAGTTATTTTGATCTACTTTTATTACGAGTTGCTTAAACATGACCTAGAAAATTGAAATGGGTGATTTATCAATTATTATCCGTGAAGTTGGTTGATATTAAACTAGAAAAACAAAATTCAGTTTATAGTGCCGCAGGTGCGTATGTCAGGGGAGGGAGGTGGGGGGAATTTGGGAGACAAATCATCCTAAGTTAACACAGACATTTATTAATTTTGCTAGAGTTTTTATGAATCCCCTCCCACCCGCAAATTATCAAAACAAAGGAAATTTCCTTCCCCCCAGTCCTCACATTCCTGGCTACGCTCTTTTAGTGCAGGCCGGTTTTATCAGGTTTTACGACTTTTTCAGCAATACAACTTTGCTTAGCTGCTTTATAATTTGAAGCAACCAAGACCACTCCATGGGTGCAGTCAGAAAAGGGGGAGTTTGAGATCCAACTGTGTCAATACATTTCTTCAATTTTCAATTGTTTTTTAAGACAAGAAAATCTCAAAACAACACTCCCAAGCCTTAAAAATTCCCGTCTATAGATAAAATAATTCAATCCCCCTGAAAACAATTTGTCGATAAGCCCCTCGATCCTTCCTTTGGTTTTTAGACTTCCTTAAAAAAATAATTTGATCATTTACTTAAGAAAAATATCTTGAATTTCATCAAATATTTATTTATAAATTATACGGCCGAGTAGCACAACTCGGTTAATCAAATCTGGCACCAAGCTAGCATAACTCTCGCGATTTGAGTCCAACACAATGTCAGAGTTCCTCTGACTTGTGTTTTTCAAATTTGCAGCTCAACTTTGCATAGCATTGACAATCTCATCTGACAAACTTTGTGTCTCCGTCACTCTGCTCCTCAATTCCTTTTTAATCTTAATTTTCTTCCCGCCAGTCTCATTTTTTCTCTTCACAATTATCTCATGTGGCTTTAGCGTGTGATTATGAACCTTCTTGACATGCTTCTTCAAGTAACTTGTCACTATAAACTTATCATTGCAGAACTTACAAATGTAAATTTTATTATCAGACTTGTGCTTTATTTTCATGTGTTCTGAATACGATCGAGTGCTGCAGAAGTTTTTATCACATTCGGCACAATAATTATCAGCAGTTCTAGTCTGTGGTCTTGCGATGTCTACAATGTCTTTATCTATTTCTTCGTATTGTTCCTCAACATCTTCATTTTCGTGGATCGAATGATTGTCATCATCTGGTGCAGTTCCATGCTGGTTCTTCATGTGCCTTGCTAAGTAGTCTTTAAGCTTGAATCGATTATCGCATAGCTTACAGACATAAACTTCTTTACCTGCTCCATGAGCGATAACCATATGGTCACGGCAACTTCTGGTTGATGAAAATTCACGTGCGCAAATGTTGCAATTTTTTGTGGCTTTATCGCCAAAAAGTTCTGTATTGAAAGTTTGAGTTTTCTCTTTAAAGTTAACAGGACTTTTGTCTCGGTTTTTGACAATTTTGATGACTACATCCCGACTTTTGAGGTACGACATGTTGTGTTGATTCTCAACATGCTTTTTGACATAGGAAATGTGCTTAAAAATCTTTTGGCAGTGACTACATATGTAGACTTTGTTGTCTTTGTTGTGAACGACACTCATGTGAAGTTTTAGCGATGTGCTGGATGAGATTTGCTTGCCGCAAAGCTTACAAGGAACGGATTTTTTTCTGAATGATGTTGGAGCTGGATTTGGGGATGTAGACTCTAGTTTCATGTCTTTTGAGGTCATTTGTAAGGTTTTGCTTTTTGGTCCTGCAATTTTTATAAAATTTGTGCTTTCTTCAGTGAAGCTGTCCACAAATTCAGTTCTGTCCATGTCATTCAGTTCCTCCTCATCCTGTCCTTCGTCATTATAGTATCCAGACTGTTCCTCACTTTCGTCTATAAAATCTAAATTGCTGATGCTATTATGTGCAATGTTCCCAATATCAGCCCAGTAGGATATGCTGTGCAGCATCTCTGGTTCCTGCTTGATGAACGGATTCGGACCAAAGTTTTCAGATTTTTGCTTTTGCCAGAAATTTTTCTCAAACTTTTGGAACTGAAGGTGGAAAAATTCATCAGATTTTTGTGCTTTCCGCTTGAATTTTGTGAATATTTTGATGTTGTCGGTGCATGTTGAGCAGATGAGGGCTGGATTGGATGGGTCGATGCTGATTACCTGGAAGAATTACGTTTTGTTAAGCTTAAGTTCCCTTAAAATTGATATCAATCTACCTTGATTCCCGTTATGAAGTAGAAATCCACAGGAACTTTTGGATCTTCGTAAAATTCACTGAGTTCATCGACAGATTCTGATGTTCTGCAGATCCTGCACAGTTTTTCCATTGCATGAGTTATTTATTGGACCTAATTTTTATGCTTCAAGTTTTTTTTAACTTTAATATAATGATTTTTTTATATCAAGATTCAATGTTTTTAATAAAACAAAAATAATAAACAATAGGCAAAATGAAAGTTTCGTTACTCAATTAAAAATTCAAATTTTTGACGACCGTTAAACAGATTTATTATTGAAACTTTCAGTCAGAAGTGCCATACAAGTTTCATTTTCAACTAGCTGATTATGGACAGTCTTTTATTTAGTTGACTTTTCAATGATAATAATAATAATAATGTGAGAGGGTTCCAGCCAAGCGATATATTACTACACGTGGCAACGAGATGGAGGCACTACGATCTTGATCCATGTTAGAATCTACTGTACCATTCCCAGTTGGCTTTTCAAATAATAATGAATACTAAGGATACATTTGGCCTGTATTGGATGTTTTTTTTAAACATTGTATCAAGCTAATGAATTTTATCCGATCAGTAGCGTAGTCAGGAATTTGAAGAGGGAGAGCCAAAAAATTTATTTGTATGTATAAAGAAATTTCTGTTTACGTTGGGAAATTGGTCCCCCAAATTCCCCCCCCCCCTTGCTATGCGCCTGGATCCGATTAATAACAGCCCTTTTTTGAGAATCAAAAATGAATTTTTTAATTGTTTTATTAATTTTATTTACAATTTGAATTCAAGAGCTTTTTTTCACAAAGCTTAAACTTCATTGGAGTTGCAATGTTCGTTCATTTCATCAATCATCCTCAACACTCCAATTCTGTCACCAGCAACTTGCTTTGAATAGCAGTCATTGCCATCAAAATGTAAAGTATGAAGTCTGGTCAATAGATCAAAGACATTTGGATCAACATACTGTATTCTGTTCTTTCCAAATCCAATATACTCAATCTTTGGATTGAACTTCATCAAATCCTTCTCCAAATATTCAATTTTATTCTCCCAAATGCTTAAGATTCTCAATTTTGTGAACGGTGCTAAATCTTCTGAGTGGATTTCCATCAAATCTGTTGTCCAAATCGCTAAGAATTCAAGATTGTCAAAGAACTTGTTAAGTCCTTTCGGTAAGTATGCCATGGATTGTCCATTGACTCGAAATCCTCTGACATCAGAGTTGTCTTTAAGTTCCTTATGAGTTCCTTTGACTTTTGCAACTCTTGTGTCTGCATCGACAATTTTAACAGCTTGGTTTTGTTCACAGAAGTAAGCATAGTCGATGGCCCACCAGTCAGTGAAAAATTTGTAGGTGCAGGACAAGTCGACTGTTTTCGTTTGGATCTATAAAATTTAATTTGAATTATTTTGATTTTTTTACAATTTTGTTGAACTTAATTAAATTGACTATCATGTACATTGTAAGGAATTAAGCTCATTTTGGTTCTTAGAAGTCTGAACTTACCTCATCATTTTCTAATTCTAATGAAATGTTGACAGATTTCATTGCTGGGTCAGCTTCTAGAATGTAAATTAATGTTAAGAATTAATAAATTCACATTTAAAAAAACAATTATAGGAATATTCTTAAATTGCGACTTTTCAATAAGTTTGAAACTAAAAATCATATTTTACTGTAAAGCACTCAATTTTCTAGATCAAAATTAAAATTTGCAATCATCGTCATTTAATTTAATCTGCAATCTATCACTTAACTTACCAACAGTTTCAAAGTCAATATAGTCAACAATGATATTGCAACTTATCAAGCTAATCACACAAAAAATGCAAATAATGATCTTCAGCATTATGACACTATTTTAAAAAAATATAATTTCTATGACGCACAACTTAAATTGATTGCAGCTATCGCTTTTACACTGTGTCTTGCTTTAGCAATCAACTTTGAATGAATGAGAAAAATCACACGCGACGTTATTAAATAAATTTATTTTTTTGTTCTTTGATGCTGCTGTAGAGAGTCAAGCTGAGAGGAAAAGAGTTGCTTTCATAATTTGAGACTGTTTGTTCTCAATTTTATGAGATCTTAATCGATTCTGGAGAAACAAAAAATTCCCAATGAAAAAATCAATGTTGAAGTCTGCTGCCAAATTCTCAAAATTAATCTGAAAAATCCATTTAAAGCTCTAAAACACAGGGGGGGGGGGGGGAGGGGAGAGGGTAGGCGAGTTTTGAATTTGATTTTTTACAGACGGAAAACTTTAAAATGGTGAAGGTTTTGGATTCTTTACAAAAATCCTAGCAAAATCAACGGTGGGGACTTGACACCAAGCCTTCCCCTCCTCTGGCTTCAATTCTGGAGTTGTCTCTTAAATTCCCAGCCCCTTTGCTAACCGCCTGCAACAGGAAGCGCTATGAATTTTTTAAAGGATATTTTATGCTTTTTTTGGGAATGACTTTTAATCCTTGTCGTGTATGTCTGAATGGCACAAGTTGGTTAATAAATTAGAATTTTAGCATCAAGCCGACATGACTCTGGCATGGTGCTGGATTTAAATCATCAAAGCAAACATCATGCCAGAGACTTGTCAGCTTGGTGCCAGATTTCAATTTGATTAACCGACTAGTGCTATTCGGCACAAAACAGTGTTGTACAAACTGTGAGCCATGCAGAAATTTGTAGATTTTACACTAGATAAAATGGTGTGAAGTGCAGAATCAAATAAAAGTCGACATAAAAAATGATGATTTTAAAGAAAAATTTAAAGATGTGCAGTCAGAGATCGAAGCCGATTTTTTCGGCTTAACTCAATTTTTGATTTTTTTGATTGAAAAAAGCCATTTGACACCCATTTCAAGTATTTAAATTGAACTTTACATGCTTTACTATGATTCTGTGAAATATTTTTTCAGCATGTAGCTATAGTAAGCTCAGAATTTCAATTTAGCCGATTTTAAGCCGATCGGCTTAAATTTCGGCTTAACATTCTTTAACTTGAAATTCTGAGCTCACTATAGCTACATGCTGAAAAATATTTCACAGAATCATAGTAAAGCATGTAAAGTTCAATTTAAATACTTGAAATGGGTGTCAAATGGCTTTTTTCTATCAAAAAAATCAAAAATTGAGTTAAGCCAAAAAAATCGGCTTCGATCTCTGTGTGCAGTGAAAAAATATTAAAAGTCGTCGTGGCTGAAAAAAGTTTGGACAACACTGTTTTTTAACAGTCTTAGGAATGCAAAGTAAGTTAAATACCCGAGTGGACTCAATAAAATAGGTTCAAGTTAATAACTAGATGTCTAGTTAAAAACAATACAGTAATGCCAAGTGTCTTCTCGGGATTGTAGTTTCCAAAGTTATTTATTTTTTTAATTATTCCAGTCAAACGCGTTTCCGCACTTGAATTTCTCTTGGATTTTCCATAAATTTATCAAATAACACGAAACATTTAAAAACAACGAAGACTATTCTAAAGTTTTACTCTCTTAATGCTTAATGCTTTGGTATGTCAACTGCTCAGAGAGTTTAAAATATAAACAAAAACTTGGGAAATCCCCATTGAAGTTCTTATGATGATCTGTAATCGCACATATAGAATTGGTGCAGAGAAATTATTATTTTTTGCTGTAAAGCTGGCTAATTTTTTAACGAACGTATTTGGATAAAATAAAATTCAGATTTTTGTTTGCCAGAATTTTAACTTAATTTTTTGCAGTTGAATATGAAAAAAAATCGAATTTTTCTATGTAAGAACATGACGAGCCGGTTTATAGGGTTCCCGGAGGTACCATTCCGTAGTGTCAGATTAAAAATAAAAAAAACTTTTTGTTGTTCAGACCTTAAGATCTATAGCATTATGTGCTTTACGAGGCTGATGATAGTTTAACAAGAGAGGGTTCGCCAGACCTCCCGTTCAAACCCAGAGCTACAGTTTAAAGTGGAATCCGATCTGCTCGTTTAATCACATTTCTGCATGTTCCCTACAAAAAAGACTTTAAGCCTAGGTGACCATCAAATTTTTATGAAAATACAGGACATTTGATAAATTTTCTTAAAAAATACAGGACACAAAGGAAAATTTGAAAATTAACGGAAATTTTCGTTAAAAAAATACAGGACCTGGAACAAAATCTTCAAATTTATACAAGACAGGGTTTTGAAATACAGGACTTACCGTTGTAAAACTACGCAGGTGGTCACCCTATGTAAGTCTGATTTTCAGGATAATTGATTCGAAAAAGGTCAAGCAATAAAATTCTCATTCCGAGTCTCGAACCCATGATTGCCGAGTGGTATTGCAATAAGTAGATACCAAAGGGCAAATTGATTCTGTCACCGAGCCACTATAGCTCAGATAGATATTAAGTGTTCCTCTTTTTGTGGTAAACAGAATTATTTTTCCTAGGGTACCACCGACAGCTCTATAAATTGGGCTCTGTATAGTCTAGATCAGTCTTGTTCAAACTTTTTGAGCCACGGCACACCTTAACATGACCAAAGCCGCACAAAGAAAGCGGTTCTTTTCATTTTCTAAAAAAATCTACGGTACACCAGTTTGCCGCAGCACACAGTTTGGACAACACTGGTTTAGATTAAAATTCTTCAGTTAAGCAGTTTTAAACATTCATTCAGTGCTAGAAATTGCAAGTAAACTTCTGGAGAGTAAGATCAGCCTGGGCTTGATTGAATTCTGTGTTCTATGAAGATTTTTATGTCTGATTTTGAATATTTAATAACGAAGACGTCTCTTCATAGAAGATATTTTGAGCACAGTGCGTTTTAAATGATAAACGCGGACCTATTGAAGATTAAATGCAACAATCTAAGGGTGCGAGCTGAAATAGTGGTACAAATAACTCCGAAAATCCTGAAAACAACCTGATTTAATGAACTTTTGCAGGATTTAAAGTAAGTTTTTTTAAAATAAATCTCCAATTTCTCAACGGTTTCGAAAAATTCAAATTTTCAATTCTCCAAATTCCCCTCACAACTCTCAATCAAATCAATAAGAAGATCACTCCATCTCCTTCATCTTGTAGACATTTCGTCCACCTTTACACAGCAACACAAGCAACAAGATACAATCACGGTTAAGGGGAAAGTGCAGGGTATCCAACTGCAGTCATGTTTTTTCATCGTTTCAGTGAAGAAGTTTTTTTTTTTCAATTTTCTGTGACTTAAAAAATAAATTTTATTAAATTTAATTCAAAAAAGACTCACAAAATAATGTGAAAAAAATTCAAAATAGCTCAAAATTGACAACGAATAATTTGTCAGGTGAGAAAAGTTAAGAAACTGTGACTGAATAATGCGCATATGGTGATCGGTGCGGGGATATTGTAAAGTTGTAGGAGGCAATTTTAGGATTTTTTCATTTTTTTGTTGAGATTTTGTCAAAAAAAAAAATCCAATAAGAAATTCGTGAAACTTGCGTAAAAATCTGATTGACTGCACCTGGCTTTACCAAATTAGCCTGTAAAATATTGAGCATGTAAATAGAGAAGGCGGTGAAAGTGTGTTGGTGTGAATTCGAGAAATTTTTACTGCAATTTTCATTCTGCCTGTCGATCATCATTGCGATTATTGTCAATTAATAGCTGTAAAGTCTTAAAATTCGTGACTTGAGATCATCAATGAAAAAATGGCAAAGATGGAGCAGAACTTACTGTTCATTCAGTTTTATTAGTGATCAATTCATTCACAAAAACAAAGGAATGTCTCATGTTTTAGGGGGTCTGGTGTGGCTTGGGAATAATTTTTTCGATATTGTTCGAGACTTTTTTTTTGGTGATTTTTAACAATTTTTGACAAAAAATTTGCTTTAAATATTCAAGTGTGTCAATAGTAGTGTGGAATGTGCGGTTATGTGGCACACCTCGCAACAAGTTATCATAGTCATGTTATTTTGTCAATAGTGGTGAATAACATACAACTTTAGTAACCTTTGGGCCAATCAATGTCAAAAGTCGTCTATTCTGTACGGTTTTGATACCTAATCTTGAATTAAGTGTCAATAGTCGTGTATTCTGTACGGTTTTGGTACCAAATCTTCAATTAAGTGTCAATAGTCGTGTATTCTGTACGGTTTTGGTACCTCATATTCAATTGGCGTCAAAAGTCGTGTATTCTGTACAGTTTTGGTAACTCATCTTCAATTGGTGTCAATAGTCGTGTATTCTGTACGGTTTTAGTCTTTCATCTACGAATATGTGCCAAAACTTATAAATTTGGTCAATAGTCGCACATTACACACGATTATGACTCAAATTTCACCAAAAATCAACCATACCAAGGCTAATCCCGTTCCATAATCCCTATTAAGCCCTCACAATCGTAAATTATGAAGAGAAAACTTGACTGCATGTGCCTTACGTCGTCTTGTTATGATTTCATATTTTTTCCATCATCTCTCTCTCTCTCTCTCTCTCTCTCTCTCTCTCTCGCTCACTCTCTCTCTCTCGCTCACCTGCACATTCACACAACTTACTCTTGTTGTTGTTGTTATTTTTTTGTGACTTCATTTGTGTGCTTAGATAAATATTGGAACTGAACAAAAATATACCAAAAGTACGACTGTGCCTTCTTCTTGCTATTTGTTGTGACTATGTGCCATTGTGACATTGAGCAATTAGGGAGGAAATTGAATCAAGCTAATTAAGTGTTGACGACGACTTTGTGGATGTAAAAAAATTTAATTAATTGATGGAATTGACTGTAAATTGACTGATCGTGATCGCTGATGATAATTATTATGGATTAATGTTGCAGTTCAAGTGATTATTAATAGCTTAACTATGTTCAAGTGGATTGTTGTGAGGCAATAAAGCTTTTATTGAAGCATATGGTGTGCTGTAAATAGTTTTTTTGAGTCATAAAATAGAATTTTGGGATTGTTTTGTGGAATTTTGGGTGGAGCTGGCTTATAAAAGTGTTAAAAGTGGTGTAGCCTGTGCGGTTTTGGTGCTTAGTTGATCACTTATGTCAAAAGTCGTGTAGCTTGTGCGGTTTTGGTGCTTAGTTGATCAAATATGTCAATAGTCGTGTAGCTTGTGCGGTTTTGGTGCTTAGTTGAACTAATGTGTCAATAGTCGTGTAGCTTGTGCGGTTTTGGTGCTTAGTTGAACTAATGTGTCAATAGTCGTGTAGCTTTTGCGGTTTTGGTGCTTAGTTGATCAAATATGTCAATAGTCGTGTAGCTTGTGCGGTTTTTGTGCTTAGTTGAACGAATGTGTCAATAGTCGTGTAGCTTGTGCGGTTTTGGTGCTTATTTAATCAATTATGTCAATAGTCGTGTAGCTTGTGCGGTTTTTGTGCTTAGTTGATCAAATATGTCAATAGTCGTGTAGCTTGTGCGGTTTTTGTGCTTAGTTGAACGAATGTGTCAATAGTCGTGTAGCTTGTGCGGTTTTGGTGCTTATTTAATCAATTATGTCAATAGTCGTGTAGCTTGTGCGGTTTTTGTGCTTAGTTGATCAAATATGTCAATAGTCGTGTAGCTTGTGCGGTTTTTGTGCTTAGTTGAACGAATGTGTCAATAGTCGTGTAGCTTGTGCGGTTTTGGTGCTTATTTAATCAATTATGTCAATAGTCGTGTAGCTTGTGCGGTTTTTGTGCTTAGTTGAACTAATGTGTCAATAGTCGTGTAGCTTGTGCGGTTTTGGTGCTTAGTTGATCAAATATGTCAATAGTCGTGTAGCTTGTGCGGTTTTTGTGCTTAGTTGATCAAATGTGTCAATAGTCGTGTAGCTTGTGCGGTTTTAGTACCCCTAGTACCATTAATAGCCCAAATCTCGACTCCATCCACTTAAAAACCCATAAACAATCGCCAAAAAAACATCAAAAGCAGAAAATCTGGCAAATCTGCTCTAAAACGATTCTCGTGTAACACAAAAATAAGAAGAACCAATTCTCATTCTCGAGCAAATCATTTTCATATTTAGATAGATGATTCAAGTGCTAATAATCGCATAGATGAGAAAAGAACGCGCCACACACAGCAAAAAAAAAGAAGAACAAAAAGAAGCCGGACAGAAAAAATGAAAATCAAAGTGATCTTTAACATTTTTGTAAATAATATGTAGCATATGAGGCAGCTTGAGCAGCTTGAGATGTTTATATTAATTTACATGTTTTTTTTTGTGTCTTTAATTAAATTTTGTAAAAATAACATTTTCATGAGAAGAAGCACGATTGTTGTGGTTGTGGAAGTAATCAAGGTCGGAATATGGAATTTAAATTAATAGGAACAGGTTTTTGAGGCTGCGGATTGGAGACAATTGTTGAAAAATGGACTAAAGTCGTATAATCTTCACTACTATTGATATATTTAAATAAACTAGTTCGAAAACCGTACAAGCTACACGACTTTTGACACATTAATTCAACTAAGCACCAAAACCGCACAATCTACACGACTATTGACATAATTGATCAACTAAGCACCAAAACCGCACAATATACACGACTTTTGACATAATTGAACAACTAAGCGTCAAAACTGCACAGGCTACACCACTTTTGACCAACTTGTATCAAATTGAACCGAAATCGTACCCAGCCCACGACTTTTGCTGTATTTTTTATTCGCAATAAAACTTCTAAACTTACTAATGCTTCCTATTTTTTTCATTTTAGATTGAATAAAGAGTTCACAGACCCCAAACAAAAAAGACAACAAAAGCACATCGAATAAAGACTTTTCTATGATCAATTAATTAAGCAATCATTTCCATCACAAAAATCCAGTTACTAAGCAGCTATAGCTATCATATCCAGTCATGTCATCACCAGCAACCCTCCAAAACTCTTCATCCTCAACCCTCATCCTCCCATACGGTTACCAAATCGACTTAGATTTCATAAAATACTGCGAAAATATCTCAAATGTTGACCATTCCGATGCTGAGCTTCAACGAAAGAACCGACGACGACAACGACAATCAATGGAAGTCATGCTCGGCATTCAATTTGAAATGCAACAACAAATGAATCAGGCGAGTGAATTTTGGGAGAAAAAGGCACCGGAACCACCACCAAGAACACATTTGCATTCAATTGAGTCACCGATTGTGCCGAGGCTGACAACAAGGCAGCAGTTGGAGACAAAATGGGATCCAGAAATGTCTGAGGTTGTTGATGATTTTGAGAAGACACTGGAAAGGAGTAAGAAGGTTAAGGAGAATGTTAATAAGAGGGAAAAGGGGGAGAGGATGAAGGATGGAAGTAGAAGTAGGAGTAGGAGTAAGGAGAACCTGCTGTTTGGTGAGTTTTGAGCTTATTTGAGTTATTTTGAGATGGGATAGCCATGAGAAGTTGTAGTTATTGGCTACTGAGGCAAGCTAGGAAGATAAGGAGGTTGAACTTCTAAAGTACGATGATCTGGAACTCACTACAGTCCCGATGAGCAGATTCTTTGTCTTTTAAGGACAATTCAAAGTCTATCAAAATTACGCACAGAAAATAAATAAGAACCATCGATCAAGCTTCTAGATTACCATCCTTAATTGCTATCAAGCCAATTAATACCAAATGTATGACGTAAAGTCATCAACAAACACCAATTTGTCTGATAACAAAAAAAGTAGTCATTACGCATGTATACCAATTGTTGATAAATGAATATCAGCTGAATGACACTTCAAAGCAAGTCAGACACAAAAAATTAATTTTTTATACGCAAAATAATTTTTTTTCTATTTTTGAGTTCTCGCAAAAATTTCTTTTCCGTGTTTTTTTTTTGTCTTCTTAATCTTGTTGACAGATCAAAAATCAGTTCTTTTTGGAGGCTGTTGTGGGTGTTTTGATATTTTTAAAATCAATTTTGACAACTTAATGGATCTGAAAAGGAGACGATGGCTATTATGATATTGAGGGCAATTTATGGGAAAATTTATGACCGATGAAAATTAATTTTGAAGGAAGATTTTTTCACTTTTGAGAGGTTTAAAAGACTTTGAAGTTACTTAAATGCATTAATAAAGCAATAAAATTTATTGGTCTTTGAAAATATAGATTTTTATGGGGTTTTAAGGTTTAGAAACAAATTAATTTTGATTTTTGAATATTCGAAAACCATTTCGAACTTTTGAATACCATTTTAAATTTTCGATAACCATTTTGAACATTCAAAAATCATTTTAAACTTTCCAAAACCATTTTGAATTTTTGAGAACTAGTTTGGACTTTCGAAAATCATTTTGAACTTTACAAAACCATTTTGAACTTTTGAAAACCAATTCGAAATTTAAGGAACCATTTCGAAATTTCAAAAATCTTTTTGAACTTTTGAAAACTATATTGAACTTTTGAGAATCATTTTGAACTTTTAAGAACCATTTCGAATTTTTGAGAACCATTTCGAACTTTCGAAAACCATTTTGAATTTCTTAAAACCATTTCGAACTTTCGAAAATCATTTTTTGAACTTCCGAAAACCATTTCGAACTTCTGAAAACCATTTTGAACTTCTGAAAACCAATTCGAAATTTAAGGAACCATTTCGAACTTTCAAAAATCTTTTTGAACATCTGAAAACTATATTGAACTTTTGAGAAACATTTTGAATTTTTAAGAACCATTTCGAACTTTCGAAAATTGTTTTAAACTTTCAAAAACAATTTAAATTTCTAAAAACCATTTCGAATTTTAAGGAACCATTTAGAACTTTTGAAAATCTTTTTGAACTTCTGAAAACTATATTGAACTTTTGAGAACCATTTAGAATTTTTGAAAATCTTTTTGAACTTCTGAAAACTATATTGAACTTTTGAGAACCATTTTTAACTTTTGAGAATCATTTTGAACTTTTAAAAACCATTTTGAATTTCTAAAAACCATTTTGAACTTTTGAGAACCATTTTTCAAAATATTAATGTAAGAAAATAAAAAGCGTGTAATTAAAGCAAAACCCGACAAAATGATCAAATCATCATTCACATGAGCCTCTCATAACATCTCTCAATCACAACACCTGATCACTCTCATAAGTTTTTTTTCCTCTGTCATTTCTCAGTTCTTGTCTCGTTAATTTATTGATCATGAGTTTTGTTTTCTGTCTCAATTGCCTCACAGCCTTTATTATCTTTACATAATAATTCACATGAGAATGACACACTCGAGTCGTCAGAATGTCAAAGCCCTTTTAGTTATTATTTTGGCTTTCTTCATCATTTCACACTTAGTTATTAATGTATTACTCATTCATCATTATGAAGCTTACTCTTTGAGGGAGAAATAGACACAAAAAATTGATGAGCTCTGAAAAAAGTAAAGAGAAATAAAGAAAAATGTTTTTTGGCTGCTAATAATTGGCTGTTGTTGGTGAGGTGCTGAATTTTGGAGGGTTTGGGATGGGTTTGGTTGTAAGATTGTCTTAAATATGAGATTAGGGAGAGTTTGAATTTTTTGAGGTTAAGTTTTGGATTTGTGGTAATTTTGGAATTCTTAATGCTTGCTAATGACAAAGAAATGGCATGTCAAGGTCGAAACATGATCTGCAGTCCAGATTACCATCTGATTCAGATGCCAAAGCTCCATGTTTAATAGAAATAAGCTAGGGCAACAGACGCACAGCCAGAGATTTGGCTAGAAAATTCCCCTACGTTAGCAAAAATTTCTTCATTGTGCTGCGGTTTTTATGCAAAAAATCCAAAAAAATCCCCACCCATTCAAGAAAATTTTTTGACCCCCTCCGCCCCCTAAATTCAAATTCTTGGCTACGCTCCTGAAAGGGGCCCATATTTCTCTAGACTGACCAAAGCACCAACTCGATCAAGATATCAAATGCAGTTGACCAAAATAGTCATAAAAAAATTCAAGAAATGCGCCTTATACCCCACTCTTTACCCCAGGCCTTTCTTACTTATCAAATTTTATTTCTCACACATTTTCACACATTTTTTTTTGCACATAAAATAATTTTTTTCATTCTTCATTCAGTTTTCAATTTGCCTTTGACGCGTTCACGACTGAAAAGTTTATTAAAACAGAGCAAAAATAAGCGGCGAATTTAAAGCTAATTAAACAATAACACAAAAATAAATAATTTCATATTAATTAAGTCAAAAAAGAAGTTGTTTTACGAGCTAATTAATCGAGTGAAATTTAAATTTATTTGAATGAACTGAATTTATTTTTTTTACGATGCTGCTGGTTGTAGCAGCTTCAGTGTGTACATTTAGCAAATATGTGGTTATCAATGCCATTTAGAAAATCTTAATTGGAGCTTTGTGTTTAATGAAATAAATCAAAGAAAAATTGAGATTGAAATTGTGCATTAAATTGAGGAAAATTTTCCGTTAAATGTGAATTAAAAATGGGAATTTAATTGGTAGGAAAATGTGATAATTTGAGAAAATTAAGAATGTGAAAATTTATTCAACTTTGAGATAAAAATTATTTCTGATTATGAAGCATTTGACAATGAAAAATATTTAAAGAAATTAAGTTTTTTTCAAAAAAAAATTCAAAAATTCAAAAGATCAAAAAAATGAAGAAAAAAATTTAAAAATTCCGAAAATTGAAAGTTTCAAAAATTTAATATTTTTAAAAAAATGATATTTTTCAAAAAGTCCGTTTTTTTTTTAAAAAAACGGACTTTTTGAAAATAAAAAATTCCAAAAAATATTGAAAATTTCAAAAACTATTGAAAATTTCAAAAATATTGAAAAATTCAAAAAAAATTTATTTGTTTAAAAAAACTAATTTTCTTAAGGGGCCATTCACTTATTACGTAACGCTTTAGGGGGGGAGGGGGGTCTAAGATTTTGTTACGGTTCAAACAAGGAAATTTTTTTTTCATACAAATTTTGTTACGAGGGGGGGGGGGGTCTAAAAAGTCATTTTTTCGCGTTACGTAATAAGTGAACAGCCCCTAAAGTAATCAATGAATTCATCTATTTTCACCAATCTCCTTGCCCAGCTCCCTATAATCCTCCTTAACCCCATAAATCACGTACCCCCTAACAATCTACATCACATTAACCTTTTTCCTTCCTCATAATTTATGAGCCATTCTGTCTTCAAATGACGAAAACAGCCACAAAAAATCTTTTTATATTTTTATTTATTTTTTATTTACAAAAAAAAGATATTTTTTAAAAATAGTAAAAGAAAGCAAGAAGAAATTTTTGAGATTTTTCACAAGGTTCAATGTTGACAAGCCAAACAACAACGACAACATACAATGCCGTTCTGCATCGCATTGAACTAATTATTTTGTCATTTATTTTATTTATTTACGTTGGTGAAGACAAGGGATTTTGAGTTTTGGGGTTAGGTTTGAGTTGTGATTACATTTTTTATTTTTTAAAGCAATTTTAATTTTTAAAAATGATTATCTATGAACTTTAGTGATCACCGGAAGTTTAATGACACCTTCTAAGATTTATATGAGTTTTTAGGATCTTTTGAGGTTCTACATTGCTTCGTGGTAGTCCAACAAGATTAAAGCGAGACTAAAGTATGGAAAATATGTCTCTTTTCTCACTCTGATGTTCCTTAGGGGTTTTTGGGGGTCTCCAGAGCTTCATGAGCCTTCACGAACAAAATCAACCATTAAGAACCTCTTTTAGTCCTTAAAAAATCAGAAACAATGGCTCAATATGATGAATCCTTTGTTAATTCCCACAAAAAAACTTTCCTTTAAGTCATAAAATAATTTATTATTCACACGACTCAGACAAGTTTATTCCACTATAAAATCAGCACTTAATCATCAAATTCGATGAATAATTAAATTATTTATTAAAGATCGTCACCATTTAAAGCAGATTATAAAAAACAAAGTCAGCTGTAAATCACACGTGTGACTACATCACATCATGTAGTTCTGGGTTTATTTATTTAATACATTTTGTTATCTGGATTGACTAAGTCAATGAATCTGCTAAGTAAGACTTACTTACTATCAATTTGTCTTTATCAAAGATAGTGTGAGGGAACACCTTCCAATACAAAACAGACATTAGCCTTGATTTATTTGAGTATTTGCGATGATTTGAGAATATAAACAAAGCATAATGATGTAAAGAGTGACAAGATGAGCGGGGATTGAAGTTGAGTTTAGAGGCTATGGGGTGAGTTTATGGTTTATGACTTAGACCAAGAACAAAGCAAAGAACCAAGAACCAAGGAACCAAGGAACCAAAAACCAAGAACCATGAACCATGAACCAAAAACCAACAACCAAGAACCAAAAACCAAGAACCAACAACCAAGAACCAAAAACCAACAACCAAAAACCAACAACCAACAACCAACAACCAAGAACCAAAAACCAACAACCAAGAACCATGAGTCATGAACCAAGAACCAACAAACCAAGAACCAAGAACCAAAAAATCAAGAAACCAAGAAACCAAGAACCAAAAACCAAGAACCAAAAACCAAGAACCAAGAGTCAAGAACGGAGAATGAAACACCAAAAACCAAAAATCAAAAACCAAAAACCAAAAACCAAAAACCAAAAACCAAGAACCAAGAACCAAGAACCAAGAACCAAAAACCAAGAACCATGAACCAAAAACCAAGAAAAAAGAATCAAGAACCAAGAAATCAAGAAGCCAAGAAACCAACAACCAACAACCAAGAACCAAAAACCAACAACCACCAACCAAAAACCAACAACAAACAAGCAAGAACCAAAAACCAACAACCAAGAACCAAGATTCATGAACGAAGAACCAAAAACCAAGAACCAAGAGACAAGAACGGAGAATGAAAAACCAAAAACCAAAAATCAAAAACCAAAAACCAAGAACCAAAAACCAAAAACCAAGAACCAAGAACCAAGAACCAAGAACCAAAAACCAAGAACCATGAACCAAAAACCAAGAACCAAAAACCAAAAACCAAAAACCAAGAACCAAGAACCAAAAACCAAAAACCAATAGACAAAAACTAACAACCAACAACCAAAAACCAACAACCAAGAACCAAAAACCAACAACCAACAACCAAAAACCAACAACCATGAACCAAAAACCAAGAAATCAAGAAACCAAGAACCAAAAACCAAGAGTCAAGAACGGAGAACCAAAAACCAAAAACCAAAAACCAAAAACCAAAAACCAAAAACCAAAAACCAAAAACCAAGAACCAAAAACCAAAAACCAAAAACCAAAAACCAAGAACCAAGAGACAAGAACGGAGAATGAAAAACCAAAAACCAAAAACCAAAAACCAAAAACCAAAAACCAAAAACCAAAAACCAAAAACCAAAAACCAAAAACCAAAAACCAAAAACCAAAAACCAAAAACCAAAAACCAACAACCAACAACCAAGAGCCAAAAACCAACAACCAACAACCAAGAGTCATGATCCAAGAACCATGAACCAAAAACCAAGAACCAAAAACCAACAACCAACAACCAAAAACCAAGAACCAAGAACCAAGAACCATGAACCAAAAATCAAGAACCAAGAACCAAAAACCAAAAACCAAGAACCATGAACCATGAACCAAAAACCAACAACCAAAAACCAACAACCAAAAACCAGCAACCAAGAACCAAGAGTCATGAACCAAGAACCAAGAACCAAGAAATCAAGAAACCAAGAGTCAAGAACTGAGAACCAAAAACCAAAAACCAAAAACCAAGAACCAAGAACCAACAAACCAAGAACCAAGAAATCAAGAAACCAAGAAACCAAAAACCAAGAACCAAGAACCAAGAACCAAAAACCAAGAACCATGAACCAAAAACCAAGAACCAAGAACCAAGAACCAAGAACCAAGAACCAAGAACTAAAAACCATGAACCAAAAATCAAGACAAACACTCAGATCGAAACCTCGATTAAGACCATGAACGAGACTAGAAGCTCTTAGTGCTCTTGCACTATAAAAAAAACTTAACAACAATTCCATAGCCTTTAAAACTTACGAAAAATTCATTCCTCGAAACCCTCGACTTCACCCAAATCAGAAATAAATTTATCTCAATTTTCTTCATTTTTTTATCTCATTCACAACCTTAAGTGTCATAAATTCCTGTTTTTATTTTTCTTCATACAATTGTGCATTCTTGTTTCTCATTTTTATTCTTTTCTTTATTTATTTTGTTCAGTAGCAATCAATGTGTTCGTGAATAAAGTTGATAATTTTATTTTCATTGTGATAATTTTAAGATTAAATTATTTTTTTCGTATGAAATGACTTACATGACTTTTTGACAGTGAAACTAAAATGGTTTTAACAAGAATTTTACAATGTTTTTGACATTTTTGGCAAAAGATATAAAAGTGAAAATATTAAGTGCAAAAAGGCCAAATTTTTTGTTGTTGAATTTTAATTTCAACAATTTGTGAAAATATTTATAAAAATAATAAAGTTAAAAATAGTCAAAAATGAAGGATCAAAAGCAAACAAGGGAAGTCAAGCGCCGATTTTCATTCAATCAGTTGAAAAGGGCGATGCTATTTGGTTAGTATTTGAGGCTCATGACTTGATTCTAATACATTTTGGCGGGCATCTGCTTATTTATACTTTAGAATTGACTTTTCTGCTGTAGATTATCATAAAATATGAAATTGAACTCTTAAAAATGTGAAGTCACGAGGATCAAGCGTCTGATTAATTGGGAGAATACTTAATTAAATTCAGTAAATATTTTGATCTGCTTTGTCGTGACACATCAACAAGTTTCGATGATTTCATGATTGATTTCAATGCAATGTCTTATCTAAAATATGTAGGCTTAAGTAGTTATTGGGGGATTTCGTAAATTCCGAGGGGTTTCAATCAGAGTTTCGATTTTTTTTTTTAAATTCTTAGTTTTATTGATTCATAAATCATTTTTCAATTGTGCTATGAATATTTATAATTTTAATTTGTAAAGTTTTTTAATTATTAATATTATTTGCATTACAATAAATTTCGAAAAAAAATTTGTCACTGACACTGCCTGTCACAATATCTGTGACCCATCTGTCACCTGTTCCTGCGAGGCGTGGAAACTATTCACACTATTCATGCATGTATGCACGATAATAAATATATCCCAACGTATCCTTAGTGTATTGGACGTGTAATTTCAGGATGTGATGAGATATCTCAATTCTAATGCATACAGGCTCAGGGATTATTTTGAATATTTTTGGGATAAATGGGATATTTGGAATAGTTTCCACGCCTTGTGTTTTGTGACAAGCGACCTGTATCGCAACTATAGTTTCACTCAAGGGTGCGGAACTAATGAAATGATCAGAATCCCTTCCCGAATGGCACAAGTCGGTTAATTGAATATAACGGTTAATTGCTTGACTCTGGCATGGTGTTGGCTTTGATTTAAATCCAGCACCACGTCAGAGTCACACTGGCTTGGTGCCGGATTTCGGATCGATTAACCGACTTGTGCCATTCGGGCTTGGTTTTGATGAAATATTACTGAATTTCCTAGATTGAATGTGAGCTGAAATAGCTCATCGGTACTGGATTTGATCAGGAACTAGTGACTTTATAGCTTCCTTAAGACAGTAGCCAGTAATTTTAAAATGTAGATGGGATCCAACCTTCTCGAAATACGGAACTTACTTTTTAACCATATCAACCTCCAAATCTTAAGTTTTGTGAAGATTGCTGACTTTCTAGACTGCTTCACTTCAATGTCAATGCCTCTATTACGTTATAGTATCTGTTGTGGAAATCAGTACATCCAGGGGAGAAAGATCCTTTTAAAAACAATCTGCAAAAGTCAGCACTAAATGATCAAACCAAGATTGGGGGGCTTATTGACTGACTTTTGATGATTTTGTTCATTTTAATCAGTTTAACCCAGGCTTGGAAACTAGGTGGATTTTAAAGGCGGTATTTAGCAGTATTTCATATAAAGAGGGGGTATGTGAGGGTATTTGGGGGTATTTGTATAGAAGTTGGCGCTATTTGGCAGAAAACCGCCTAGCTTCTAAGCCTGGAGCACAACTTTCAGCTATTCAAATCTAGAAGATCCACAGCTGCTTTAACGGGGCCCACTCTTGCATTTATTGTAAAGCCATCTTAACTCGTTCATTAATAATCTTCATTTAATCTCATTTTAGACACTTGCATCCCATCCAACAACAATCATGCCAAGCCACCACGTACTTCATTGTCACCGAAAAAAGACACCCTTCATCACATTTCCATCGAATCAATTGATGGATCATTGTCGATGCAACAAAATGGCAATAACTCTTTGCCGTCATCAACTGAAACTTTTTATAAGAAGCGCATTTCTGAACTTGAGGAACAAATAAAATTAATGCCATTGCTGCAAATGCAGATTGAATCATTAAAAGATGAACAAAAGCAATTGGTGATACAGTTGGAAGCCTCAAGAGCTCCGTCAAGTTCTTCAAGTTCTTCACCACCACAACAAGCACATTTTCAGATCCACAGAGTGTCGCCAGTGTCACTTAATTCTATGAAACTTAATACTAATGTTCTTACAAAGAGAACTATTGGAACAAATACAGTTGTGGTCTACCAGAGAGACATTGGTGTCATGAGTGAAAAAAAGACATTCAGCAATGTTGCAACAATCACAGATTTTAGACTGTCTTGTGATGGTGATGGCGGTCGACTTTACAGTGAGAAGGATTTGAAGAAAACTGTCGAGTTGGTGCACTCGAAAATGCGCAAAGCTATGGTTTCTGTTGGTGTGCAGCATGTTGAGGATAAAACATTAAGGGATGTTGCTGTTCAGCATGTAGAAATAAAGACATCAAGGGATGTCGGTGTTGGTACAAAAATTCATGTCACAAACGCTTCAAGTTCAACAGATGAGCAGCATTTAGTCATGTCAACAACAAATGTCATCAATATTGAAGCACAACCAGCGATAGTCGAACCAATCATACCACAAATCCCAACAGTATCCTTAAAAGACTTGGCAAAGACGCCAACCACAAGACACAATACAACACAAACAACTCAAGGTGCTGTAAATCATCAAATGATCCAAGTCACGCCATATGGCTGCAATAAAGCCACTGAATCAATTGATTTAGTCAGGACCGTCCATCGTGCTACAGGCACGGAAATGATCTACAAAAGAGATCAAACTGTTAATACCAGTGACTTAATTAAGACACAACATACAGCAACAAATACGCTTGCTGAGCCAAAAGTTACCAAACGAACAACTTCGTCAAATACTGAAGCTGTAGCGACGAAAACTATCGGAGTTAATTATGAGCCTGTTCTTGAACCTTCATCATCAAAAGAAAGCATGAAGGAACATACATCAAAGATACCACGTCCAAGTCCAAGTGTTCAAAGGAAATTCACAAGACAGGAGACATTTACAGTCAATACAATCGCACCAGTGTCATTGACTTCAATAACTACAACAACAATAATCAAGTCACCAGGATTGAAGTCACCAACTCAAGTGCTAAAGTCACCAAATTATATTACCAAGTCTCCACATTTGCCAATTTCATCAAATCCTTCGTCAATGTTTGACTTTAGGAGGACACCAGATAGAATTATTGTGACTGATATTGACGAATGTCCGGTTGAGAAGGTGTTGAAGTGAGTATTATAAATATTGTCAGTGGTGGTCAACCTTTTTTGTGCCATGGCACAAACTGATGTTAAATCATGACAGAAACCGCACATTGCACTGGTTGAGAGTTTTTTGGGGCACATAAGTGTGCCGCGGCATATGGGTTGCCCATCTCTGTTGTATGGTGAAGTCAGGGGAAAACAACATGATGGGGAAATGATTTGAAAGAAAAATTTGAAAGAAGAGGATTTTAAAACAATTTTTTTTCCATTAAGTTGTTGTCCCCGTGGTTGAAATTGGATGAATTAGAAGGAATTGATGGGACTTGAGCTTAATAAATTAAGGTGTAGTTGAGGGGTAAACCATCAAGTGTGTGATAGATTCTAATATGATTAGGTATTACTAAAGCTAGGTATTGTTTTCAAAACCAATAATACTGCAGACTTGCCATTAAGCTACTGAGCTCATCCTATAAGCGTAATATCCAAACACAGAACTAGATTCAGTTTGTTACTCCGGCCTTGACCTTGATTCTGACCTGAATTTGTGCATGCATTAGTTCAACAACCTGACTTCAAAGCATCTTCGTGAAAACCATCGTCAATTGTATTTGGAAATCGATGTAGTATTTTGGCATAGCTAATCATCATAAATTGGCAACACAAATTGACCATTTAAAGCAAATCAATTGACTTTTATACAACCAACATCCCAAACTAGCTCTAACTGTCATAAATTATTCAAACTATTTAATTTCCCACTCAGAATGATTCAAATTCTCTACAAATCATCAGTTACACCAGATTTTCACAATTTCAACCCTCTCGCCAAATTCATTTTCACATCCCCTCGTCCACTCATCTGCCATGCGCAAATTCAGTTTCCTTAGTGACATCAAAGACAAAAACACACACGAGAGAAAGAAAAAAAATTGCATATCAAAAAAGAAAATAAAGTTTTATTAAATTTTAGTGGATTAAGAAAAAAATGTTTGAGGAAATTTTTGATGTTAAACGAGGACGGAATCTGTTGGACATGTTTTTGTCGCCAATTGAGGACGACGGGATGCTCAAAGACTTTGATAGGTGGGAATGAAAATTTCTAAAGACAATGGGAAAATTCTATAATTGGAATACATTTGGGATTTGATGTGGGATTATGGGTGGGATGCTGTGAGATTGTATTGAATTAGGATGAGTTCAATGCAACAAATTGAGGACGAACTAGTGAAATTTGATTAGATTAAATTTAATTTGTCAATTATTCCTTTCAGGCTCACAATGAATCACCAACGAAGTCTATCGCCAGTACAAAAATCACCTGCTCAATCATCGCCAGTCAGTCATTCAGATATTATGGTCGCTGAGCCTTTAAAATCACCACTAGTCGAACAACATCAGCATTATAATCAGCAACAACAACAACAATCACAGCCACAACAAAGCGAGCCAGAAGACGATGATGAAGACGAAGAGGAAGAAGAAGAAGAAGAACCAAAAGAAGATGAAAATCCAACAAGCTTACCACCCTCAAAAATGCCAATGTCACCGTCAGTTGAGTATTTGGATGATGATGAGGAGGACGACGACGAATATGAGGATGATGAGTTCAATGATGAACAATTGCCATCGAGTATGCCAATGCGACCTCCACCCACATCGATATCGACAATTCGATTGGTGCAAGAGGGGCGAATAAGGTGAGTTGAGATGGGATTTGGGGAGCAAGTAAGGAAAGTTTTTAATGAAGAGCACACGGAGCGCATTTTTTCCAAATTAACTTGTTTGGTATCCTTTTGGATCAATTGACAAAATGCAGCTGTGATAACAGTTTTAAGTGATCAAGTAAGAAAATCGCAAGATGATTTGTTTTGTCTAAAGCGCATTTTATTTGAAAATGCTATAAAAAGTGCGATTACAAAATTTTTTACAAAATTTAGAAACATAAAAAATGTTGACATTGAACAAGTTATAAATACGCTTCAAACCATTGACTAAAGCGCATTTTAAAAATTTTCTTAAAATTTTAACCATTTCTCTTCCTATTTTCAGAATAAAACCATCAAAGGAGATGATGAGTGCTCTGAAGGTCATCAACGATCACCTCTTAATCTCTCCAGAACCAATAGAATCTCAAATCCATGCTGCAAGTACAATCGCAGCTTGTGAATGGTTCCAAATTTCTAGTACTGAGAAAGCAAATCCAGATAATGTTGAGGATTATTTGGACTACTTTGAGGAGCAATCGTGGGATCTGTTGAGTTATATGGTCAATTTATCTGATAAGAATGGAAATATGGCAATGCATTATGCAGTCAGTCATGGAAATTTTGATGTCGTTTCTATTTTATTGGACTCAAAGGTGAGATTCAACATTTTTCAATTATCTTCAACTCTTATTCACAACTTTTTGATAATTTTAGGTCAGCAACATAAACCAAACCAACAACGCTGGTTATACATGCTGCATGCTAGTATCCCTAGCAAAACTAGTCATCTCCGAGCATCGTACCGTTGTCAAAAGACTCTTCAAGCTATCAGATGTGAACCTACGAGCAACGAAAAATTCACAAACTGCCCTGATGCTTGCTGTAAGCCATGGTAATTTTGAGATTGTACAGATGATGGTTGAAGCTGGTGCTGACATCAATATTCAGGATGATGATGGATCAACGGCACTAATGTGTGCTTCTGAGCAAGGGCATTTGGATATAATTAAGTTTTTACTTGCTCAGCCTGATTGTGACTCAACGAAGCAGGATGTGGTAAGTAGAGTATGGGAAATTTTGAGGTTATCAAAAAATTAATTTTGAGGTTATGTAGCCCGAAATTTGAGGTTATGTAACCTGAATTTTGAGGTTATGTAACCTGAATTTTGAGGTTATGAAACCTTAATTTTGAAGCTATGTAGCTTGAGTTTTGAGGTTATCTAGCCTGAGTTTTGAGAATATGAAGCCTTAATTTTGAGGTTATGTAATCTGAATTTTGAGGTTATGTAGCCTGAATTTTGAGGTTATGTAGCCTGAATTTTGAGGTTATGTAGCCTGAATATTGAGTTTATGTAATCTGAATTTTGAGGTTATGTAGTTTGAATTTTAAGGTTATGTAGCCTTAATTTTGAGGTTATGCAGCTTGATTTTCACGTAAAACTTTCTAATTCGTCCATCTTTCTCTTCCAGGACGGAAACACAGCTTTAAAAATCTCCTTAGAAGCGGGCTACCACGACATTGGATGTCTCCTTTACGCCCACGAGCATTTAATTCGTAGTAAATCTACCGTTAAACGAACACCGTCCAGAAAATCATCAACGAGCTCATTAACGTAAAGTAATCTTAAATTTTTATCAAGAGTATTAAACTTCCAGGTACGGAAGTACGTGTAACCACTAATTTTAATTCGAGATATACTAAAAGAATAATAAGAACACCTTCGTCGTATCCCACATGTAACCCTCAATTCGAAAGACGTGCACAAACTGCACAAAATTCATTTTGCAACATTCCATATCGAAAAAATTTACGGTAAATGAAAAAATTATAAACTTCTTGGCTATTGCTGGAAAAAAACATTGGAATTATCGAAAATTAATTGAGAAAAAAAAATATTAAGATAAAAATTTGTTTCTAACTTGTATTAACACTCGAGATTTGAAATTAAGGAAAAAGATATCACTTATTGTAGTGGAAGTAAATTTGTAAAAGTAGACACGTCTAGTTGAGATGAAAATCTTATATTATGTTGATTTGATGACTTTTGAGGAAGTTTTTGAAGTGAATTTTCAATTTTAAATGTATTCACTCAAATTAGAAATTAGATGTGAATATTAAAAAATCGAAAGCATTTTTTTTTTTGCAAAATAATTTTAAAAAATGTTTTATTTTCCTGTTTTTTAAATAAAATTTTGTTAACCTTTTTTTGATTTTTATATTTTTTAATTTTCATCAATATTGAATTACTTTTGTACTTTATTTTAAAAATAAACTGAATCTCAATTTTAAAATTTTACAAAAAAGTTACCATTTTAAAGATGAATTAAAAACTTTTATAATTTTTCAAAATTCACGAAGAAAAGCTTCTGGAAAAGTCATCAAAGTTGTGAAAATTATTAAAAAAATATATATTTGAATTTAAACTGAAAGAATTTATAATTTTACTTAAATTATGTTTTTTATGAAGAAAGAAAAAATTTAAACAATTTATTTGGTTGTGGATTATTGAAATAAATTTTATTTGCCATTTTTATTCCTTTAAATTAGAAAATTCTTTTGAAATAAAATTTTACTTTGAAAATTTTTGAAATATTAGAATTTTAGATTTCTTTATAAAATTTTTTAAATTTGAAATTTTTTGAAATATTGTAAATTTAAAATTTATTGTTTTTCAACTTTTTTATAATTTTTAAAATTTGTTTTATATTTTTAAATTTAAAACTTTCTTAAAAATTTATTTTTTTAAAAAGAATTGAAAGAATTTCACACCTTTCAAAAATTTAACACTACTTCCTTAAATGTGTACTCCAAAAACCTTATTTACAAAATTTATTTTGAAAAATTATTATCTTTTTAACTTAACCTCCCTTTGTTGAGTTTGTATGGTGCCTTAATAAAATTCTTAATGACTAGAAAATTTCTGATCATAAAAAATATTAAAAAGTAAATTAAATAAGAATGAAAAAAAGAGTTTAAATTAACCAAAATTAATAGAGAGAAAAATTTAAAAAAAATCTGATAAAAAAATGTGTTGTGTTTCATTTAAAAAAGGTAAAAACTTATTTAAAAATGAGATAAAATTATTAGAATTGAAAAAAATTAATAAGAAAAGTTTGACTCACTTTAAAAATTGTTAGATTGTAAAATGATTAAAAAAGGATTTATTTGATTTTAAGAAGTTCGATCAAAAATGTAAACAATAAAAAAATTCAAAACTGATGAGAAAATTGATGACATAAAAAGTGTCATTGCATGTCCTCGAAAACTCAAAAGACTTGCTAATTATTTGGCCATTGACACTGACAAAACCCAGTAAATGATGAATTTCAGAAGTTTTTCAATTTTCTCAATATCTAATGAACTAAGTCACAATTTAAAATTAATAGGATTTATTCAATTAATAAACACGGAAAAAATATTAATGATTCAAAAAAAATGGCATTTTTACTAGTTTTGAAGAATTTTGGTTTCAGTTTGTGTTATTGTGCAGCTGACTTCATCATTAATCGAGATGATAAAGTTGCATGTTGTAAGAACAATGCTGTAAGATTTGTGATTAACTGGATGGTCTACTGTGCAACTTTGTGCGAATATGGCTCGAAGAGCATATCTGTATTAAATAGGCCTGAGCATAGGACTCAAGTTGAACTAGTTATATGTGTATGACGGATAGCTGAAGTGAGATAAGTACCTCAGTGGCCGAGTGGCAGGCATCGTTGATCGAATGGTCAGAGATCGCCTCTTTTAAGGTCATGGTTTTGATTCCTATCGATCTAGACTTGTTTTTCATTAGTATATACATATAGCATAGGGTCTTGTTCCCTCCTTAAACGTTTTGAACCGCAGCGAGATCATGGCTTAAAATGCTTAAGAGGGGGAAAAGACCCTCCTTCGCTTTGTTGTACGCTTGGTTGTTGATGCAGGCTTTTTTGCTGATTTTTAATTACGAATAATGAATATCAAGTCAAATACGGTAGTCAAACTACAAAACTTCAAATAATTTCAGTAAGGAGACATTGTGATTAACATTCGGAGACAAATTTAACAAGTCTGACATATATTGTCATTACAAGCTTACTTTACCATCTCATAGGAAAATGATGAGGCAAAGGGAATGAGCTGTGGTTTCTACACACCAATCTCTCCAATTTATCCCACCAATCGATCATTAAATTATGTTTTGCTTAATTCATGTCAGTTGTGTTCAACCTTTTTTGTGCCATGGCACAAAAACTTGTTGGTAAGCCAATGCTGAAACCACAAACGACATATGGTTGATACTAGTGTGCCGCAACACATAGGTTGGCAATCAGTGATATTATGTAATTGGAATGTCCTCAAAATCAGCTGTGCTTAGAGTGCATGACAAATATTATCAAATGACACATTTAAAGCTTCACATTATCTAATAACCAATATTTCATAAGTACCAAGCCAACAAAAACCAAACGGACAATTAAAGGTGTTAAAAAAATTCAACGTCAAGCAGCTGGAGCCATGCAAACAACAATCGTGGACGTCAATCTGATCATTTTTAGAGACTTTATTTATAAACATCAAATATGAATCAACAGAACAAATAAATGTTGTCAATTTTATCACGTTGTGTCAACTTTAAAGAGATAATCAGACGACCGACGCTCACTAATTATAGTTAGCAGCATCAATTGGTTTTTTGTTTTTCTTGTGTATTTTTTTAAATAGCTTGTGTTTTTTGCTGTTGTCAAGCTGGAAGTAAAATTTTATTGTTGTTGTTGTTGTTGTTGCACATTTTTTAATATTTTTTGTGTGTGCTGTGCCGTGTGCTCGAAAACATTTCGTCATGCTTTCTACGAAATATTCGTTGAGATTAAAGCCGCGTGTGGAAGTAAACAATGAGAGAAGATAAATTGATCACGTTTTGGGATATGCGGAGATTATTGGGTTAAGTTTTGGGTTAAGGTGAGACTTTATTTTGTTGTTGTCTGGAATTTATGTAAAATGAATGCAGGTTAGTGGGTTAAGTTGTTGAATTGTGCAAAAAACTTTGATCTGATTTAAAAAAATTCAAAATCATTTTCAAAAAATTCAATATAATTTTTAAAAAATTCAAAATAATTTATAAAAAATTCAAAATAATTTTAAAAAGTTCAAAATAATTTTAAAAAAATTCAAAATATTTTATGAAAAATTCAAAATAATTTTAAAAAGTTCAAAATAATTTCCAAAAATTCAAAATAATTTAAACGAGACAAATTTGGTTTTAGAGTTAAAAATAAATTTTAAAAAAATCAAAATAAATTTAAAAAATTATAAAAAAAATTTCCAAAACTTCATTTAAGAATACCAAAATAATTCTCAAATTTAAATGCAACTTAATCATCAAAATTTAATGCTACACAAGGCAAAGTTCATCGACATGCCCATAAATTCATTATTTACTATTCCATACTTGGCTCAGCTGTCACATTTTATTGAAACATTTTCATGTTGTTATCAATTTTGTTTACATTTTATAATTCGTGTCAAATTGCTTGAGCAAATTTCAAGATGAAAGAAGAAGAACCCGAGAGAGGAAGTGAGAAGAAGACGACGAGTTGCACAATAATAATGTGTGAAGGGCCCAGGTTTTCAGCTGGAGGCATTTTGATTCAGTTTATAAAGAATCTATTATACCACACCCTTTAGACCAACAGTTTATAGTGGAATCCGAACCACTTGCTAGCTCTGCACATTACAAAGACACGAGTACGCCATAAGACCTGATGTACCCTGCAATGTACCTAGTCACAATTACTCTGTGCAAGATGCAGTAAGGAAGTCATCCAGTTGCTAGTATATCCTTGTATACCAAGCAAAGGAAGCATATTCTGTGCCAAAGACCTCAAAACTTCACCCAACACACGAACCGAGCGTCGTAACTTTAACCGTGAAATGGAAAAAGAGCTTTTAAAACTTGACTTGGTCTGAGATTAAACCCAGGACCTTTGGCACGGAAGCTCCACGCTCTACCATTTAAGCAACTGATGCCATGTCACCGCTAAGAGTTGGGGGTCATATCTCGAATTCTAATATGATCAAATTTTCAAGCATTTTCTAAGAAAAATAGGTTGAAAAAGCGGGACATTAAGGATTCTAGGCGAGACTTTGAAAAAAAAGCAGGACTGTCTCACACAAAAGTACGCAGTTGGACAACATTTTTTTCATATAGAAAAATTGTAGTTTTTTCAATAAAACTTAATTGTAAGGCGTTTCCTAACCTCATTAAGCCCCAGTCGCACCAACCCAGATTGTATTATTATCTTGGATGTAGCCAAGGTTGTGAGACCGATTAAAATGAATAAAAAACTTCCAACACGACCAGAAATGACCAAAAATCTTCAAAAAAAGTTTTCCTATGGTCGCGCAGCTTAGGGACATTGAGGAATTTTCAAAAATGATTCTAAACATCAAAATTCCAAAAATAAGTCAATACTAACATCCGTTAAGAAAATGTTTTTTAAAAAAAATTGCACAGCACCACTTCTTCCCTGGGCGACTCAAAAAACAGCAGCAGCAAAAGAAAAACAACATCACTTACTCTATCTTATCTCTCAATTCTTTCTCATTTCAATAATTTTACTCATTTTTTTTCCTACTCACTCTTTTGTATGTTCTCAATTCCACTTACCTGCTGACTGGCCGTTTCATGTTCACATCTTTCTCCTGTTGCCAATCAGTCTCACGCGATCGTCGTGCACAATGGAGTAAAATTTTAATTAAAAAGTCTCAATTAAAATGAAAGTAAAAAGTGAAAAAATCATGAAAACCGTCCAAAAAGTTGTTAAAATTTGACAAAAAAAAGTCATCCAAAAATTTTGTAGTGAAATTAAAAGTTGGAAAAATCAAAAAAAAACTGTAAAAAAGTTTTAAACAGACCACGAAGCAAAGATAGACGAGGAAAGGTCCACGACCACCAGTGAGAGAATTTTTTATTTCTCTCACAACAACAAAAAAAAAGTAAAACTTCTCTCGACAGATTGTTGTTTTTGCTGCTGCAGTTCCAATAAGAATTTCACTACAAATTTTTGTTTTGTAAATAACAGACGAAAATTTTCATTCTTTTGTGAATTTTTCGACTTTGTTTGTAGTCAAATGATGACTTTTAGGGTAAGTTTAGTGAAATTGTGAAAATATTTTTGAAATTCTGTAAAAATTTGTTAAAAGTTTCTCACTTTTTGGCCGATTTTGAGTTGAAAAACGTAAACAAAAATTTAAAATTATTTTTTTTGGTGAGAGAAAAAATCTCTCCGAACTCAATTTTTTTTCATCGTCGATTCTGTTTTGTGACTGTCTGTACAGTGAGTTTTAAGAATAGAAAGAAGAAAGAACACAAAAAGGAAGTTTCTAATATTTTAAATAATAAATAAGATTAAATATCTCGTGGACGTGAATTAATGAAGAATTATTACAAAAAAATAAAATAATTTTGCTGAGACGGAAATTAAAAATAATTGAGGCTGAATGATGACAAATGAATGTTAAATTTTAAAGGGCTGGAATTGACAATAGGGAGACAGTGATAGTTCTTTTTTTGTTGATTTGTTTTTTAAGATTGAATTTTTTAACTGCTGAGATTTAAATTGTGAAAAGTTTTTTTGTGATATTTTTAAGTTTTAAATAATTTTTAAATTATACAAAAATTCAACATTCAAAAAAAATTATAAATTTGAAAAAAAAAATAATTCTAAAGTTGCCAAATTTTTAAGAAATTCTGAATTCAACATCTTAAGAAACTCGAACTTTAAAAAATTGGAAAAACTTGAATTTCAAAAAATTTAAAAAAATAAAACTAAATAATAGTTCAAAAAATTAAAAAACCAAAAACGAAAAAAATCCAAAAAAAGAAATTTAAACTTGATAAAAATTATTAAACTTGTGATTTTAAAATAAAAATTAAAACTTTATTTGAACAGTGAAAATTTTAAGAAAGCTTAAATTTAGAAAACATAATAAATAAAATATTGCAAAAAAATTAAAACTTCGAATTTATTTTAAAAAGAATACTAAGTTGCAAAATTATTCAAAAAAATAAAGCAGTATTTAAAAAGTAAAAAATAAAATAATTAAAATAAAGTTTAAAAAAAATAAAATAAAATATTCCAAAAAAGTCGATAAATTCCGTTTTAAAGCCTGAAATTATTATTTCAAACTAAAACATCGTTAAAGTGTTCAAATTAAAAAATGTAAGTGAAATTTTTAACAAAAGTTTGCCAATTCTACAAAATTTAAAAAGTTCGATTTTTGATTGATTGTGAAATTTCTTTCGCTGAGTCATCAAAAGTTTGAAATAATTTGAAATTCACTTTATTATGAAATTGTTGCTTGTCATGAACATGTAGCCAAGACCGTTAAATCTTAGTTTTAAGCTAGCTTTAAGCTAGACTCTACGAATTCAGTTTTACTTTAAGCTTGCCTAAACCTAAAATCTTAAGTTTCTGGTTACTGGGAATCTTAGAGAACTGGCAGATATGCTTCTTATGCTCATTATTAAATCAGAATCTCTCAACGCTTGGTGAGGTCAAGAAGAACAATTATGAAAAAATAATGAAATTATACGTCAACAAATTCCAAGAATATGCTAACGTATTATATTTTTGAAAATAAAAATTCCACTCGAATAAAAATTTAATTAAAGATTGGTATTTTAATCAATTAATAGAATAATAGGAATTGGAAGATTGACCGCATTTACGTATTTTGGACAAAAAAAATCCCAAATCTACGTAGCTATATAGATTGTTAAGTATTAAGTAAGCAACACCAACGGAACCACCATATTAATTTGAATCTAATTAAAGCGCAACTTCATCCCGTTGCAAATCCCTTCTTACTTCCGTCTTTCATTTTTAACACCCTTCAGATATCAATTCACATCTTTAATTATTTTTAATTAGTTTAAAGCATCCGAACAAAAAATATTTCCTTAACCTTGAATTTTATTTCCAAAGAAAATGTGGGAACTTCTCTGACTCAGAAAATGTGCATAAAAACTCTAAATGCAGCTCAAGCTTTCAGAATGGAAAATTACATTTATTTTCATTGTTCCACTTACTGATATTAAGTTACACTTAGCTATGAAAAATAGTTTCAAATAATGTGAAATTAAAAATGACAAATTGAATCTGAATCATCAATTTAAAGCTTGATTGAATATTCAGAGAGTTGTGGGTGGGTTTAAGGGGGAACCAGGAAAAGAGCTGGATAGTAGAGTTTGGTTTTTTGAAGGGGTTTAGATTCTCTGAATATGAAATTAAGGGCAGGAATTCCATCATCGAGTGTTTTCAATCGACAGTGCCATTATAATCTGAAATATTCGCAAATCTGATTATTTTCAAGCTTTCTTGCATTAACCTAGTGAATGAGTATGTCCAGGAGTATCTGAACCACCTTCCATGAATTGCATGAGCTCAAATTCAAGCCCTTTTGTAGCAACAATAGTAAAATTCGTGTCATTCAAAACAAAAAACTGTCCACGACTCAATATCACCCGATAAATTCGTGATCAACCTAATTTCACCATTCAACTTGTAAATAAAATCAAAAAATAAATTTAAAAGCTCAAAAATTACGTCAAAAATATTCGATAAAAATAAACTCATCTCAAACTTCAAAACAAAAACATCATTTTTTTTCTATTGTCAAATCTATTTGTGCATTTCATAAACAATTCACTCGGCTTGAATACGGTCAACAAGTAGAACACTTGGTCGTTAATTAAGTGAGAATTAGAAATGAGTTTTAATTAAATTGTTCATATAAGTGACTCAATAGCTTGTCGAATGTGAATTTCCTCATAATCTTTATCTAACTTTGAAATGTAAACAGGTTCATGATGCTTCCGTTTTGGCATTTTTCCGTTGAGCTTTTGGGGGAGGAGAAAGGGGAGAAATGAGGAAGTAAAAACAAAAAAAAAAGTTTTTTTTAAGATTGTGAATAATTTTCTTAATTTTTTTTGTTTACGTTTCTAAAATTAATTTGATTTTATTTCGCGAGTTTTTGAAACTTTTGCACTTTAGTATGGCGCTTGAGGGTTCAAAGAGCTACTTTGGGTCGTAGAATCTTTGAAATTAGATGCAAATCATTGTGACTTAGTTGAAATATGGCGATGTAATTCACATTTGATCAATAATTGATTACATTATGGCACCAACATATAAATAAGTTTCAAACGCATCAAATTTCAGTAAAACATTAATAAATTGATTAAAATTGAATTTAAGACAAAGCAAAAGTTGAAAAAAACTGCCAAGAAAATTAAAAAGTTAACCACCCAAACCTCAATGCGTAGACAAAATTCCACAATCCACCTAAAACTGCATAACAACCTCAAATAAACTACGCATCAAGCTCAATTTCCAAACACATTTCTCACGCATCAAACAATCTCACAAAACAACGCAAAAATAAAATAAATATTACGTAAAATCTACAATAAAGTCACGAGAGACTTCTCACAACATCGAATCTCTATTCCTGACCTATCCCAACGCTCGTTCAGTTCCCCATCACAGATCGATTCACAGTTTGAGTTTTGATTTGATTTACTTAATGACTCTTAATTTGCTTACTCTTTAAAGTTTAACTGGACCCGACAAATGTATGTGACGACATAAAATTTGGTTAATGGAAGTCGATAAAGGGGTCAGGGGTCCATTGTTGGGGTTTAGTCTAGTACATAACTTTTGGATTCTCTTCTGTCTCATTTTTGTTAATTCCTTAAATGTTTATTAAGAATAATTCACATCCATAATGGATGTAATGCTAGGAAATAAACAGCTAAGGATTTTAGGGTCGAAATCCCTGCCTTGAAGGACAGATTCTTAAATTTGCTAGTGTTTATCAAGAAAATAATCTCAAAATAACGCTTAAAAATTTCAATAACCTCAATAAAGACTTTGACCTTCTTCCATTCCTCATCAACATTTAATAAAACTCAAATGACCCTCTCTTCCTCTCCCCCAAAGCAAATTCCGGAAACATCATCAATTTCTTTGCACCCACAACACTCTACGGCGCCCAAGAAATTCACAAAAAAAGCAAAAAATCAACAACGCGAAACACGACACAGAAAAAAATGACAAACTTCTAATTATAAATGTTGCACTTGACCTTGTGGAAATTTTTCCTCGTTGCACATTTTTTTGCGCGCTCTCTCAATTGAGCGACGATCGTCAAAAAACATACACACACACAAACACATTCAAAGCGAGCTTTGACTTTAACTTCTCATCACACACAAGTCACATGTGCACCTCAACGCCAATGCACAATTTGAAGTTCGATAAATCGTAAAGAAAAAAAATAAATTATTGAATGATTTGTTATTGAACTTGTTGCTGTTTTTGGATATAAAAATGTTTGTTTTGCGCGTTAATTAAGGATTGATGAATTGTTTTGCACGATTTGATTGGGATTTTTTGTATTGAAGAGGTTGAGTTGATATTCTGGTTTATTTGGGATTATTGGAGTGATTTAGGGATTTTAGAACACGCTTTGGGTATATTGATAAGATAAAATGAACAGAAGAGCTGTCAGAGGTGCCGAACCTTTTTTTCATTAAATTTTAAATCTTCAGAGGGTCTAGACTTTCCAAATCCTCATATAATCCCCTAATAAATTAAAATAAGATTATTAACAATTTTTTTTTTATTTTTCTATTTTCAGATTAAATTATAATTTCCCTCATCTTCCCCCCTATTCCCCCCCCCCATCGCACATAGATTAAGTTAATTAAGTTAAATTAAGTAAACAAAAACAGAATCACATAATTTAACAATGGGAGCATCTCATTCAAATACAACAACAACAATATCTACCGCAAAAATTACACGTGATGCACCGACATATAAAAGTGAAACAATTACAAATTGGAATGGAAAGACACAAGAGATTAAGGCTCAAGAGAGTTTTAAGGCACCGGAACCGCCAAAATTGAAAGGGATTTTGAAGAACAAAGAAATGGTTAAGATCGAGCGGAGGCCGCAGAAAATTGTGGAGCTTTATATACAAAAGGGGGATCAGTGGACTGTGCTGAGGGTGAATGAGGTGAGAACGTTTTTAATAATGTTAAAGAATATAAAAATTAAAGTATTTAAAAATTTTAAAACTCTTTTCATTTTTTTAAAAATTCAAAAAACTTCAAATAAATTTTAAAAAATCAAAAACTTCAAATAAATCAAAGAAATTCAAAAAAGTCAAAAGAATTCAAAAAAAATCAAATAAAATCAAAAAAATTCAAAAAAAATTCGATTAAATCCAAAATGTTTTAAAAAAAGTTTAGAAAAGTCAAAGAAAATCAAAAATAAGTTTTGAATAATTCAAAAAAATTTAAAAAGATTCAAAAAAGTTGAAAAAAGTTCAAATAAGATAAAAGAATTCAAAAAAAAAGTTAAAAATAGTTTAAAAAGTTAAAATCAAAGTTCAAAATCTTTCAAAAATCAAAAGAGTTTAAAAAACTGATTAAAAATTGTAAAAAATTTGAAGAAATAAATAAATTTTTTTCTACAAAATCAATATTCCAGGAAGAAGCAGAACTCAAAAAGCGCGAACTGAAAGGCGACAAGACAATAAAACGAATTTATATAAAACCAGTGCATGACACGACGTTCCTCCACTTCAAAGCCATCTAACTAATCTAAGATCTAAGAAAAGTCTATCAAAAATTGTGCGAAATTGTAAGACTTTGACCAAACAGGACCAGGATGAGATGTGAACTACTACTTTAGATGATTATGGACAAAAAAAAAGTATTTTCTTTATGATGAATTTTGAAAATTTTTATCTCAAGACAAACAAAAAAAAAGTTTCCTTAAACGATTTTACTATTATGAGTAATTAAATAAAATAAAAAATGATAAAATGAGAAAAATTATAAAATTTGAGTTTTTTGGGGGGATTATTTTGTTTTTTAAACTTAACTGGACTGACATATTTTTTCTGGTTATTCTGAACAATTTTTTACATCATTTACAACCTGTTAAGTTCATACGGAGCTCTTTGGAGCCACTTTCTGTCGTCAGCACCCCTCAACGACGTCATTTGCCAGAGTTTTGAAACAAAAGTTTAAAAAATTCCAAAATAAGTTTAATTCTTAAATGCTAAGCGCGACCTTGAATCAAATTTAATAACAACATTACCCCAAAATCCTTCACAAGGTCACAATGACTCCAATATGATACCATACGACACAACATATGATCTTAACTCAATCTAGAGACGTGCCACCTTTAAAAAGTCTCCAAAATTCTATTGTGCAACATTTACAATTGCTTATTCAGCCGTCTTTACCAAGTCATACTTAGATTCTTGTGTAATTGAACTTTCTATTCCATTGGAGGTGTCATGATCTTCAGTGTGATTGACTGATGAACAATATTGTTTGATTTATTGGGGGCGATTGTAATAAATTGCTGAACAAACATTGATTTAAGATTTATGTCATAATTTGTTAATCATTTAGAAATGTATTAGATGAATCTAGAAGACACTGATGTGACAAACAGAAGATCTAATTTATGAATACAGGATTAATAAGTCACGTTTGAAATAAGTCAAAAACAATTTATTTACTGCTTCTTTAACAGCTGATTCTTAAATCCGAAATTGATTTATTTGCATTTTGTTAAGAATTTATATCCACCTGTTGCATCAGCAATGCTTTTGTGTTTAAACTGTCTTAATATTGAACATACAAGGAGCATACATACAAGATCAGTGTAGTCCAAACTTTGTGAAAATTTTTTTAAAAAAATGACACGAGTTGGATGCTGTGTGCGACTTTGGTTAAGGCTTACCCTTAAGTTGTGCCGTGGCTGATAAAAATTTTGGACAACCAACACTGTACCAGATTTTCGATAAGCATATTGATAGTTTTTCAGGGAAATGTTTTTTATTGTCTCTTGTTAAATACATAATTATTGAAGTTCTGGAAATCGGCTGTCTATTTTGTTGAGCTTTTAAGCTATTGAGTAAATTTGGCTTACTTACGATAGATTTATAATTGCTTTATGGTATTTAGAAGTTGTTTTATCGGACATACCCCTCAGTATACTCAAAATATTGAAAGGAATGCCAATAAATGACCGGAATAATATTCAGAAAATAAATTACATTTATATCTGCTACATCCACGATGTTTGTTAATATCAGAAAATTGTGAATGAATTTTCCTCCTAAAGAGGCTCTACGAGGGGAAGAAAGGAAAGTCTAAAAAGGAGTTTTTTCGTGTTGTTTAATGCCTGAACAGCTCTTTTATTCAACTGTATTGTTGTTATTGGAAAAATTAAAAGATAATAAACTTACCCCAAATAAACACAAAAACCGTTTGATCACATTCGTCACGTTGCCATTTCAATTCAGCCGTCTTTACATCCTCAAAATCAGTTGTTTCGTGTTTACAAAAAACATTCTCACTTTCTGTGTATTTACTTCCTATTTTACAGCAATAACTTAATTTATTTCCATGTGTGATTCATAGCTAGCTTGACGTTCTTTATTAAATAAGACAGCAGATGCCTGTGTCTTCCTTATAAGGAAAAGTTCAAGGTACAGAAATTTGCAATAGAACTGACATAATCGAATAAAGTGAGTGAAAATGGTGAAATATTTTTTGGGCGGATTTTATTGTGCAATTTTTAAGGATTAATTTTGAATTTGTAAAAGATTTTGGAATAAATTTGTAAATGCAGTTAAAAGCTGCTACTAAATGTCATTTGCATGACATTACCAGATGTATAAATCATTTAATAATAAGCTGGCTAACAAAAGATTCTCATTAATTGAAAAAAATGATTAATTTGCATGCTTATCACATTACTCAGCTTCTTATCTTGTACAATGATTTAATTAAAAAAAAGCATGACTAATCCACTGTGCTGTAAGCTTCATCAATTTATTATAAAATGTTAATTAAAAATTACGTGAACAAGATTCAAGGACAATTCCTTATCTGAATCAAAATATTTATCTTTTTGAGCCAATAAAAAGCTGAGGCAAATTGAGGTCAGTGTGATAAAAAGAATATTTAAATTCTAAATCATTAAAAAATATGAAAAAAATATTTACGTGATTCTGAAATGAAATGTGAGATTTAGAATGTTTAATTTAAATAGAATTGAGATTTTAGTCCAAACTTTGGATTGATGAGGGTTTGGGGGGCTTTTAAGTGTTAATAACTTGTAGATTTTATCATTTAGGGCACAGGTTGTGGAATCAACTCCTTGAAATCAATTTCTAACGATTTTCATTTATTTTAAGGAATCACATTACCAAACCCAAACCACACCGATCCACACCATACCCGAACTCTATCATACTCAACCAACAACCAACAACAAATCTCAGAACCAACAACAAAACCCAAAAGTTCAACCAACCATTCCATATCAAAAAAACAATGTCAATTGATAACACAAACTCCCTAACATCTTCAATGATCAGCCGAACAGACTCTATCATGTCATCAGATGTCGACGACGACCTCAAAAGCATCTTCAAAGACTACGACCAAATGTCAGAACTCGAATTATCACAAACAAAAGAAAAATGCATGTCTTTAATTCATGAATCAGAAGTTGAAAGTTCACAGCATAAATGGCTTGTGAGAAAGCTGGTGGAACTAAGGTATCGGCATGTCCTACTCACATCTGACAAACAAGATGAAACATGCAAAGAAGTGTCAGTATCTGGCCACAATTTCAAGTCCAACAAGCAGATACCATCAAAAAGAATTTTCTGTGATTTATGCACCAATTGCATTTGGATCTTCCAGCAGTGCTTCACATGCATCAATTGCTCATTTAATGCTCATTCAAAATGTGTCAAATACATTACTCGAACATGCTCGCATGTTATTGTGTGTGAAAAAGGAGTTCCTGAAAGTCGAATATGTCCTGAGATTGGACTTGCTTTACAGGCATACCGCTGTGCTGAGTGTCGAATCCAGTTAATGAATAAGCAATATTATTTAGAACCGCGAAAGTGCCATTATAGTGGATTATATTTCTGCAAGTCATGTCATTGGAATAATTATAGTATAATCCCGGCCAACATAACACACAATTGGGACTTTGAACAGCGCCCTGTATCCCGATCAGCACTGCAAGAAATTAATTTATTTTATGAACGTCCTGTGATTAAACTTGAAGCTTTAAATCCAAAACTTTTTGTCTTCGTTCAGAAACTTGGAACGGCAAAGATGAAGCGACTCCAGTTAATGGAAATGAAGAGATATTTGGATGTTTGTAAATTTGCACTTGATGTAAAGCTTGTTAATAGAATTGTGAACAATAGGAGGTACTTGGTGGAGGGGTCTGAAATGTACAGCGTTTATGATTTAGTCTGCATCGAGAATTGTAGCTTTTTTGAGTTGCTGAATGCAATTATTAGCAAGTTTAAACAACATATCATGACTTGTGAGGTGAGTTGGTTTCGTGTTTGGTATTTATTGCATGAAATGTAGGACCGTAGGCATGCTATACCAGGGGTGTAGCTAAGTATTTGAAGGAGGGAGGAGTTTTAGCATATTTTAGCAAAATTATGAAGTTTTTGTTAACGAATGTAATTTTAGGTATGACTTGAAGTCTCCCTTGACAAAAAAATTTATCACCTTAGTCATGGTTACTCTGAGAACCTTAATTGTAGCACTACACAAACCCTAACTTTACTTGACCTGATACCACTCGGCAGGGGCATAGCTAGAAAATTTTTAAGGGGGAGGGGCCCATTTTCGAAAATAAAAAACCGTTTTTTTGTATCCTTAAATCTATATTCATTCTTCATAAGTTTAAATATTTAATTCATTATTCATACAATAAATTTAATTTTTCGTGCTAATTTTGACATTTCTTTCATCATTTCCTCTACATTAACTGGTTCTTCTCTATAAATACTTAAAAAAAACAATTATCAGATTTTCGAAGGGCCCGGGCCCCCTATGTCCCCCCCCCCCCCCTTCTACGCCCCTGCCACTCGGCTAGGTTTCAATAATTGATATAGTAAATGATCTTCTGATTAAAAATTAAAATTTCTTTCAGATTTGCCGAGGACATGGCTTCATCTGTGAGTTTTGTGGTGATTCTCAGCCAATTTTTCCATTTAATGATGGAATTTATAAGTGTGAGACGTGCAACCATTGCTTCCATAGACCTTGTATAACTGGATTAAGAAGAGGATGTCCTAAATGCTCAAGAATGAAGGAAAAGAAAGTAATTGAGAATGAAGAAAGTTGATTATTTTTAATTTTATTTTAATAAACATTCAAGGGTGCGGAACTGATGAATTATCAATTTTGTATAAGTTTCGTACCCTTGTAAACATTTTGATTATTTGTAAAGCTTTTTTAATTTTTCAAAGTAATATTGAACATTTCAGCAATCAGATTCAATTCATTATAGTACAAGTCTTCGTCTTTTAAGTATCTTAAAAGATTTTTATTTTCAGGCTGTAAATTAAGTTGAAAGAAATTTCTTATTAAAGTCAAATTTCCCTCGAGTGTTTCATTTAAATATTCCAAAAAGTTTTCAAAGCCATTCGCTCCAGAATTTAAATATTTATCGAAAGGTTCCCAATGACTTGATCCAAGTAATATTTGTTGAATTTCTTTTATATTAAATTTTGAAGCATATAAATTTGAAATGAAACTATCTTTTATCATTGGCACTGACATCAAGTTCCAATAAAATAATTCGAATGGTGGAAATTGAATTGGAAGGACGCTATATTTTTGATCTGCTTTAATATCAATTGTCCACTCGACTTTCTTTAATAAAATCTCCTTTTTTTGATCATTTGTTGTGAAGTCAACGCAAAAATTCCAAAATATTTCAAAATGACTGAAAAATGTTGCGATGTGCATTAAATTCCTTTCAATTATAAATTCACAAATTTCAGTTTCATTTAAATAATTTTTGGTAACATTAATAAAGAAATCAAAAGTTTCAGAGCTTATGGATTCTTGATGAAAATAAGTACTATATTGTAGTATGGCTAGACTTTCAATATTATTTTTTAAAAACATTTTACATTCATCTTTAGTGAGAATTTTTTCAACAATTTTCATAAAATTTTCATCTTGAAAAGGCGGATTAGCTCGATCATAAATTGGACTTTCATTTGACAGAAATAATTTAAGAATTTCAGATTTTGTTAAGTTTGCAGCAATCGACTCGAAAACAAATGAAATATTTGCACTTTCTAGTACTTTCATATCTAAGCTGTAATCTTCATGCTCTATTAAATAGTCTGATTTGTAAAATAAATACAAACTGTATAGAATTATTCCTTTTTGATTTCTTCCATTCATGAACTTGTCAAATTCCTGTTTTGATAAATAATTTTTTGACATGTTTTTCATAACATCAGCAATGTAGATTTGATGATAAACATCATAATTATCTTGTGATTTAAAATAAGCAAAATTAAATGTCGATGTGTAAAGAGTTTCGTCTTGATCAACATGAAGAAGTTTGAGTAATAATTTATGATCTTTTTTGAAAAACTTTATCATCATTTCTAGAAAATCTGAATGTTTATAAGATAAAGATGCAAAAAATACATTTTTAAACTTTGAAGTTAAGACATCAACAATCATTTTACTAAAATATTGACTTTCATTAGCTGCATTTGTTTGAAGGAATGAATCTAAAAATTTTGTTGTCATTATTTTTTTGCTGATTATAATTTCCTCATAAAACAAATACATTCTCAATTCTGCTTCCTCAACACTAACATCTATAGCTTCATAAACATTCTCAACGAAATATTGTGCTATAAAAAATTCTGCAAAGGTTCGATGAACAAATTCATAATTATTCTCGTCATTAAAATACAAAATTCCCATTCGAGAAATTTCAGCGAGTGTCAATTTTTTTGGAATTTTCTGACGAAAAATACTAAGTCCTTTGACTTTTTTCTTGATACCTATAAAAGTTAAACTTTCAATTGCATATTTTTGCAAGATTTCTTTAATGTTTAACATTTTCCCGCCAGAAATTTCAGATTTTTGTAAAATTGAAGCATATGAACCTTTATCCTGCCAAATTTCAATTTTTTTTTCAGCAAACTTTTCATAAATTCGATAAATATTCTCTTTTTCACTAATTTCGACATCATTAAAAACTAATTCTGATATCATTAAAATCATAAGTGGAGTGTAAAACTTGTTCAAGTCTTGTCCACTTGACGAATGCAAATTTAGAATAATTGCTTTTACTTTATTGATAAAATCAGATATTCCAATTTCATTTTCTTTTCTTGTCATGTAAAATTGTCTTAAAAAATCATTATTTAATTGAAATAGATTAAAGACACTAATGTGTAAATTTTCCCTTAATTGCTGGACATAAAATGGTCGTGTACAAATAAATTGAATATTTTTAGTATTCTTTTGAATTAATTTAAGGACATTTACAATGAATTCATTATAATTAGGTGCGATTTCATCAAAACCATTCCATAATAAAATTAATCGATTAGAATTATAAAATTTGGAAAATATTTTTCGTTCAAATTTATTTTCCTGATTAATGCTTAAGATTTTTTCCAGAAATATCTCAATATTAAGCAAATATTCATTTTTGTTGTACAATTCTAAGTGATTCTTTAGATCAATGTAAGACACCCAGTGCATTGGAAATTTCTTTTTAATTTTTATCGTTAAATGTCGAAATGTTTCTGTTTTTCCAGTTCCTGCTTCCGATGATAAAATAAACATTTTAGTTTCATTTGCTAAATCAATGACTTGATTAAAGTCAAAAAATAAATCATCGCGAGTAATCATTGTGTCATTAAGGAATGCTTTATAAGGTGGACACCAATGGTTAAGTCCAAAGCGTTTATTAAATCGATAATTAAAACTAAATTTAATCTGCTCAATTTTTTTAGAATAAGTTGAATAATTTTGTTGTTTAAAATCACGGTAAAAATCAAAAAATTCTAAATTTGTAGTTACATTACCCTCCAATGTTCTATAAACTTTCCCTTCGGTAATATTGCTCATGTATTCATAAAAAATTTGACACATGTCTTCATCGAGGATTTTTCGATCAACAAAAAATTTTGTCTCATTTACAATCATTTTGTTAACATTAAGATTGAAACCATCTAAAATTTGACTTATTTGTTGTGACGTAAGCGACTCTAAAATCTCAGAATTAACATTATTTAAATTGTGGAATTTCAAAGTTTCATTTTGAAATGTGAAATTACTGTCTAAGACCTTTTGCCTTAATATTTCTGTCAAATGATTCCAATGATGAACCACAAATTCATCCAAATAATGTAAATAAGGATCACTAAAATTTAACTTTTTTCCCTCAAGCAATTGCAAAATATGATCGGATCTAAGTTTTTTATAAGCCAGTGAATTTTTCGGAATTAAATTTTGAAATTCTATCACATTATTTTTGTAAATTATCAGAGAATTTAAAATTTTGTCTTTTTCTATGTCTGTCAGTTCATCAAACTTATAATCTGGAGTGTAAAAGATTGATTTGACTATAAAAATTGATGCAACCAATCCGAAAATTGACAACAATCCGACAATAATTAAAATTATTTTATATTTTAAAATTTTCTTAGCCTTTTTTTGAATTTGATTTTCAGCTTCGATTTTTGGCAATGTCTTTTCCATGTCACCAACAACTCGATTCTCATAAAATTCAAAAAGATCTTTAAAGTCTTTTCGTATTTCGTTCATTTGTTCAGGTTCATCGCTGTACATCGCCAATAGATGCGGTACACGAACAATTAATTCTGCGTGATGCATTCGCTTTGGATAGGATTTATAAACTTGATGAATAATGTCATTTTTGATAGAATTTTCTTTACAAATTTTGGAAATTCTAGAAAATTCTGCCTTAGCTTCCTTATCACTCCTTAAGTACGGCTTGGCACGATTTTCATAAACTAAATTCAAAGCGTAATGACAAAGCTCATGCGCTAATGTACCGAATGCTTGACTTTCTGTTGATCGATTTAGCAACTCAGCAGCTCCAATGTAGATTCTTCCAGTAATATAAAATAGTCCTCTGGTCCACGAATCAGCCGTTGGATCAACAACATTCACAGACTGCCGATTAAAGTCAAAAATAATGTTGAATATTTTTGATGCAGCAACAATCATAAGAATTATTCTAATTAGTGGATTATTATTGAGCATACCAAAAGCGTAACGAACGTACTCTCATTTTTGAGTAGCTTGGGGATCATCATGTGAAATAGAAGAATTCGTTGACAATGAAATCAAATGTTTCTTAGCGACATTAATTGAATATTTGAAGTGAATTTCACGTAAAAGTTCACGCTCAGAATCATTAAAAGCCGTCCATAAATCACTCATTGTCTCATGATATCCGAGAAATATTTTATTTTTAAGTAAAAGCTCATAAATGTCAATGAACTTAAAATTTAATGCTAATTTAGGTGCTGAGACGTTGCGAGTATTAAAAAAATGAGATAATTTGGAATTTTCATTCAATATATTTTGGATTTTATCGTGATTTCTACTTTCAATTGCATTATGAAGCTCCTCGGTAGATGTAATAAATTGTGTAAGCTCATCGGAACATTCACTGACATCAAACCCTTCTGGATATGTTAAATTGATATTAAGTAATGTAAGAATCACATCACAATTCCTATTTTTCCATGCTAGATCGGATGCACTTGTGATAATTCCCGTTTCATTACATTTAAATTCCATTTTTAAATTTTGATTTAATAAAGTTTTGACAACATCATTATTTCCTGTTTCAGAGGCAATTAGCAGAAGATTTAACCCACGAGAATCTGCTATGTGACATAATCGGATGTCAAACCCACCATTTCCTGGACTTATGCAACTTAGGAGACCTAATTGAATCAGAAGTGAATAATTAACATTATAATTTGGTTAATATGGGGTCGTTCACTTAAGACGTCCGAAATTAACGGTCATTTTACCAAAAAGAACACTGAATTTCCGGGAATTTCTATTGTTCTTTTCTTTCTGGCCCTCATCCCCACACCCCCCTGGATGTCATAAGTGAACGGCCCCTAAGCAGACCTCATTTGTTCAAAGCAAGTTGTGAAAATGTATTCATCTAATACAACATAAATTTAAAAGGTATTTCACAAATTCATGTTAATTTGCTCAGGATTAATCCTCAGTTTTAACACCTTGGCACAAATGGAGCGCGTCCATTTGGATTTATTATATCAAGCTAATTTGCACCTTTAAACTTACCCAAATTTCCATTTTTCATTGCCTCCAAAATAAATGTTTCAAGAAAATCATAGAAAACAGCTTCATTGGTGATCAAAGCTTCTTCATCTGGTAAAAATGACATAAACTTTTGGATAGTTTTTAATTTCCAATGAATTGCATGATTTTCTTCATAATTTTTCGAAAACTGAATAATTATTGATTTATTTTTGCACTTGTTACTCAATTGTAATAAATCCTTAGCGTTCAACTTATCACATGGCTCATCCACATCGAATTTAAGAAGCAAAATTGTCTCTAAATTATCTAGCTCATTTTTTACGTTTCGCTCATCAAAAGCTTGAATAACTGCAGGAAAATCTTTACATTTAATAGATAAGATTGAATGCTCGATTAGAGTCAACCTTGATGTATGTTCTTGTGTAGAGGCAACTTCTGGAAAATCAGATCCATTTTCTAATTGATAATTTAAATTTTGTTTCATTAATTAAGTCATAAATATAATTAAGCTTACCATTTGTAGCACTTTCTTGGTTCGTTTCATAGAAAAATCTATTAAAAAATCTTCTTGATCTTAAAATATTCATTTTATTTGCAATTTAAACTTTATTTCAAAAAAAAAATTCATTTAATAGCTTTTATTCACTTTGATTTCTAATGATCATATGAAAGATTATACACAAATTGAACTGTATTAAAATAAACCTTAAACTGCTCATAATTTTTTTCTTTAAAGTTTAATACATTAAATTGTTCAGCAACCAATCAGAAAGGCTCGTTCAGTTGCTAAGCTTGACTCAATATTTGACAAAATTAAAATTGAGTTAAAATTAATGTAATCAGGTCAATTCAATGGATGTGCAATGGCGCGGCTTCGTAGGATCTTAAAATATAATATGGTCCATCAGTTTTCGCTGATTTTAGGTCCAAAAGTAAGACATGGGTAGACTAAAAATCTGTTTGGTTTTTCAGAGGACAGTCCTCAATTTTTTCATTTTTCAAAAATAAAATTGTTTTGTTTTGTCCGGAAAATGAATAAAATTGGTAAACACGTGAGATGTCCTCTATTTTTTCAAAAAGTATCTTGTAATTCTATAAAGGTCCCGACTTCAGCTCTGAAAAAGCGTAACAAACCAAATTTCCAGGCATTGTTCAAGAAAAACAGGTTTAAAAAAGGCACGATTGTCCCGCTCAAAAGTGCGCATTTGGACAGTCTTTGGATAAGTAAAAAATGAATTTATAATTCTTGGCTTTATTTTCTCTTTGTCTCATTTTGGTGATCTTGGCATTGATTGTAATATCTTTGGATATTTGAATCTGTATTACATACCAGCTGATCTTAAGCGAACATGTTTTTTTTTCATATCAACTAAAATAATTAAACTGTCAAGTTTTGTATTGCAAAGTAAAAAGAAAATAATAGAGCTGGAGATTTTCATTGATTTTGTATGGCGTAGTCAACGCCGAGTCGACTTGACTCAATACAAAATTTCATCGACTTTGAGCTCTGGAACATAAAGAGCAATGCTCTGCAAGATCCAGCTGATACATGATGGCAAACCTTGTTAAAATACAATTTATAATGTCATTATGGATTCATGTGAAAATGAACAGTCAATTGCCAACATAGGGCTTAGTAAGGGCTTAGCCAGGCAGAGTTCTTCCCCCTTCTCACCCTCGAGACTGAAGTTTGATCCTCGCAGTTAATAAGCTTTCAATAATTTTTGACAATAAGTTTTTTTTGAACCCTCTCGAAAAACTCAGGCTACGTCCCTATAGCTTGATAATTCAGGTTTTATGCTGTAATCATAAAATGATTAAAAAATGTGTTGATATTTTTCAAAAAAAATTGATTTTGATTCTTTATTAAAAAATAATAAAACTTGCATTAAAACTAATAATTTACCGAAAAAGTTGAAATTTTTGAATAATTTTATTTATTTAATGTCAATTACAATTTTTTATAAAAAGAACCTTTCATCATCATGAGTTGATACTTCAATGTAGTCTTGAATACTGCTTAGTTTTGAGTTGTAAATGCAATGATTTTTAGCAATTGAGATCACATAACAGTTTTTATACCCGTATTCCTGTTCTGCTAAGATTTCAATTTCCTCAAATTCATCATTCAAAATTTCAACTTTTCCCTTCATTTTTGGACATTTAAATCCGACATTTTCGAGATACAAAAATTTTAAATTTTGCTTATTTTTAATTAATTCAAAAATCTCAAAATCAATTTTGCAAGTAAATGCAAAAGTTATGAAAATTTTCTCTAATTTCTTGAATTTATGAAAAATTGTTTCAATTTCATACTCAAATGTTTTTTGTTCTTGATTGTGGATGTAGATTTCTAGGTCTATCAAATTTGGAAAGTTTGCGGTTAAAGCTACAAAATTTGAAGAATTTAGATTTAATGGGAAATGAATTTTTAAAGTTTTGAGGTTATGATTTGGAAAAATTCTGTTGTTATCAAGTTTGTATGAATCCTCCCTGAACATGTCACAAAATTCATAAAAAATCAGCTCTTTAACTTGTGTGAAATTAGCGAAAATTTCATTAAAGTCAAATTTCAAGTTTGGTGAGCTGAACGACTCACATTTGAGGATTTTGAGGTTAGTCAGAATTTTTGAGAGGTTTCTAGGTGTTGATGGGTCTGAAAATGTGCAACTTTTGAGGGTTAGAGAAGTTAGGTTGTGTATTTTGAGGTTACAATCATCAATTATGTCAAATTTAAATTTTTTGGCAGATTTTTCTTCACCATTTGTATCAAAATTTCCATTGCCGCCCTCAATTTTACAGTTTTCTGTGGAAAATGAGTCAAGATCAGCATTTATAACCTCCAAATTTTCCAAATTCTTCAATTTTAGCACCTCTTGCAAGCTTTTTCCATCAATTTCATCAAAGTTTCCACTAAAATTCTTCAAACTTGCACCATTTTTGATCAACTTGACGAGGAGATCTTCCCATATTGGCAGAAGTAGCTTTAATTCCCTCAATTCTGTCTGTTGATTCAAAATATTTTCCGCAATTTTCTTCGATTTTTCATCTTTTTGATAAAATTCACTCCATTCTAATTTCTCAAGTTTGCAGTTTTTGAGGAAGTTGTGGCTAAGTTTCCTTAGTCCTGTGTATGGTTTTGGGAATATTGCATGCTTCAGTTCCTTTTGTGTAGCTAGAAATTCTTGCAGACCCTCTGAGAAGTCCTCTAAACAGTAACTGGCATTAAACTTGAAAGTTTGCAGCACATCTTCGCTTAATTTCAGTTTTTTGAAGTCAAAGTTGTCGCAGGCATCGATTGTTAGGGTTTGTAGCCTTTCCAAGCCACATAAGTTCAATATTTTAAAGGAATCATCAATAATATTAATTTTTTCGAACGAAATTTCCGTCAAATTCTCAACTTTTGAAATGATTTTGTTAAAAACTTCAATTTTGATTTGAGCTTCGATTGTTAATTTTTGAATGAATTTTCCTTGGACATCCAGGAACTCCCAAAACTCTTCACAACCTTCTTCAGTTACTTCTTGCATGTAGGATAATTTAAGGTTTCTAAGTTGACGTAGCTTGCAGTTGATCATCGGAAAAGTTAAGGATTGAAGCTTTTCAAGGCGTTCATCATTGATTATCTGTGGAAAGTAGGCAAGAACCAGGACAAAGATTTAGTAAAATATGCTAACACATTAAGTTTGACTACAGCTATAGCCAATATACTTACAACATCATAAGAATTCAACTTGAACCAGATTTTGTCCTCATAAATTTTACAAAGGACATTATAAAATGCTTTGCAAACTAAATGCAGCTGCTTGTGGTCTTTTGTCACACAACTTAAGATTCTTTCGAGTATTTGAGTCGGTAGATCGAGAATGGTTGCTGGATCATGCAGTTGGTGATCACTGTAATTTTAAGATCAATTTTAGAAAATACTTTTTGGATTATAAAATGAAATAATTGATTAAAAATATAAATTTTCAAAAAAATATATTTAAATAATTAATATATTTAATAAAATCATTAAAAAAATCTAATCGATCAAATAAAATTGTAAACATTAGCATTTTAAAGTCAAATATTCAAAACTTACCTTAGCAATCCAGCTTTTGATGACATTATTGACAGAATGTTAAACTTGTTAATTATAAAATCTTTATCATTGGTTTTTAAATAGTAATTATTATTTTTTATTTCAATATTTCTGAAAAAATTAAATACTATAATGAGAAATTAGTTTTTTTGTTTTTTTTTAATAAATTCAAATGTCTGAAAAGCGTTAAAGAAATGTGAAGGCACTTGAAAAATGTTTAATAATTTTAAAAAAATTATTCGTTTTTTTCTCAATATTATAATTTAAAGCTTCATAAATAAAATCTTATTTAAAATGTTAAAAAAAATTACTTCAATTATTTTATATTTTAAAAAACATTTTTTTTTCATTTTTTTAAAAAGTTTTTGATTTTATTTCAATTTAAAATTTAAACTCAACTGAACATTTTTCAATTTTTTCAATAATTATTTCACATTTTTATTATTTTTAATTTTAGACTATCTTAAATTCTATCCGTTATTCCTTAAAACTAATAACATATTTTTTCAAATCTCATCCAACTTGTTCCTATTTATCGTCCTCAAAGCTCGAGTCATCCTTAACCATTCTCTTCTTACTCAACTGCATCAGTTGCTCAACAATCTCTGAATTTGGCGTTACTGGCGTTGTTGATCCTTCCGCTTTTGAGTCCATTTTCTTGATTATTCTCCAAATTGTCGTCTTCGGTATGCTGTATTTTTTAGCGATCTCATTTTGACTCTTTCCATTCAGAATCTCAGTTATAGCATTCCTTAATCTATCGTCATAATCCTCACCTCTTGATCGATTCTTCAAGTTTACATTTTCAGGCAGTTGACCTTTCTCATAAAGCTTCAATTTCTCACGATGTAAAGTTGATATCGGGATATTGTAGCGCTTGCTAAGGCTGATTAGACTTTCTCCTTGTTTGATCGCTTCGATTGCCATTACACGAATGTCGTCCTTCTGCTTTTCAGTTTTAACATAGCCAAGCTTCTTTGCACGACGCCATAGAAGGGTCTTTGGGATGTTGTACTTTTCGCTGACAAGACGGAAGCTGGAATTAAATGTCAAAGATTTAAATTGTATGAAACTATAACAAATTGTGCAGATCTGGAAGAGCTATACTCAGGTTTAGCAGATTTAGAAGGACATAACTCAAATTAAGCAGACCTGGAAGAATCTAACTCAAGTTAAGCTGATGTTTAAATATCTAACTCATATTGAGCAGACCTGGAAGAATCTACCTTAGGTTTAGCAGACCTGAATGAATCTGACTCAAAATGAACAGATCTTAAAATCTGATCTTAAAATCTGATCTGATCTTTAAGAATCTTTCTCAGGTTGAGCAGACCTGGATAAATCTAACTCAAGTTGCAAAGATCTAATAAAGTCGAACTCAGATTGAGTAGACCTGGAAGAATCTATCTCAAATTAAACTCATCTTTATGATTCAAGTATGAGTTGACCAGCCCTGACCACAATTAACATCAATTCACCAATTAAAAGAGAACTGAATCCTTACCTGCTACTATTAGACAAAATTTCATTAACTGCCTGCTGCATGATCGTCTCATCGACATTTTTAGAATTTAATTTTGGCGTAGATGTCTTGCTGCTTCTCAATTCGACCGATTCCATTACAGATTTTTTTTTCTTATCCTGCTTAACCTTAAGAATCTCATTTGATGTATCAACAGCCATAGTCGGTGAGGTCTCAGATTCCGGTATAACATTAACTAATTCAAAATGTTCCTCAACTGTCTCATCCTCATCCATAGCATCCTCATAAGCAATGTCTGTATCCTCAATATTTGAAATCTCATAAACTTCAAGAATTTGTTGTTCACCGGTTGCTGTTTTCTGGGTCATTTCATATTCGGTATTATCTTCGGTTGTGGTTGTGTATTTGATGTCTGTGCTGAAATCTTCAATCATTGTGGTGATGCTAGGTGGCTCTGATGTTGCAGCAACTGGACTGTCGAAGACAAGTTTTTTCTCGCAGCTTATGTTAGCTTTGAGTTGGAGGAGGTTGCAGGCTTCGATGAATTCTGGAATAAAAAAAGGGGTTGGCGGTAAAAATCGGGAACATTAAGAAAAATTGTTCTGGCCATTTTTGTAACCTTGGAACTGTTTTTTAAGTATAAATTCACATTTTAGCTCATTTTGGACATAGCAGTGACACTTACCTCCCATCAATCTAGTCTCCAGCGACACATATCCAATATAAATATATTCAACCACCTTCCTCATGATGTCTGGATGTATGTCAGGCACAATTATGTTAATAGCGGGAAGTTGCTTATCCACAATATTCTTCAAAAGTGAGTTGAAAAACTCTAAAAATGCATAATAATCATCAATAATTCTCAACTTGACTACAAAACTCAATCCTAACTCACCGCTAGCCAATGCCAGGACATAACTGTTGATTTTGACAGCAATATTGTCCTTGCATATGAAATTGACATCTTTATCCAATTCATTTGCCCATGAATGCCGCAAAGCATCGAGAAATTCCTTATTTTTGTCGATTCGTGTGTTGATTACGAAAGACATTTTTGGTGACTGAATAAATTTTGGGAAATTGCTTTGCGAAAAGTGACGAAAAGTTTAATAAAAACACAAAATTTATTTTTTTTTGAATGTTTTGTTTGTGGTTTTTTTCGCGATCGGACCTTGTAGGAAAATAAGTTTTGAGATTGGGTGTTAATAGATTTAAATATTTTTTGACCGTTGAAATTATTTGAATTTAGGAAATTTGAAATGTTTTTTAAATGCAGAAAAATTGAAAAAAATTAAAAATTCTAAAAAGTTAAAAGTTTAAAAAAACAAAAAAATTCAAAATTTAAAAAAATCAAAACTTAAAAAATTTAAAAAAGTAAAATGTAAAAAAATTAAAAACTTCAAAATAATTTAAATAATTATTTTGAACAATAATTGTAAATCAATTCCCAACAATACCCAATCCATATTTCTTTTGGCGCAATTCCTTTTACATGGTCGGACTATTTAACATTCCGAATCACCCAATTGTTTACCAAAACAATGTTCATCAGATGTTCAAGAAAATAAATTCTTAAAAAGTTATAAAACTTTAATTTTTCGACAGATTTGTGACCATTCAAAGAGTTCTGATCATTACAGTCCAAGATTGTACTTGACAGATATGTCCATTGATGGAAAAATGTGTCGAGTCTGCTTAGCAACTCAATCGACATCCAAATTCAATCAAATTTTCGAAAATAATGGAAAATTAGGAAAGCAAATTTATGAATTGACCGGAATTAAGGTGAGTTTTGAGAAGATGATGTGCTTTTGATCCACAAAATGATTCAATTAGAACTTCGGAGTCATTAATATAACATAAACTAAGCCATAAACTGCAAGCATGAATTGAATCCACAAACTTATCAGAAATCAAATATTTGACCTAGTTTGCATTTAAAAATTTCTTAAAATGAACAAAATCACTCATTTCAGATCCTCGAATTCCGACAATGTTTAGCCTTAATATGCCTTAAATGCACAATAAATCTTCAACTAGCTCTCGAGCTTCGTGATTCAATTTTAGACAACAACAGACACTTCAACGAGATCTACAAAATTTGTCAATTTGAAGAATATGACATTGACTTTTCAGCTATTCAACCTAGTCAGTGGCCAGTGGATCCAAATGTTATGGTCAAAAGTGATCCAACGACTTCATCAGACTTTACATTCAACAATCCTATTGGAAACTTTCATCCATTAGAGACAGAAGAGTATATAATATCCGAAGTGATAAAGGAAGAACCGAGAGATGAAGTTGAGGAATTTACAAACGAGACAAAATATCAAGCTACAATAATAAAATCTGAAATAACAGAAGAACCAGAAGAAATTCAAGAATTAAATTTTTCAAGTCTACCAATTGAATTGCTGCATACTTTAGACAGCAACAATTCAACAGATTGCGATAATTATTTAGATGAACTAGGTCAGCCTACAAGTCAATATTCAAGTGAGCTGGATAGACAAGAAAATTCATTGACAGTTCACCAACAAAATAGAAGAGCACTAAGTCCTAATCAACTAGAACGAAAGCGTGCACGAGACAGACTGAGAAAGCAACAAAAGCGTTTAGCTGAGACAGAAGAAGAACGTGAAGCCAGAAAGATAGCAAATGCAGCCAGACAAAGAAAACGACGAGAACTGATGAAAGATTATAATTTAAAACGTAAAATAAGTAAATTAAAGAAGAGAAATAACGAAACCGAGGAGCAACGTCAAAAAAGACTTGAATCAGAACGACTTCGAATGGCTGCAAAAAGAAAAACTGAAAATGAAGAACAACGTCAAAAGAGGCTGGAAGCGGAGCGAAATCGAGTTGCTCTAAAAAGAAAGACGGAAAGTGAGGAAAAAAGACGGATAAGGCTTGAAGCTCAGCGCATAAGAGTTGCACAAAGAAGGAATGCGAAAAGATCGCAAAATAATTAAACTTCAAATGATTAGAAAATAAAACAAAAATAATTTATTACAGCTCAATCATTATTGTTGAATTCACTTTATGTTATAAGTATAGTTTGACTATTGCTGTTCCTCGGGTAGCCTGCATCCTTGTTGCTTAAATGGTCTATGATACTGAGCTTCTTTGAAAATCACACAAATCAGTGATGATTCATGAAATTTGGTTTCCTTCAGATCAGAGTTGTCAGCTAGCAATTTCCTATCGAAGGCAAATTACAACGCAAGCATTGCCTTTAGGAAGACGTAAAAATTTATCTTTGTGAAGGCATGCCTAGGCAAAAACAATTCCTAGGAATGACAAAATATGTTGCCAATTTTTATGTAGTGCCTTTGGCTAGGTATTGTCTTTGATCAGGCACACTTTTTTGCCTTTGGCTCGGCATGCCTACACATACCATGCTCAGGTTAGGTACCTTTCCAAAGATGCCATCTGACAACTCTGCTTTAGACAAAGACGCTAGAGTCCTTTACATCCTGAATTGAACGACTTAAAGAACTCCTTAAGACATTCTCTTATTATAGCAATGGGCTCATGTACGCCACAGTCTAGGAGATAAAGTAAAGCAATTAAGAATAATCCCAACTCTAAAACTACATCTGCATGTTAGAACTATGTAAGCTGCCTTTTAAAATGAATAAGATACCATATTGCTACAGTTCTCCGAGTAAATTGCTTGAGATGAGCTGGACATGTGTTCAGACACTCACAAGATGCTCTAGTACTAAAAGTGACAGTTGCAGACTTTATGGATGTCAAGAGTACACAAGAAAGACCGAAGATCTCGTGGATTGGATGTGTTGAAAAGGACGCTAGAGTCCTTAATATCCCAAACTGGCAGAAAATTTCTAAGGATAGAACTGTCTTCAAACGATCTCTAAGCGCGGCAATGAGCCCACGTGCGCCACAGCCAAGGAAGCAAGTAAGTATAAAATACTATCTAAACTCTGTACATACGATCGATCGGATTACATGATACATTTCGGTTAAAACGTTTGTTTACAAAACAATTCTCATCATAAGCTGTCGATTAGGTACATTCAAGAAAAGTTTGCAGAACTAATTTTGAATTTCACAAATCACTAAAATTTTTAATGTGACTTTTGACATTCTGCCTCAGAATTGTGCAACACAAGCATGTCAGTTGATGGAAAAATGTGTCGAGTCTGCTTAGCGACTCAAAAGACGTCAAGATTTAATTTGATTTTTGGAAATAATGGAAAAATAGCAAAGCAAATTCATGAATTGTCTGGAGTTAAGGTGAGTTTTGAGTAGATTTGGAAGTAGCGAATCCCAAAATGATTCATGGATGGATCGTAGTTGAATTTATGATTTTAAAAATGAGTCAGAGTCTTGTTCACATGATTCAAGTCTCTTAAACCCTTAAATTTAAAAAAAACATGACATGAATTGCATCAAAATTTCTAAAATCCTTCATTTAATCATTCTAGATCCTCGAATTTAAACAATGTCCAGCTCTAATCTGCCCTAAATGTACAGGAAACCTCCAAAGAGCTCTCGAACTTCATAACTCAATCATAGACAATAACAGACACTTCAATGAGATCTACAAAGTTTGTCGATTTAAGGAATATGACATTGAATTAGCAGCTGGAGTTCTATCTGATGAGTCTGACGAATGGAAAGTCGAAGTGCTGGATGAAGATGTAGAAATTAAAAATGAACCAAATACATCATCCGAACTGAGTGTTAGAAATATTGTTGGAAATTATAATGCACCAGAATCTGAAGAATTTATAGTTACTGAGGAAATTAAACAGGAACCGGAAGATGAAGTTGAGCAGTTTACAACAGAAACCAAGATTTTTGACAATCAAGCTCAAGATTTGATAGAAATTACGACTGAAATTAAGGAGGAACCTGAAGAAATTCAAGAATTTAAGTTTGACGATCTTCCAGAGGAGGTGCTGCTAGCAATTGACAGTGACAATTCAGATGAACTTGACGATGGTGAATATTTAGATGAATCTGGTCAATCTACAAGCCAGCAATCTAGAAAACGAGGTCGAAAGGACATTAATAAGTCATTTACATGCTTGATTTGTGGACACATATATTGTAACGAGTTGGACAGACAAAAACATCTTGCAACGGCTCATAGTCAAAAGAAAAGGAAACTGAATGATTCTCAGATGATTTGTGGTAAAGACTGGATGTGCTGTTACTGTGGGGAGAGTTTTAGGACTAAAGCAGATAGTGTAAACCATAGAAAGACTGAACATCGAGAAGAGTAAGTAAAATAATGTTTCTGAGCAATACATTGCGGCATGTCTGATTGTTTTGTTGCCGGGCAACTGACATGACACCTTTAAGGTCCTTACGACTGCAACCTTCAGCTCAAGTTGAGTGAGTCTTACAAGTTTATAATTATTTTTGCCTTTTTACAGAGAAGAATCCCTCAACTGCCGTCACTGTCAGATGCAGTTCACTCAAAGACATCACCTACGAATCCACATTAAGTACACACATTTAGGGAAGTCCTTCTTCTGTTCAAATTGTAATTCTAAATTCAACAACCAGGAATCGTTCAAAGCTCACATGGAAATTGAGAAAAATCAACGGAATTTTGTGTGTAAAATTTGTGCAGCATCGTTTATACTAAAGAGTGGATTGACTAAGCATATGAAGAAGCATGAAAGTGATAAACATGCTTGTGAACATTGTGGATTGAAATTTGCCACACAGGCTATGTTGAAGAATCATTTAAAGGCTGTTCATTCGAGTGAGTAAATTTTTTTTAAAAAGTTTGAATAATTCTTGAAAAATTTCAAAAAATTCAAAAGTTTCAAAAATTTCAAAATATTCAAAAATCTTAAAAATTTAAAAAATTTCAAGAATTTCAAAAATTTCAAAAATTTTAAAAATTACAAAATTTACAAAAATTTCAAAAATTTCAAAAATTTCAAAAATTTCAAAAATTTCAAAAATTTCAAAAATTTCAAAAATTTGTTTTAGAATCAAAACCATTCAGATGTGGTTCGTGTCACGAGACATTTGAGTTTAAAAGCCATCTTCAAAGACACCTCAGCAAAGGAAACTGCTCAACAACATCGAGGACATGAAAATTCAATGAAACAATTCCCCAATAATATCTCAATATATAAAAAATTTATTTAAAAATTCAAAAAAAAAATCGTATTTCTAATAAATAATTTGATTTTCAGTCTACGTCTTCAAGTTACGCTAAAGTACCAATTATATGTCTTCATCTCTCTCTTCCTCACTCCTCTCACTTCCTCCACTTTTCCTCTTAAATGCCAATCCATGTCGGACCTTTATTTTCTGCACATTCGCTGGACATGTCCCAAACATCTGTGCTAGTTGTCTTACAGTCAATTGTGGATGAAGTTTCAGCATTTCAATGATTTTTTCTTCCCTTTCGACATTTCCAGTTCCTGCTTTTCTGCCTGCACCTGGTCTTTTGACTATCGGACTTTTATTGCTTTTAAAATTCTCAATAATTCGTCCGACAGTCGTTCGAGGAATATCTGCCCATCTAGCAAGTGACGTGATCGTTACTGTTGGATCTTCTAAATATTTTTGAATTATTTTGTCCCTTTGTGAGCCACGATGTGGGTCTGTAGACAGTGAGTCATTTATGTTGCAGTTCTTACAGCCATTTTCAGATATGTGACCACAGTTCTGGCATAACGAAGATGTTGACTGGTGTGGTGACTTTCTAGAACTTAGAGCTGACAACAGAAGTGGAAATTCTGAATTTGTTTGGTTATGTCCGCTGTATTCTCCGTAGCTGTAGTCATCATCCTGCATGTCATTGCTATTGTCATTTTGTGGTTCATAATTATCAAACTTGTCGTCATCTTCTGTCTTTATTGTGATTCTTTCAGCACCAGACCCTCCTGCATCATCCTCCATCGGTTCCTGTTTTATAAATGATTCCTGAACTTTAGCAACTTTGATGCTCGTTTCATCATTTTGTGTAAAATTCTGTTCAGTTTCTGCATTTACTGTGAATTTTTCAGTCAGGAGATCCTTAATGTAACCCTGAATATTAAATGCTGGCAAATTTTCATTTCTTTTAGTAAGGCAGTGCTCGAGAATTTCAGAACTTTTATGCTCAGTCACGGGTTTTGATGGTCCACTGTCAAAATTGTCATCAACTTTGATGCCACAAAGAAGACTTCGAAGTTTCGATTGTGAATAAAAGTCGGTGAAATTTTGGTGATTTTTGATGAATAAATTGCGAAATGAGATGGCCTTGTTGAGGTCGTTAATGCAGGTTGTGCATAGGAAGGCTGGAGACTCTTTGATGTTTGGAATCTGGAAATGGGAAATTAAAGTTTGATCAGAATTTAATGAATTTTTTCAAAATTTGACTATTTTTAACAGAATTTGGAAGATTTTACCAGACTTTGGTCAAAATTTGATAGAATTTCGGCAGATTTTTTTCAGATTTTGGTCAAAATTTTACTATTTTTTGACAGAATTTTGGCAGACTTTTGTAGAATTTGACAAAATCATTGCGAAATTATGCATTTTTCAATAAAATTATTCAAATTTTGTCAATTTTTTTAGCTAAAACTAGATGTTAGAATTCATTGTGCCAGAACTGCAGCACCTAAATGTTCCAACAACATCAACAACCTCAATAAAAATGCAATAAGATTCACAAAACACGACCTAATCACTCAATAACACTAATACACAACTTTCAATGACAAAAGTCACAATTATTACTCCATTAATTCTCAATTTTTCCATAACATTGTGCCAATAAAGCATAAAAATGGGTCAGTAAGTGGATAACTGTCTCAAAAATTCATGAATGAACAAAAATGTGTTAAAATAATTCGGCAATGTTATTCAAAAATAAGTCATTGACCAGCCAAAACCTTGTAAATATTTTTACACAACACTGTGAAGGACGAATGGCTGAATGACTAAGTTTACTTGATTTTATGCTGGTTGTTGGGGTTTTTGAGGAACTTTATAGGATTTATGATTAATTTTTAATCCAAAATATCAATTTTACCTTCAAATTTGTCAATTCAAACACTAAATTTGAAAGTTTTCCATTTTCTGTAAATATTGACGTCAACTTATTATCACTTTCAGGTGTCATGCATGCCCTGCAGACATTAAAATTCATTTTGTATATTTATTTTATTCTTAATTGCACTTAAATTTGATTTTATTAATATTTTGACGAAGAACTTTTTGTTTATTTTTTTGATTCTCGTCTCTTTTTGTTTTGATTTTTTAAAATGTTGAAAGTTTTGTACCCCCTTTGGGAAAGCAATACTTTCTATTTTGGGTGGAGTCACATTTGTATTTGAAATTGTTTAACGGACGAGTGAAGATCAAGTAAAAATTGAAATGACTTTTCGGAATTTGAAAAAAAAATAACATTAATGACCCTTTCTCTTTGTTCTCAACTTTAAGCCTCTGCACAGGTGGATAGGGCCCAGCCTTTTGAAATGGAGGCAATGTGATTCAAAATAGAACAGAATCTATGGTTCTATAACCTTTAAACCTACAATTTGTATAGGGATCTGAACCACCTGCAAGTTCTGCACATTGCAAGGACACGACCTTACGTCATTAGACCTGATGTACCCAGCAATGTACCAAATCACAATTCGTGTGCGCAAGATGCAGTAAGGAAGTCATCCAGATGCTAATGTATCCTTGTATACCTAGCAAAAGACTGAAGACCTCCAAACTACACCCAACACACGAAACGAGCTTTGTAACTAGAACGGTGAAATGGAAAGAGAGCTTCGAAAAATAGACATGGCCTGGGGTTGAACCAAGAACCTTTGGCACGTAACTCTCTGTCACTTAGTCCACTGATGCCATTTAACCTTGCAAGGTCTCGTATGTCATTTAATTCATTAAATTAAGCTATTTTGATTCTAATTCCAGTGGATTTATTTTGATGTTTTATTTTTGCTATTGTTGATAATGAAAACTCTGATTCTACGCACCCTCAAACATTTTTAAATTTTTGTTATTGCGGGAAAATTTAAATTTTTTATAACTTATTAAATTAATATTCTGGAATTAAAACTACAACGTAATTGGCTACTTTTAGTCTAAAATGATTAACCGGTTAATTTATAAACTTTGTATTTAACATTTTTGTAAGCGGTTTAATTTTAAATTAGTTGAATAGAAACAAATAAAAGCAACTTAAAATAAAAATAATTGAGATTAATTTTTGGGAAACTTACAAGTCACAGATTTTTGAATATATTTTAAATTTTACAATATTTCGCAGCGAAAAACTATAAAAATAAATGAAGTTATTCAACAATCTTCAGGTAGAAATTTATTAACATTCTCAATCAATTTTTGTTGTGATAATAAAAACATTAATAATGATTTTTACTTATTCAGGTACAATAAGATTTTCCCGCTTAATCAATTGCTACCTGACCTGTACGATTCTCAAATAAACCAAAAACTTTCAATATAAATACTCAACAAGAATCAACATGATTATCAAATCCGATCTGAATTTCACATACTCAAGTCATCTCCAAGAGCTACAAATCTTAAAATTAAATATTTAAGAAAATATAAAAAGTGAAACAAAATCGTCGAAATTTAATAATTTGAAGGATAATTAAACAACATCGTCAACCTTAATAAGTAACAATTCAACCAAAAAGCAAAATAAGGAACTAGACATAACCTCAAAACTACATTCAAATTCAAAAATATATCCAGTCCATACATTATTGTCCATACCAACAATAATGGATTCATCAAGACTAATCCGTTCCAAATCATCAATGTCATTCGATCAACTCAAAGTCCGAATGATTCAAGACAAGATCGCTGAGCAATATTCAACAGCACAACGTAGACCAAGACAAAAGAGCTTAAGAATTATTGTCCTTAAGAAAAATTACCGTAAGCGACTAGCAGAAGAAATTAACGAGAAGCATAAGATGCAGACATGGAACTCAATGCAGAAAGATGTTGATCAAATCTTAAAGAATGTAAAATTATCATCAGAGTCAAATAAGGATGCCGGTAAGCTCAGTGGCGGTCGATGCTTGATCAAACCATCAAAATTCACAACTGCAACTCCAAGGAAAGATTTTGGAAGCAGCTACGAGTCATCGTCATCATCACTAAGACGAACAAAGTCATTTAGTGAAAAAAGAACAGCTGTTGAACTTAATAGATCAAAATTAGACAGCAAACCAGCTGCAAAGACATTCTTCAACTTAGACCGACCAGTATTTGACTTATCAAAGCCAGTCAACCTGAGTCTATCTAACATTCTGTCCAAAATTGTTCCACCAACTCCAACAAAGCAAAAACCAGAGCCAGAACCAAAACAAAAAGCTAATTTTGGATTCTCAGGACGTAGTCTTTTCCAAAGTGGTAAACCTCAAAAGATTCCAAAGATGACTGAAAATACATCAACTTTCTATCTCAGCAGTGAAGCAGCATTAAGTCACACAGCTAAAATTGATGAAATGAACGAAAAGATGAGATATGTTAAGCAATTAGAGAAGGAATTTAATGAGAATAAGATTAAGAGACAAAGAGATGAAGAAGAGGAAAAGGAACAGAAAAGCAAGAGGCGATTAAGCTTTGGAAAGAGTCCAGTACACTCGTTGGTTTGTGCTAGACGTGAGGAATGAATAAGAAATAATTTTTTATTTTTGACTAAAATTTGTAAAATTGTTAAAGTTTGTAAATAAAATATATTGAAAAGTAAAAAAAAATTTTTTTCAAAAAGTTTAAATTTCAGCAACATAACCTCAAAATTTGACATTTTAACCTCAATAATTGTCAACCTAACCTTAAAGTTTATCAGCCTTACTTCAAAAATTTACAATCTAACCTCAAATTGGAACAACTTAACCTCAAATTGGAACAACTTAACCTCAAATTGGAACAACTTAACCTCAAATTTTAACAACTTAACCTCAAAATTAAATTGTAAAGCATTTTAAAATTTGATTTATAGTTTTTATTAAAACATCAACAACAAAATCAGCATCAATCACATTAACTTTATCAATCTTCATCAAAGTTCCCGCCAAAAAAGTCAATTGGCAGCCCAGACACACAGTCACACTCCTCTTTCTCAAATATTCCAAAATCACACTCAATCTGTTCCTCTAAACAAACACACTTGCATGTGTCGTGATCAAAAATGCCCTTGCCGGTACATTTTTCAACGACAGCACAGACACAGTCACATTGTTCCTCACTATAAACAAATCCAGCTGGGCATTGCGGTCGAGCACCTTTAACACAATCACAAATTCTCTTATCAAAAATATGACCGACTTCACAGACGTCATCATTGAGTTTTGGATCGCATACACAGTCACACTTTTTACTGTCAAATACAAAACTTGGTTGACAGGTTTTGTTGGCGTTGCAGATGCAGTCGCAGTGCTGATTACTCCAGATGAAGTCATCGCCACAAATTACCGATTTTGGACAGACACACTTGCACAAACTTTCGTCCCATTGGAAGTTAAATGGACATTCATTGTATGCTTGACATATGCACCGGCACAGCATTGGATCGTACACAAATTTAGCTGGACATTCAGGTTCATGATCAGGAACACATTCGCATGTTAATTGATCAACTATATATCCAACATCACAATCTTGATTAGCACAAACACATTTGCAGGAATATGGATCGACGACATATTTATCGGATGTACAATTTGGTGGATTCGAACAGACACAAGTGCAAGCATCAAAGTCCCATTTTGTACTTTCTGGACATGGAAAGCGTGGCGTGCAAGGTGGTGGTTCACATTGACATTTTTCTTGATTTATTATGAAGCTTTTTTGGCAGTTCCACTCCCTTAATCCACAAACACATTCACAAGTCTCAAGATCCAACAGGAATTTATCATCACATGCTTGAGCCGATGCACAAATTTTATGACTACAGTTGCAGGACGCTTCATTAATACTAAGTCCATCTGTGCATATAAGACCTGGACATACATCAGATATTGATGTTGTATTGTCACGAACACATTCACATCCATCAGCTGATGTTGTATATCCCGGCAGACATTCCATTTCAACTTGATAGCAAATGCAATTTATTTCGTCAAGTTCGTCACACGGTCGACATTCTGGGATGAAACACGAATCACTTGGTGAGGTTGAGATTAATGTGATTGTATTGGTGGAACTGAGAATGTATGTTTCGGTAAAGTCTGGATCAAGTAGAGTAGAATCAGGTTTAGATAAGGTCTGATCTCGATCAGATGGAGTCTCGTTAGGATCTGAAGAGCTATTGATATTCATATCAACTGATGAGATATAGGAAGAAGGTAGATATGATCTTGAAACCTCAGAACTGTAATATTCTAGAGATGCAGACATCTTGGATGAAGAATAAGAGTTGCCATCGGATGCTTGAACTTCCATACTGCTCTCCACACTTAATGAAGATGATTCGTGCTTTTTCTTATGAATCGTATGTGATCCATAATGAGAAGGCATCTCTATAAGTCCATGAGTTGATCTTCGATACATTGTATTAATGGAACTTGTCTGCAAATGAGATTCAGATGATATTGCATCATCTGTGTCTTTATATTCGGATCTTATGTCTTTTGGATCGGAACTCATTAATTCTGAAATGGAATCTAAATGCACTCCTGCAGAATTTGAGGAATCAGATGCATCATAGCTATTATCTGTAGTTATATCTGGCTTTCCATGCACTAAATGAACTATTGGAACATCATCAGGAAATAGTTCTGCATCAATATCACTAAGATGATTAGTTTCTACATTATGATCACCTGCTGACGAATTTGGTGTTGATTCGGGAATTTCAAGTCTTTCTTTTATTGGATCTGGAGACTTGCTACTTTCCTGTGATTCACTATTACTTTCTTGATTAATTATTGAAGATTCTGACTCAGTTTTACTGTACTCTGAAGGACGGACAAAACTTGAAAGCAAGTCTGCAGCCCTAGTCGTCGCTTTTTCATGTTCTTTCATTATTTCAATAGGCTTACGAGCTTTAAGCTTTATTGTGTAGCTTGGCTCTGTGTTTGGATCGATTGTAATGGATTCTGAGCTGTAATCTTGACTAAGACTTGAAAACGCACCTGTTTGTGCTTGGTTTGATGGGTTATTCTGGATTTCTGAATCATTATCTTGATGAATTTGAGTGCGGCTTACAACACCACTTCCAGTTCCTTCCTTACATCCACAATTGTTCTTATCGTAAGTGTAATTTTCAGGACAATCTCTCGACCAATCAATACATTTACAACTTACTACGTCAATATCTCCACATTTACACATGAAACTGTTCAAATCACACAAGATCTTATGCTTATTAGACGTAGTGTCTTCAGGATCTTCAGCTATAGCACCAATAACTGCACTCAAAACTGCAAAAATCACATAAAACTTCCACATTATTCCTTGAAGTTGTTGCTTTGACTTTTCAATTGGAACTGAGCGAAAAAAAATCACTTTAAATAGCCTTAAAGTGAGCACAAATTGGAAAAAAAATTAATTAAGGCACGGCTTTGTTTGCACGACTTTCTTAGTAGCTGCGGACACAAAATATTGATAAATGAAAGTGAATGCCAAGAATTTCAAAATTTTCTAATTTTTATCGTGATTTTAGTTATTGATTTTAGGAATTGGAACAATAAGCATGTGTTTATGACTTTTTTGATATTTTTTCATCATCATCGTCAGCTTTTGTGTTCCAGAATCTGTGGTTGATGATGAAATGTCCGTTGACTTTGGTTCCACATTTGCTTTCAGTCTGAACAATTAATCTTGTTTTGTTGCATGGCTTTGAGTACTTGAAGTTTGGACAGTTGATGAAGTTCTGCGAGTCAATGCAGTCGAGGAAGTCGAGGATGTATTCTGGGATATTGCAGACTAGTACATCTGAAGACTTTTTGACTAAAATAAGTGTGGAATAATTAATTGAGTGGGAACATGAGCAGTAATGATCGATAAATCAAAGTTTAAGGCACTCAACAGCTACAGTTTAGCATTTATCTCGTACTAAAGTATTCCGATCTTATCCTAATTAAGAATAAAAGAGTTGCTAGGCTAAAGTACCGACTTTAGTGTTTATACTACAAAGCTTTAGTCTCTGAAGCATAAAAAGTAGCTATGTCTTTACTATTTGGATAGAATCAAGCTTTGTAATCATTTCAACTCAAAATTAATGCCAATTGATACCAAAAACTGACTTTGAATTGCTTGAAAAATTTTCTTACCAATTTTCCCGCATTTTTCTACTGAATTTTCTATAATTCCCATCCATTTGTCATATTTTCCACCTCCATGGCCCTCCAAAAAGTTTTCATAAAGCTGAACAACAGCCTCGTGGACTAATTCATCATTTTTAAGGACACCCGTTGCATCATAAATGCAATCAAGTTCACAACAACCAGGAGAAGTTAATTTTGAGTCTTTGCAGATTTTCTTGCACTTTTCGGTGTGTTTGTCTAGAATTTTACGTGATGGGTAGCTGCAGCACTTTGATGGATGGATGTTTTCGTCGAAAAGTTCATCACAGTCTTCTGGATAGTCATCATGAGCTAGAAGCTTGAGGAGTGTAAATTGTATTGAATTTTTAAGTACTGGCTTTGTGGCTAAGCTCCATTCTAGTGTTCACTTACCGAGACAATAACTGTAGAAATTAATAAAACGATCTTCATTTATTTGCTTTTTTAAAAATTTTATGAACTAGAATTTGGATTTTATCTCTTGAAAGTTCAAAACTATACTAAGCGGAATAAATATTGCAATCAAAAAATTATAGCAAAATCTACAAAAAATGTTGCTCAATTTCACTTTTTTTAAATAAAAAAAATTTATTATTTTTTCATGAATTTTCAACAATTTATAAAATAACAAAAAATGAACTAGTTTTAATAAAATGGAACAAAAAAGAAGATAAACAAATTGCTTGAATTGTAATTTGTCAATTAATCAAGGTTGAAGTCGAGTGTCACCTGTTCAGGGGTGTATTAGGGGATTTGAAAGGTTTTTCAGCAATTTTATTGATTCATGTCGCTTATCTCCCTCCACTCGGCTACAAAAAGTTTTAAAAAATTTAATCTTTTTTATAAAGTGGATTTTTACTTCCTCTTTGCTTAGGCTTACCAGATATTTTCTGAAAAAATAGAGAAACCGAGAGTTAAATACCCAATTTTATTCGTTTTCAGGACGAATTAAAACCAAACAAAACTATTTTATTTTTGAATAATGAAAAAATTGTGAACCGTCTTCTAAAAAACCAAGCAGATGGTCAACCTACCCAAGGACCTTGCTATGCTTCTTTAAACTATGATCGTGTTTGAATTTAATATTGGAATAAAATTTACTATTTATTATCACACAAAAATACTTTAAATTAAATTTTATTATACATTTATTTTACTTTTATATTTAATTATTGGCACGAGACGTTCCACTTTTTGCAAAAAAATCGATTCCCTTAAAAAGGGTTTGTTCTTAAATGACGTCAGTCAACAAATAAGATTTTTTAAAAAAAAAAAACTCCTGCTTCACCTTGTCACAAAGTTTGTATAAAGAAAAAATTATTTTGAAAACACCAGCTCCCCCCCCCCCCCTAAAAATGTTAGACATCATTTCTGAATGAGTCCCAAAAACTGCAAATTTAATTAAAACTTTATTGGTTATTAACAAACGTTCACAACAAATTAAAAATTCGAAACACAAAAGAAATTTTTCAGATTTGTAGTTCAATTATCCATAAAGAAGTTCAGCTTATCTTCAGTCAGTTCCACTATTACCTTAAACATTATCACACAAAAGCCGTTCCCGACTTTTGACCAGAAAAGAAAAAGTTGTAAAAAATAAACTTTCCATCAGTCTTTGAGCATTCCGACACGAGTGACTTCATTGAGTCGCACATTTTATCATCACTAAAGCTTGGACAAGATATAAAGTTCTCTTTGAAGCTACAGGTGATGATCTCATGAATGTAATTTGGTATGCAGCTGTCGTTTGTGATTTTTGTTGATTCATGGACTGAAAATAAAGATAATTTTAGATTAGGTGTAAAAAGTTAAGGTGTTCAAGGGCTGGTTCCTTAGTTTGCATCTACAGTTGCACCCTTACGTATTGCTAGAGTTGGTATTAAGTTATTTGCAATTATGTATTTACAAATTGGACATACTAAGATTAAATGGGGTTTCACGAAATGACACTCAATCCCTAATTCTGATCAAGATTGTGGAATGGATAAAATGATTCAAAGTTAATCAGTTCCACATGTATCTAGTAACACTCTTCCCATAAAATGTACTCATTGAGTCACTCTATCCCCCTCATTCATATTCCTTACCTTCCTTATGACAACTTTTAATCGACTCCTTCACTACCTTCCTCCAACTGTCCGCATTCTCATTCTGTTCATCAATTAAGAAGGAATTAACACATTTATTCTCATTGAACTTGTCATTCTCATATATCCCGCTAGTCGTGAATAAACATGATCTATAGCAACAATTTTGTGTGTCTAGTTTGTCTCTTGGGCAGTCTGCATCACATTTATTGACAATTTCATCGTTTGCTTCTAGTCGTGGATATTGACAGCACTCAAATGGTGTCTTGTTAAGTTTGAGAAGTTCTGTGCATTCTGTTGAGAGGTTTATTGTGAACTGATGATGAAAAAAATGTATTTAAAGTGATTATGTCTTAGACGAAATTTTAGCAGGCCTGCAAAATTGGTATTCGAAATTGGCAGACAATAGCCAGCGATAGAGCTAGTTATAGGCGTCAATTAGGGGAGGTCATGGATTACAATTGATCTGTATGACCAGCGAAGTAAGTAAGTGTTGTTAGATGAGAGTTTAGAAGACCTGCAGATGCAGTGGTTTTGCGAGTGTAGGCCAACTGAAGTATTAAGGTTGTTATTATTGATTTTTAAAAGTATTAAAAATGACAGTAGCAGACTTTATGGATGTCAAGAGATCACAAGAAAGATAGAGGAACTCGTGGATTGAATGTGTTAGAAAAGACGCAAGAGTCCTTAATATCCCAAACTGGCAGAAGGTTTCTAAGGACAGAGCTGTCTTCAGTCGACCTTTAAGCGCGGCAATGGGGCCACGTACACCTTAGCAAAGGAAGTAAGTATTAAGTATTGGCTTTTAAATCAATTTTGGCTAAGCTGTCAATCTGCATAATTACAAAAGGCTATAGGGCTATAGGGTGCCTGGCTTAATAATCGATAAGCTTGATTTTGACTTAATCGTTTCAAAACATCAAATTCATATTGATTTAGCAAAGAAAGGCTGAATTATTTGAATCTGGTTGATATGAACCTCTTTCCTGATCAAAAAAATTTTCCTTAATTAACTTCAAATACCAAATATTACTTACGTCAACTGCAGATGTAGACCTCATCCAAAAGTGACCAAAAATCAGCAAAGTCTTGATAATTCCTAAATTTTTCATCTTTTAAAGTTGAAATGGTTTTTGTTTTGAATCGAACTTGTTATAGATACTAGCTTGATGAATAAGAAGTGGAGTAGATGAACATTTGTTCCAAATTTTGTAATGTTCAACTGACATGTTTGTACAAAGGTCACTCCTTGTCGGATTTCTGCTTGGGTGAAATTTTGTGAACATTTTGGGAAATTCCTGTGACTCAACAATCTTTACATTCTATAATTGGGTTTATTACTGCTTCCGAACATTTCACATGTTGTTAAATTCAGGATCGTGTCACACGAAACATAGAAATTTATTAAATTTACAGATATTTTTGATACAATTGAGTTTCAGTGTTGAAGATCCGTTCTTAGAGGAAACATGAATATTCTAAATTTGATAGTCATCGCTGCTGCTTTTTGGGTGAGTGTTGAGAAACCTGCCCTTGATGTTTGTTGAGGTTTTATGGTCAGCTTTTAGTTCTATGGGCTTCTTTAGAGACCTATTGACCAACTTAAAGGTCCCTATCCCAAAAATAAACCTAGTCGAGCTCTGGTGACTCCAAAATTCCACAAAATTGACCTAGAAACCTAAACTCACACCAAATTGACATTTCCCACACTCAATTCAAATTTCAAGTCACGACTTATTCCCATTCTCAGGTACAAATTAATGCCAACAGTTGTCGTGATGTTGTTGACATGAAAATTCATCCAGTTGACTGTTGCGCCTACCCAAGCTTGTTTGAAGACGAAAATCTTTTGAAACAATGCGAACAAAAGTGCAAATCAGAAGCATCAAAGCCATATTGTCCACGTGTCTGCTTCCTCAAAGAACTCGAAATTTATGCCGATAAAAAGATAAAAAATGAAAATATTAAAAATTTATTTTCGAGTGCTGGAAAGTCATCTGGTCGTGGAAATGTCGGCGATGCCTACAAAGACATTTTGGAAGATTCAATTAAAAAATGTTTGGTCGAACACGAAGTTGCTGAGAACATTGAGGAAGAAAATGTCGCGATGATTGTTTTTGATCTGATGAATTGTATCCGAAGACACAACTTCATTGCCTGTCCTGACTTTAAAGACAACAGTGAATGCACAGAAATGAAAGATGCAATCAAGACTTGCGATAAGTCAACTGAAGAGATGCTTTTTGGAGTTTTTCATGAGCAGCGTAAGGCTGATAAGGAGAAGGGAACGATGGCTGTTGAGCAGGGTAGCGGTAAGAATGGAATGGGCCGTTAAGTTTTGTTTTTCGAACTGTTTAATGCACAATTATTGATTGAATAAAAAAAAGGATTCCTTGTTCAAAAACCTTAAATTATGCTTAAACTTTTGTTTTATTTTCAGCATCCGACCAATCGAGAAACCAGCTTAAGGCTTAAATTGTTAAAATAATCAGCAAAAAAAGCTCAAAAAATCGTAGAATTTCTAAAGCAACTGTTCAAATTATCCTTAACTTCAAGACATTCTTCAGTTTGGTTATAGTTTGGACATCTCAGAAAGTTCTCCAATTTCATGCATTCAATTGTGTTGCTGTAGGAACTAGGCATGCATTTTCCAATATTTCTAGACTCCGGGACTGCAATAAATCTAGAAAATTAGCAATAAAAAAATAGAATTATTCTTAAAAAATTTACATCTGTTAACACATTCGTCCATTGCACGTCCAATCACCAATTTCCATAGATTTTTGACAACATCCAGTTCTTGTTCATCAATTCCTTTAACAAAGTACTTCTTTATCCTCTTTTGATTCAATTTACCGTCGACAAAAGTTCGAGATTTTTGAGGAATACAAAGATAAGAACAGCAAGTGTTTTTGGTTCCTTTACAGTCGTTCGTACATTCGTTGACTATTGATCTTGGGATTAGAAACTTTGGGTAATTACAGCAGATGTATGGATTAGGTAGGATGTTGAAGATTGAGTCGCATTGGACTGATGGGACACAGTAAGTGGGCTGTAAAGGATTTATTATTGATTAATTAAGGGAATGTGTAGTTTAAGATCAATCACAATTGATTTGTATGACCTGCAAAATAAGTAAGGAAGAGACTTAAGATAAACCAGACCCTAGAATCCCCTTAAAACCCTCTCACTAGCTGTATCTGTGCCGATTAGATCGAATTGTAGCATAAAAGCCGTCACAAAAGAACATAAAAACTAAACAGCAATTTCTCAAACCTTGATTTTAAAACTGATGATGATTATCGCTGTCGTGCATGACACTAGCAGTGACAATTCTTTATACATAGCTTTATACATATTGAAATTATATGTTTTGAAATAATAACTTCATTACTTTACAACAGAAGGTTTAACACTGAAATAATTATTGGTGATTGTGGTAAATTTCAATAGAATTTTTTGTATTTAATGGATTAAATGTTGACATTGATACAGTGGTGTGCAACCTTTGCTACATGACATACTGGTTTGGATGGAAGGATGTTTTGTAGCCAAGGCTTTTGAGCTTTAGAATTGAACAAAGTTGATCAACAAAATGTCAAATAAACTAAAATATAACTTTAAATTCAACTCTGAAATTGGCCGTGACCCCCAAAAAATTAATCGTCACTCAGGGGAAAAACCACTTGGTGGAAAAAAATTGTCAGTGAAATATTTTTGAACGCGATGGAAAACTGAAGGAAAATTTTCCATCGACAACTTTTTAACATTAAGTTGTTTTCCCCCTGCCATCACTGCAATTATATAATAACCAAGGCGTGTAAACTCAGAACTAATCCTGGAAAATCCCAAAAAAAAACTTAAAAGATCCCTGAGACAATAAACATGAAAATATGAAATCCCTTTTGGATCCCGAAATTATTCATCAAACACATCAGGAATTTAAAGGAATTTCACATGTTTATGTTTATTGGCTAAGGGATTTATTTTAGGATTTTTGAAATTTTTCAGGATTAATCCTGAGTATCCACATCTTGGTAATAACATAAATAAAATATCCAAAAAAAAATTACTACGCAGTCGGTAGGATTCGAACCTACGCTCCCAAAGGGAATCTGATTTCTAGTCAGACGCCTTAACCACTCGGCCACGACTGCTTGATACAATTTGTTGACAATAATATCACTTAAGCTTAGTATAAGTCAAGCTGAATAGTTCAGCGTGATTAGGTCATTAAAAGTTCTGGAATTCTAAAACATACTTTAAGTAAACATTTTGTCATTTGGAGTTGACCAACTAGTCATGGTTAAATGGTCAACTTTTATCGAAATTAGAGGTTTTGTCATTCCTCGTTCGAATCCTGATCTACTGCATCAAGGAAATTCTATTAAAATTATTGTACAATGTTTTTGGTTTTAAATTTTTTTATTGATTTTTTTAATATCGTATAAAATCAATAGAATGTCAATTTTTAATGACCCCATGAGAGGTTTAGAGCTTCTTAAATAAGTTTCGATCATTTTAATTGTACCTTAATCTCTATGTTATGTATGAGATTCCCAAATGGCAGAAGGCACACTTAATTAAGCACAAAACTTAGAATAAAACTTTTGCCATAAAGTGGAGAACCAACGGCTAAAGATTTAAGTGCGATTTCTATTCCCACTGACTTAAAGTAGATCCTGATCAATTTTAATCTTATGCCTTGCCAGCCTCTATCCAGTTTATCCTTCTTTTAAACTTTGTGCCATTTGAGGACATCCACCAGTAAATTTATTAATATTTTTATTGAGTCTGATTAAAACTTTCAGCATATCTTTTTGCATATGTCCTTGGCTTGACTGTGTTGAAGGCATCTGTGATAAACTTCCAAGATCCTTTACTTTTTGAGCATTCATCCATGTCATTTTTGACTTCCTGGCACTCAGTTTTGTTTGTCATGTTTGGACAATTGAGAAAATTTTCTTTAAAGATACAGGCCATGGACTCGTAGACCGTCTCGCATGCTTTTTTGTCTGGTGATGATGGAACATCTAGAAAGTATTAAAAGGTTATTTTTTTACGTATAAACTGGCAGCCAGTCCTCTCTTACCGCTGCATTTATCAACCGAATCATTCACAATCTTCACCCAATCCTCTGTCAAATTTGAGTACTTCCGGTGACCTTTCTGAAGAACGAAAATTTCTTTTGTCTTTTCCACATCCAAAGTTCCATTAACAAATGATCCAGTTTCCTTGGCACTGCATTCTTGGAAGCAACAATAGTCGAATGGACTGCAATCTCCTAAACATTTATAATAAATTGACTTGACTCTAGGTATGACTGGATATTCACAGCATTCGAACAAGAATAAATTTTTGTCAAGCATGTTAAGGCATGCTGGTGGGAAGTCTGCGGTCTAAAATTGTTGAAATTATATTTTAAAAACTTTTTTTTTAATTTTTTGAAAGTTCAAACTCACCAAAAACTTAATCAATGACACAAAAGTCACAAAAATTTTGAATAATTTTAACATTTTTCCGCTTAAATTAATAATTTTACAAAATTTCAATAAATTTTAAATTCCAAAAATTCTACCTTGCTTGCTTATCAATCCCAACTGATGTCAAATTCATGCAGACTATTGTATTTTATATCCATAATCCCGTACATGCCCCATTTCACAATAGTAAGTAGGAATTAAAGTAATTTGAATTTACAAATTTGTGATGAAATTTCACTCTAATTGGCAAAGAAATGGGTGAGTTCGGTGACCGACTTTTAGAAATTTTGTAATATTTATCAACAATCAAGCATTAAATGAGGAAACTAGTCATATTTTGTTGTTAAATCAATTGTCTCGCAAATTTTGTGTATATTGAAATTTAATTGAGCAATGTAATACTCAATTGTGCCAATTTATTATTTTGTGGAGTCAATTTCGATGGATAATTCATAAATGATGTCCAACATTGGCCCACAGGCTGGTTTCTAAGGCTCCGCAAGGTTCCAAAACCTTCACAATCTTTGATATATTTTATGTGCTGTATTGTAAAGTTTGAAGAAGAATTAATTGTAGGGCAGTGTTGGCCAACCTTTGTGCCGCGAAAAAATACAGGAAATCCTACGAACCGTATGCAGTTTGCGATTTCGATTATGGGTTCCTATCAAGATGTGCCGTGGAACAAAAAAGGTTTGCAACCACTGGAGTAGGGTGTACAAAAAAGACCAAGAAACCGACTCCTGAGTCAGAAACTAGTCAATGCTTGGACACTTCCAGATTTTGCTATCAGAAAAAGGTTTGGTCTACAAACCCAGCACACTAAATACGCTTCTGATCAAAGCTATCAACACCATCAATTTATTAAAGCTATTAAGTTAATTTACTGTAATTTTCAATTTCCTCAATTAATTTTCATGTCCAAAATTTTTCACCAGCGACAACATTTCGAGCAATTTTCTCACTCTGTTAGTTTCTGACTGTCGATTTAGTTTAAAATAATGGAAATAATTGGTGTGATTTTATTATTTTGCTGTGTAATTTTAATAAATGTTGTAGGCATTGTAAGTTATTTTTTCTATGCAAGGGGGATAACAACATGATGGGAAATGATTTCCTCATCAAGTTGTGTCCCCTTTGGTGTAAGTAACACATTTGATTAACTTTGTTATCAGCTTACCTACGAAAATTCTGACTGTACAAACCTAAAAGAAACTGAAAATAAGCCTCGAGATTGCTGTGAATTCCCAATTCTCTATGTCAATCATACAACGCTGCAAAAATGCTTCAGAACATGCCCGTCCATCAAGTCAGACGATAAGTATGAAAATGATGAAGAAAAGCAAAAGGATGAATGCTGTTTAGTCAAATGTATCCATGAAGTTGAAGAAGTTGTTGACAAAATGGGAGCTAGTAACTTGGAGAACTTAAAGTACAGCTTTAGGTCTCGAAATGGATCATTTTTGTCTGATGAGTGGCAAAAGGTTGTTGATAAGGCTGTGGATAAGTGTGGTGAAAAATGTGAGTTGAACATAAATTTTATGATTCGGTCCTCAATTAAATTTAAAAAAGGAAATTAACTTTTTGGACTTACTATCGACATTTCAAAATCGCAGAATTTTTTTTTTCAATTTTTTTTGGATTTTGGCATACTTTAGTCAATTTTTGTAATACTCGGCAACACCACAGGTGTTGGTTTCTGCTACTTTATGAATTCATGAATAAAGTTTGACTGATCCTTAAGTTAGGGTATCCCAGAGCTCGAAGTCGATAGGGTTCGAGTCAACTCGAGTTGATTCGGGGAGGAGTTGAGCTCTGGGATACCCCAAGAAGAAATAGAAACCAAATATTGTGATTCTTTCATGGTACGCAGCTTAAGAACCACTTAAACCAGTGTTGTCTATACTATGAGCCGAGGCACACTGGTGGGCAGTAAAATTTTTTGAAAATGAAACGAGCCGCATGCCTTGTGCGACTTCAATCATGGCTTACCTTTAAGATGTGCCGTGGCTCAAAAAGTTTGAACAACACTGACTTAAACTTGCAATTTCGTCGTTTTGTTTGTTTTTTACCAGGCTCGGAAACTAGGCGGTATAACACCTAATTACGACAGCTTTCATACAAATACTCCCTAATACCGCTTCTTTATATGAACTAGCACCTAATACCACCAAGTTTCCGATCCTGGGTTTTTTATTCACTAAAATCAATTTCTAGTCCCACAATCGGATCAAATTGAGAGCTGCCTTCCCGCCTATCATCGTAAAGTCCTCAAATGTACTTACATTTCATCATTTTTGAATTGTGTCGATTCTAAACGGACAGCAAGATGTATTGCATTGAGGAAGTCTGTTCAAGATTGTACAAATAGCAATGACATGTCGCTCGAGGCTTGGTCAATATTCTTTGCATGAAAAATTGAGGATTTTGATTTTTTGATAGTTGATGTTGTATTCAGAGACGGGTCAAGTTTTTTAAAAGTTTTTAAAAGTTTGTAATCTTAAAATGTTGAAAAATTTAATAAATGAAATCAGATCAAATCTTGAATTGTCAACCAAAACTTAACTTGAATGTTGAAATTCATTTTAGTATAAAAAACAGTAGAGATCAACAAGAAAATTACAATCGACATTAAGCAAGTCAACAAGTAGAGACAGTCATCCGAAAAGTTCAATAAAATATTTCAAACTGATTTAAATTCAAAGACACAAAATGGATTATCCTGAATTGGCAGCAAACATATTTGGAAGAAAGCTAGAAAAATCTTCAAACTTGTCAGAACAAGTGATTCCAAAATTAGAATCTGAAAACGGCAACTCAAAACAAGAACCAAAATTGGAGTCAAGGAACATCCAGGAAGATCAACTCAACATCAAATTGCAAGTTCAAGCCAATTATTCACAAGAACCTTCAGTTGTGATTAAATCTGAGTCTGCAGATAACATCCAAATTCCAGTGTAGTATTCACAAGTTCCAATAATCCTCGACTCATTTTTAATTTCTCAAACTGACTTAGCTTTTTTTGTTGCTGAATACTTCAACATCAATCAATGAACTCAATTAGGAATATCTTCTGCTAAATTCATACCAGCGGCTGTCCATCTTATTTTTATGAAAATACAGGACATTTGATAAATTTCCTAAAAAATACAGGACACAAAGGAAAATTTGAAAATTAACGTAAATTTTCGTGAAAAAAATACAAGACCTGGAACAAAATTTTCAAAATTATACAGGACAGGGTTTTGAAATATAGGACTGTCCGTTGTAAAATTACGCAGATGGTCGCCCTAACCAGCACTTGACAATGATTCTCAAGAATCTATAAAACAGATTCAAAATCTACCTTAGAATTCCAAGACAAAGTTTAGCAACCTGAGCAACAACTAGTTCATGACTTTTTTATCTCAAACACTTGTGATGCACAACAACCTCAATCCACGAGCCAACAATCAACCACAAACACTGTCTCTAAAGCAAGCGCGAAGATATATCTCAGTTCTGAACAAATCCAGCAAAAACAGCTACCCAAAGAGAAAGAAGTTTGAGAAAACCAGTTAAGTAAACGACAAAAAAAAAATAATCTCGAGACTGAAGAAAACCCCCAAAAGTGACTCGAGGTAGAACGACTTCGAATTACTGAAAGGAAATAATAATGAAAACAGTAAGTAGCGACTGAAGAGATTGAAAAGGAATCGAGTTGCAATGGAGAGAAAAATTAAATTTCAATTAAAATTTCAGAACTGATTCGTTTAATTTAAATTCTAATTCTAGAATCGAAATAGAATTTAGTGTTCAAAATCTCACCAAATTTTTCACGAGCAAAAATTTTTGTGAGCAAATTTTTTTAAAAATCTCACGAGCAAATTTTTCGTGAGCGGCTCACGAAAATTTTGCTCGTGAGATTTTCAGCTCGCGAGCCGAATTTCGCTCACGAAATTGCTCACGTGAGCCCACGTGAACAAATTGTGACGTAATTTTTCAAAAAGTTTGTATGAAAAAATTTGTATGAAATTTCTTGCTATGGGATGGTTCTTCAGAATGGATGAAACTTTTGCCAGTGACTTTTCATAACTTTGCTGGATAATTTTGAGTATGCAGGACCTTCTTGTTCCTGAATCTTGACTTGTTGCTTGGATTTTTCCTTAATTTTGCTTAAAATTAATTCAAAAATCATAGTAGCCAATGATGGAAATAGATGTCAAAACATTCGTACAATACTTTGGAGACATCTCATATGGAACTGGTCATGTCCAACTGGGTGGAACTGCCAAAAATTTTTTTATTATTTTTCTATGCTTTATAGATACTTTTGGGCAGGGGTTGGAACCAAGCACTTCCTTTACTTCCAGGTCCAATTTTAGGTGCTTACTATGTCAAGAAGGTTTCGAAACATCAGGAAAACACAAAACTTGCAAATTAGAAAGCAGTTCCTTTGTGAAATATTGCATTTGTATAGAATTTCCATACATTTTCACAAAATCTTGCGGTTTATTGAAGAATATTCGAAGGAACTGCTGAATATTTTGAAAGTTTTGTGTTTTCCTGATGTTTCGAAACCTTCTTGACATAGTAAGCACCTAAAATTGGACCTGGAAGTAAAGGAAGTGCTTGGTTCCAACTCCTGCCCAAAAGTATCTATAAAGCATAGAAAAATAATAAAAAAATTTTTGGCAGTTCCACCCAGTTGGACATGACCAGTTCCATATGAGATGTCTCCAAAGTATTGTACGAATGTTTTGACATCTATTTCCATCATTGGCTACTATGATTTTTGAATTAATTTTAAGCAAAATTAAGGAAAAATCCAAGCAACAAGTCAAGATTCAGGAACAAGAAGGTCCTGCATACTCAAAATTATCCAGCAAAGTTATGAAAAGTCACTGGCAAAAGTTTCATCCATTCTGAAGAACCATCCCATAGCAAGAAATTTCATACAAATTTTTTCATACAAACTTTTTGAAAAATTACGTCACAATTTGTTCACGTGGGCTCACGTGAGCAATTTCGTGAGCGAAATTCGGCTCGCGAGCTGAAAATCTCACGAGCAAAATTTTCGTGAGCCGCTCACGAAAAATTTGCTCGTGAGATTTTTAAAAAAATTTGCTCACAAAAATTTTTGCTCGTGAAAAATTTGGTGAGATTTTGAACACTAATAGAATTAGAATTGAAATCAAAATTTATTTAAATTGTCATCAGATGATATCCGAAACTTAAGAAGACACAAGAATAAAATGCATAAGAAGAACATTTAAAAAAATGCTTAATTTACTAATAAAATGGAATTAACAAACTTAAATTAAATTAAAAAACCGTTATTTTTTGTGAACAGATATTTCAGATTGGTTCCAAACTCTGCTTCTCAAGACCAAATTGAAAGAATTTCATGTCGACGTTGGAAAACGACAATATTGATCTTGGACTAGGGTTTGGGTCCCCGGGAAGCGATAGGAATCGGCTCCTGGACCTACCAGACCCCTCAGATTGTCAAAAAGCTCAGATTAATTCCCTCAAACTCGACATTAAAAAATCGTTCAAAAAATCAATTTAAAATTTCCCACAACTAGCTCAAAGCATCCAAAAACTTACTCATTATTTACATTTTTTAACCACATGCGAATACACATTGATGCAGGTCAGGACTGAAATTCTACGAAAAAAAAATCTTTCTCATTTGTGTGAGTCGCTCAGCACATGACTCACTCTATTTATATTCTCAGATTTATTTTAGAAAATTAAGAAATTTGCGGATAGACGAATATTTTCAGTTTTGTTCGGCACAACGCACAGTTTGGTGATAAGTTGAAGTAACTTCAACAATCTTATCGGTTGATTACTTCCAGGTATTAATAAAAAAAAAAAAAGCTTCTCGGATGTTGAGATAAAGTTTTATCAATAATTAGGAAGTTGTTGAGATTTTTATCGAATAAATTCGCAATTTTATTCAGTTTTATTTTGAGGCTCGTGACATTCAGACTGTTTACCAGTTACCAAATTGAAATTATTCTTATAGCATTCAAAATCTTCTTAATTAATATAACAATAGCTTTATTTATAGACGTTAAATCTACAAGCAATGAAGTGCTCAGCATGTGCCAATAATGAATGTGAAGGCAAATATGAGAATCGCGAGAAATGTCTTGGAGTAAAAGAGAAGATCGAATGCACATGTATTTGTCAAAAGACGAGAAAAGAAGCTAATATCGCAACTGCAACGTCTGTGGGAACTGGAATCGCTACAGCTGCTGGTAAGATTAAATCAAATGTTTTGTTATTCTTGCTTCAATTTTAGGTACAGTAGAAAAGTCACAGATTGGCACATTGCAGTATTATTTATTTGTTATGCTACTAGGGTACGGGTTTAAAGGGAGGAAACCCGTAGTTACGTACTTTAAAATGTTAAAATTCAATGTAATGCACTTTGGAACAAAATTTAATGGCGACTAGAGTAGGATGCTTCGAGTAATGCTATAAACTATTTTCAAAGCACCCAATTTGTCACTGAGACGAAAACCATGACTGTACACTGGCAGTTGAGCTGTATAACTTAGGCTTCAATTTAACTAGCAAAACACTCAATTAGTATTCATTATCCAAACTCTTCCATTTTAGCCGGCGTTAGTCTCACAGTTATGATGGCAGCAAGTATTCCTGTCATTATTGCTGGTGCAGCAATTGTAGGAGCCGGATCATCACTTGTTCTCTCTCCAGTACAAAAGCATCTTAGTGGTGAATGTGTGACTGTCAAAGAATCAGCAAAGGAAGTAGCTTTAGGTGCTACAATCGGTGCTATAACTGGTCCAATAGGTGCAGCTGGATCATCGTTCGCAAAAGGGGCATCAGCACTAATGAGATTTGGTATACGAGCAATTGCTGGAGCTAGTGCAGGGGCAGTAAGTGGAGTAGTTGGTGAAGGAGCTCGATTCATGAAAGGAGAGGAAGTGACATGTAGTTCAGTCACAAAATCTGTAGTAATGGGTGCAGTTGTTGGAACTGTGGGTGGTGCATCATCACAATTAGCCAGTAGTGTATCCAGTGGTGTCTCAAATGAAGTTGGGCAAGCAGTAACAAGAGTTGCGGTACAAGGAACATCAGCAGCTGCAACAGACGCTGGATTACAATTATATCAAACAGGAACGATTGATGCACAACAATTGATTTTGAATACAACAGGACAAGTCACAGTCGCAGGTGCAGCTGAATTTAGTTCATCAATGGCACAAAGGACAGATGCTTTTAACAGCAAGATCAATAATGAAAAGATAAGCAGCAGTAATTTATCACCTGAGGATGCACAGAAAGTAAAGGATATAATTAAAGATGCAAATGCTGGTAAACTTGACGGCACTAAAAAAGTTGGTGACAATAATTTGCATGTTTTGGAACGTGACCGTGCTGGACAAGTTGCTGGAGATATCGGACAAAGTGCAGAGAATGGAAAACGAGGAGCTGGAAGAGCAATTTTAGAGAATTATAAAGGAAAGTATGTTCTGGTTGATCACACAATGGATCATGACTACAAAGGATGTAAAGCAAATGTAATCGTGTCAAATCCATTGGATGCAACATTGAGGCCTGATCAAGTTAATGTTAATATTTTACTAAATAATGAGACTGATGACGACCGAGTAGATCCTTTTGATTCTGATAATATTTGTGATGATAAATATGAAGATAGAAAAAATAAATGAAAAAATTTTTTTTTGATTTGAAATTAAAATATTATAAATGTGTTTTGATTGGATTGCTGCAAATTATTGGATTTTGCATTTTATTTATGATGGGTTCTGATTTTGATCGAATGATGTAGAGGAATCACTTTGATTAATTACATGCTTATTTGATACACAGTCAGCATTTTGATTACAAAAATATTCTACATTTTTTTACTTGATTTATTGCGTCAAAGAGCTAAACACGAGAAAAGATGAAATTTTATATGTTTTTAGTGACTTTTTTACTATTTTCCATTTTTAGCTCATCACTTAACAAAAGTTTTTTAGTCAAATCTCAGCCACTTACCAAAAATTTACAAAAAGTATAATAATTCATAGGAAGAATTAAAAAACTTGCTCACAATTAATCCAATTAATCCTAAAATTTTCGAATACTTCTCAATTAAAGATTATGAAAATTTTAAAGCATTTATTTCAAAAGTTTTTGAATCAAACAAAGATCTTCTCAGCAAAATTCAAATCAAAGAAATAAATGGATATGAAGATTATTACTTCTGTTACAAAATTAACTTTTTTCGAAGGATTCAAAGTTTTTTTGAAGGCAAAAATAGAGGAAAATATTAAATAACAAAACTTTTAAATCATAAGTTAAAATTAATTTTTGTATGAAAAGAAATTATTAAAAATAAAACTTTAAATTTTTTATAAAAAAAGTAAACAAACTAAATTTAACGCAAGAAATTTAAAAATGTAAAAATTATTAAATATATCAAAAAATAGAATAAAATGAAACTAAATGTCCGCATGAATAAATCAAGCGCATTTTCCGATTTTAAATGCATTAAAAATTAAATTAATACTCAAATAGCTTTTTAAAAGTACTTTATTAATTTTATAGGGAAATGCGTTAAAAAAGAATTGTTAAATATTTTAATTAATTAATAAAAAAACTTGAAAAAAACTTAATGTTTTTAAATTTCTAAATTAAGATTTAAACTTCAAAATAAAGATTTGTATTGATTAATTAACTGAAACTTTGTTTATTATTTTAAAAGAGATTTTTGAGATTTTTTTCAGTATAAATTAAGAGTGAATATTCGAATTCTAACACTCGAAGATAGTAAGTCAACAAGTGAAGACGAAATCTTGCATCAAAAAGTTAAAAAGATCAAAAATGGATTATTCAGACTTAGTTTTTGAAGATTTAATCAAATTTCCTGAACTAGCATCAAAAATATTCGGAAACCGGAAACAAAATCCAAAATTAGAACCCGAGAATTATGGCAACTCTGAACTAGAACCAGAACTTCAAACAGAAAGTTCTTACATCAAATTGGAACCTCAAGACAATTGTACACAAAAATTTCCAGCTAAGATTAAGTCAGAAGACGTCCAAACCGACAACAATCAAGCTGTATTCTACCAACAACTTCCAATCATTCTTGACTCATTTTCAATTCATCAAACTGACTTAATCTTCTTCACCACTGAAAACTTCAATCAACAAACTCAATTTAAAGAAGCTTCTAACAAATCCAAACCAGCACCTGACAATGATTATCAAAAATCACCGGAAAAATCTCAAAACAAACAAAGAAAATGCGACAAATGCGAAAAATCCTTCCCAAATCGTAAACATCTTTATTTTCATATGAAAATTCACGAAAACCGAATTCCATGTGAAATTTGCAGCATCAGCATAAAGCCATACTTACTCCGAAGACACAAACAAACTCAACATTTAATAACTGACGAGAAATTTAACTGCAACATTTGTGGAAAAACTTTCAAGCGATTAAAACTTCTCACAAATCATGAAAAAACTCACGACAAGAAATTTGAGTGTAAAATTTGCAAGAATAAGTTTGCGCATGGACATGAACTTAATGAGCATGTCAGCAAGAAGCATGAAAATCCAAATGCTTTTGAGTGCAAAATTTGTGAAAAAAAGTTCAATTTAAAGAAGGTTCTTATAAGACATGAAAAGACGCATGAAGGAAAGCAGCAAAAGGAGCTTAAATGTGAACATTGTGACTACTCATCAGATGATATCCGAAACTTAAGAAGACACAAGAATAAAATGCATAAGAAGAACATTTTAAAAATTGCTTAATTTACTAATAAAATGGAATTAACAAACTTTTAAATTAAAAGCCTTTTTTTTTTGTGAACAGATATTTCAGATTGGTTCCAGACCCTTCTCCTCAAGACCAAATTGAAGGAATTTCATGTCGACGTAGAAGTTTTGACTCCCTAAATCCTATTCTGTGCCTGGTTTCTAGGTCAATTTAGGGTAGGTATAAAATTTGATGGAAAATGACAATATTGATCTTGGACTAGGGTTTGGGTCCCCGGGAAGCGATAGGAATCGGCTAGTGGTTCCTACCAGACCTCTCAGATTGTCAAAAAGCTCAGATTAATTCTCTCAAACTCGACATTATAAATCGTTCAAAAAATCATTTTAAAATTTCCCACAACTAGCTCAAAGCATCCAAAAACTTACTCATTATTTACATTTTTTAACCTTATGTGAATACAAATTGATGCAGGTCAGGACTGAAATTCTACGAAAAAAAATCTTTCATATTTGTGTGAGTCGCTCAGCACATGACTCACTCTATTTATATACTCAGATTTATTTTAGAAAATTAAGAAATTTGCGGATATTCTCAGTTTTGTTCGGCACAACGCACAGTTTGGTGATAAGTTGAAGTAACTTATCTTATCGGTTGATTACTTCCAGGTATTAATAAATAAAAAAAAAGCTTTTCGGATGTTGAGATAAAGTTTTATCAATAATTAGGAAGTTGTTGAGATTTTTATCGAATAAATTCGCAATTTTATTCAGTTTTATTTTGAGGCTCGTGACATTCAGACTGTTTACCAGTTACCAAATTGAAATTATTCTTATAGCATTCAAAATCTTCTTAATTAATATAACAATAGCTTTATTTATAGACGTTAAATCTACAAGCAATGAAGTGCTCAGCATGTGCCAATAATGAATGTGAAGGCAAATATGAGAATCGCGAGAAATGTCTTGGAGTAAAAGAGAAGATCGAATGCACATGTATTTGTCAAAAGACGAGAAAAGAAGCTAATATCGCAACTGCAACGTCTGTGGGAACTGGAATCGCTACAGCTGCTGGTAAGATTAAATCAAATGTTTTGTTATTCTTGCTTCAATTTTAGGTACAGTAGAAAAGTCACAGATTGGCACATTGCAGTATTATTTATTTGTTATGCTACTAGGGTACGGGTTTAAAGGGAGGAAACCCGTAGTTACGTACTTTAAAATGTTAAAATTCAATGTAATGCACTTTGGAACAAAATTTAATGGCGACTAGAGTAGGATGCTTCGAGTAATGCTATAAACTATTTTCAAAGCACCCAATTTGTCACTGAGACGAAAACCATGACTGTACACTGGCAGTTGAGCTGTATAACTTAGGCTTCAATTTAACTAGCAAAACACTCAATTAGTATTCATTATCCAAACTCTTCCATTTTAGCCGGCGTTAGTCTCACAGTTATGATGGCAGCAAGTATTCCTGTCATTATTGCTGGTGCAGCAATTGTAGGAGCCGGATCATCACTTGTTCTCTCTCCAGTACAAAAGCATCTTAGTGGTGAATGTGTGACTGTCAAAGAATCAGCAAAGGAAGTAGCTTTAGGTGCTACAATCGGTGCTATAACTGGTCCAATAGGTGCAGCTGGATCATCGTTCGCAAAAGGGGCATCAGCACTAATGAGATTTGGTATACGAGCAATTGCTGGAGCTAGTGCAGGGGCAGTAAGTGGAGTAGTTGGTGAAGGAGCTCGATTCATGAAAGGAGAGGAAGTGACATGTAGTTCAGTCACAAAATCTGTAGTAATGGGTGCAGTTGTTGGAACTGTGGGTGGTGCATCATCACAATTAGCCAGTAGTGTATCCAGTGGTGTCTCAAATGAAGTTGGGCAAGCAGTAACAAGAGTTGCGGTACAAGGAACATCAGCAGCTGCAACAGACGCTGGATTACAATTATATCAAACAGGAACGATTGATGCACAACAATTGATTTTGAATACAACAGGACAAGTCACAGTCGCAGGTGCAGCTGAATTTAGTTCATCAATGGCACAAAGGACAGATGCTTATAACAGCAAGATTAATAATGAAAAGATAAGCAGCAGTAATTTATCACCTGAGGATGCACAGAAAGTAAAGGATATAATCAAAGATGCAAATGCTGGTAAACTTGACGGCACTAAAAAAGTTGGTGACAATAATTTGCATGTTTTGGAACGTGACCGTGCTGGACAAGTTGCTGGAGATATCGGACAAAGTGCAGAGAATGGAAAACGAGGAGCTGGAAGAGCAATTTTAGAGAATTATAAAGGAAAGTATGTTCTGGTTGATCACACAATGGATCATGACTACAAAGGATGTAAAGCAAATGTAATCGTGTCAAATCCATTGGATGCAACATTGAGGCCTGATCAAGTTAATGTTAATATTTTACTAAATAATGAGACTGATGACGACCGAGTAGATCCTTTTGATTCTGATAATATTTGTGATGATAAATATGAAGATAAAAAAAATAAATGAAAAATTTTTTTTTTTATTTGAAATTAAAATATTATAAATGTGTTTTGATTGGATTGCTGCAAATTATTGGATTTTGCATTTTATTTATGATGGGTTCTGATTTTGATCGAATGATGTAGAGGAATCACTTTGATTAATTACATGCTTATTTGATACACAGTCAGCATTTTGATTACAAAAATATTCCACATTTTTTTACTTGATTTACTGCGTCAAAGAGCTAAACACGAGAAAAGATGAAATTTTATATGTTTTTAGTGACTTTTTTACTATTTTCCATTTATAGCTCATCACTTAACAAAAGTTTTTTAGTCAAAATGACATTAAATGATCGAAATTTGACAGAAAGCATCTGCAGAATTAAAAATGATGTCACAAACTCTAAATCTGACAAACGATACATCCTCGTCGATGATTTAGGAGGAAAAATCTGGTCATCATCTGTTAATGATATAATTTAGTAAATTGGTAACAGAACTTCTGTTGTTATCACAAACTTCAAGTCAAAAATTACTGAACAACAGTTGAGGAAGGCTTCAGTCGTAATTTTAGTTGGACTAAACGAGTCTGATGATGGCAAAGTCAATCACGCATAGTCAACCACCATCTGCATATAGTCACACATCGAAAGTAATGTCAAGTCCAACAAAAGACTCATTGGTGTTTCCGGACAAGCTTAAGAATTTAAATGGATTTCAGTATGAAATTGCAGTTATGAACCAGCCACCTGTAGTCATTGCCAATGAAAGCTATATCAGTTCACACATGCTGCACTTTTTACGAATTATTAAGGACATCCAAAAAGCAAGCAATAAAATAAATTTCATTCAGAACTTCTCAGCCTTACCAGATCAATGGAGAAGACGAAAGTTCACTTGTGTCTAAATTCAGCAATTGTCTTAGTTCCACCAAATCCAAAGTTGATGACTTATGGAACCAAATGTCACTCTGGAATCATTCTTATTCCACCAATGGTATCTCTACTTGAACTTATAATCATCAAGTCATTCTATAGTCTTGTTTGGTTATATTTTGGAGTCTCAATTGTTAGTTCTGTTGCTGTCTGGCGGATGTATCGTGGCCTTGGTGCTGTTGATGATGTATATCGGTCAAGGTGCTGAATTTTCTCGTCGTAATCGTTTTATGCTTGCTGTGTTGCTCCACATCATCTGCTTGACTGTGTTCCTACTTGGCAACTTTTACGAAGGAGTCATTACGTCTGCTTTGATTGAACCCTATTATGCAAATCGTCTAATGTCTGTAAAAGACCTTATTGATTCTGATTATAAAATAAGAGGCACTAAAGCCCTTTTTCGATCAATATAGGAGTTCAAGTTTGTTCACGTTATTAGCACCAAGGTTGAATTATTCAGGCGCAATTTTAAGTGCCGAGGACATAATTGAGCAACATTTTGCTCTTATTAGGCTTTGTGATGACCCTAAAAGATTTTTAAGAATTCGAATTAATGGCAAATTGGCTTCTGAGTATTATTATATCCTGCTAGTAACTCTTATTTGGGAATATATCAGACTAGAGGCTAATGTTAGTCATAGTTACTCCCGCCGTTTACCCGCGCTTGCTTGAATTTCTTCACGTTGACATTCAGAGCACTGGGCAGAAATCACATTGTGCCAACATCCACCGAGAACCATCACAATCATAACATAAGCATAACTCTTGCTGGTTATATCCAATTCCAAAAATTTTTGTGGGACGAAATTGAACATAATTAGAAGATCAGTTTTGATACATAATATGTATAATTAAAATTAATTTCGTAATTGGCTCCCGCTGAAAAAGTGAAGTTAGCGGGAAAGATACCCAAATATTGAAAGTGGTATATCCAGTCATAGGAAGTAGGACAAAAATATTTAAATACGGGACGTAAATGGACGTAATATAGACGTAATTCTGACAAAGTTTCAATTCGACTAGAGAACCCGTTCCCGCCGACTTCACAAACACCTTATGATGTATTATTCCACAAAATTATTGTTTTTTAAAACACACCGTTCAATTTAACACGAATGAAAATATGTATATTCTGCTTACATGATTTGAAAAATAAATTGATGATAATGCACACATTTTGGTTCTTAGTTTGTTTAATTCGTTGAGATGTGAGTTCCTGTTGATAAGGAGATAAAACACCCTTTGTGTGTTTCCCATTTGTATTTTATTTGTTAAGGAATTGATTGGAAGTTGCCTGGAGTCTTTGAAGTTCCCGGGTAAAAAGATTTTTTAAAATTTCAAAATAAGAAAGTCCGTTACTTATTATTTTTTTTAAACTAGCTGTTTTCTAAAGCATAAACATTTAAGGAATGCAATTTCAACACAGTGATTATCTTAATCATAAAAACTAGTAGGAATGTTCACTAAAATTACAAATTACTCGAAAAATAATAATTCACAACGAATTTTTTTAAAAATAAGAACTTTGAAGATTCGATTTTTGAAAACAAGAACCTCAAAAATTCGAAGTTCGAATAATAAGATCGCAAAAATTTCTGTATGCTAGCATTGGTGTATATCCAGGGAGCTCTAAATAAGTCCCAAGATCGCTTTTATCCCATAAACCAGTAATTGTCAACCTATATGACGCGACACACTTCTGTGCCAGAAAATTCCACTAACCGTA